ACCAAGCACAGGGCCGATGGCTTTACTTGCTCTCCAAGGCATGGGGGCGAAACACCGCCAATTTCCATCTCCGAGATGTTATTTGGATTTTTCTAACAGACAGACACCACCGAAGCAGATATTACCACCTACTATAATAAACTTATAAGTATGTACACGTGCACTCGTATCATGAAGGTCATAGGGAATTAATAAAAAAAAATGGATATATAATATTTAAATATAATTTAACTTTGTGTCCTGTGTTTACTATCAGTTAATTCTTCATAGTTGTTTGCGTTGCCTCGCTTGCAGCCACCTTCAAATATATCTCATTAGACCTAATGTAAACCAAAATCAAGTTTCTGCTATTTCTTTTCGTTTAGTATCGAATCAATTTATATCAATTAAATTAAAGATTTTATTTATTCATTTTATTATAAGCATAAATAGTTTCGAAAGGGCAATAAGGAAGCTTTTAAATAGAATTATCAACGCAATTTAAATCAATTTGACTTCAGTTATACTACCTACTAACTGTCTATCCATTTACACTAGATAATATTTTATATTGTAAATAGTGTTAAAACATTATTTACGTATTTTTATTTTTTAATGAAATATTCATATGGATCCAACCTAACAATTGTTATATGAATTTATTTATATACTAGTGACTCACCCTCGCTTCGCTCAGGTTTGTCCATAGGTGATTCATTTAATTGACGAAACTTTTTATTTATGAACCGATTGGCATAAAATAAATACTGAATGTTAAGTGAAGCTTATCATAATACACAAGTGAAAACCGCACCTAAATTGGTTAAGCTGTTTATGAGATTAACCCGCACAGACGCACAGACAAATAGACAAAAATTCTAAAAATCCTTGTTATATGCATAGGTTCTATTGCGTTAATAAAGTCCCCCAATAATAGTTTTTCTCAGATATCTTCCATGTACAGGCAGCAATAAATTACACTTCTATTTCCTATATGTACAAAAATAAATTACTATGAAACTAAAAAACACGGTTTTTACAGCTCACTGAAAATCAGACTCTCAAACCTAATTTTAGAGGGTATACTCGTATATAGTAAGCATTGAAAAGTTTTACTATCCATCTCCTGGTTCTATCGTTAATTCAACTCCTATACTGCTAATGTTACACCAAAATAATAGACAGTCATAGGAAAACACATTGCAAAAGTTTCTTATTAGTATATACATATATAGTAGACACTTGCCAAAGTTTCAAATTAGTAGGATAATTTTTACCCTGTAGCCACCACATTCATTGTTATGCCATAATCGGTTATACGTCGTTTAAAATTATCATACCTTATTTAAATTAAGCTTAGAATTTTTTTTTGTGTTGATATGATTATCTATTGTATTTGCTTTGTATTTGTTAATGTTATAATGTAATTACTATCAGTGGCAATTTAACTGATGTATGTATCATGTTTTTGTATCATATATTGTATGATATCATTGCCCCCCTCCCCCCATTAAATAATAAATAAATAAAAATAGGATTGACTACATATTTTATTGTATTAATTTTAAAAATTGTAAGTATATGAAATCTGAGCATGATTTCATATAGTTATAATCATTTAATATCACCTAATCGATCTAATAATAAATTCAGCCTTCAGGAGATGAATAGTTTCGAGTTTTAAGCCTTTGAATTTGGGCTCATTTAATAAAAAATAATTAAAATTATTAGAAGAATTTACTATAATTACGTATATTTTGTAATTATCTCAGGACTAAAATCACTTCCCGGGGGAGAAGCCAACTCCTACCGGGCGCGTCCCCAGGTGGCGGATAGGGGAATGCCACCCGCTTAGGGCGGCGGGTGGTACCGGAGAAATCCGGCGCGGACCAAATGGCTTGGATGGGGCCGCTCGTCTAGGCCTCGAGCCGAAGACGTTGCGGCCACCGGTGGTGGGACCGCTTGGTCCCACAACCGGATGATGGGTGCCGGTTGCGGGACTGTGGTCGCAGGCCCGCATCCGGCGGAGGAGTAGGCCGCGGCGGGAGAGGAGTGCCGGTATTTCGGTGCGCCGTTCTCCCTACCTTCCGCGGCCTAGACGGGGCCGCCACCGTTCGATGGCGGACGCGGTGGGGCTGCAGGGGAAGAGGAGTGTCGGTGTTTCGTTGCCGCTCTCCCTGTCCTCTGCAGCCGTTTGGAGGTGGCCCACTTCGGTGGGCGGTGGTTAGGTTTAATGGGGCTGCTCCGGGTACCTCTCTGGCGTAGCAGAGTTGACTGTGGAGCAGCCCCATTGGTTTGGTGGTCTGCCTTTTTAGGCAGACCTGCCGCCGGGGCGCCGTAGTAGTTATGCGCAAGCGATCCTGCGGCGTCCCATTAAGGCGGAGGGGAGGGGAATGTCGGGTTTTAGTGGGTAGTACCGGCTCTTCTAGCCGGTGAGCCCCACATCACCACCTGGGGGATCAGGTGGTATGCGTAAATGCATTTCCCGACATAAAAAAAAAAAAAAAAAAAAGGACTAAAATCACTTGTTTTATTTAGAGATAACAATATTTTAACTTAACTCCATATTAGTATGGCACATGTACAAAAATAATAACCAACAAGCCGCAAGCGAATAAGCGCCCCTAACAACGTAATCATAGCTTTCAAATATATTATTAGGGACTTAATCCCGTAATAATTGGTATCAGATATGGTTGCCTTAAACCTTTGTAATGGAAATATATAATTAAATACTAACGCTAAAGAAATAAAAAAAATAATTTAAAGGTAAATATAATTGCTTATTCAAATATAAGTTAACGATAAAAATTTAAAAACAATAATACAAAACAAATATAATGAAAAACACATGGTTTGAATATACCTGTTAACACTCATAAAAATAGACTGGAAATAATGTAGGTACATTACATATTATATGAGATACTTGATTGGTAACAGTAAATTTATTTCGCTTCATTCACACCGAATAGAAATTTAGTAACACTAAAACAACACCACCTTCTTGAAGTTGGGAAAAACTAATGTATACGGTGTAAAATGATTAAATAATTTGGTAGTGCAGATTAATAGTTTTTAATCTTGAAATATTAAATTCTAAACTAAAAGTCGAGTTATAATTACGTACAAGTTACAATTATTATGGTTAATAAGGAAATAATATGACTTAGTATAAAATGAGTTTATGACTTCACGATATTAGATTTTAAATGACGTTAACATGAATGGAAAACGATACAGAGCAAGGTCAGTGAGCAACATTTTTATTATTTTTTATAAGAAAAGGATTTAAACTTAAAGATTCGAGAGATTGTATATAACAATTGTAATATCACCACCTACAATTTCAAAACTTTTACTCTAGTTACCACACAGTCACATCACTACATAGTATAAAACAAAGTCGCTTTCTCTGTCCCTATATGCCTATGTATGCTTAAATCTTTAAAACTACGCAACGAATTTTGATGCGGTTTTTTTAATAGATAGAGTAATTCAAGAGGAAGGTTTTAGTATATAATTTGTTAAGTTTTTGTATACATTGGCTAAAATATAACGATATTTGTTGGAGGTGTCGGAAAAAATAAGACGTCTGGGAGCTTTCAACGAAAACGCTGCCTAAACCCTTTGAGATATAACAAAATAATGTATGGTGCAATTGTGTATCTTATATAGGTCTACAGAAAATTCCGCGATAGCATATGTCTATATCTTAAGGATAACATACTATATCCATTTTAATTTAAAACGTTTAATCAATATTGGAGTATATTAAACGTATTAGATCAATTTTGTTAAGTGCGACATTATCAAAATAATAGATGCCGCAGGCGTTAGAATCAAAAAGACTTGACGTTCATCGACGCTTCTGGGTAAGAGCACTTAACTTGATTACGCGTGTTTGAAACCCTGCTGGTAAAAACTACAAACAACTCTAACATAAGTAAGAAGGGGCTACCAGTGCAAGGGTCATTCGCGTTTAAGAAAAATAAAATAATTTTATTACCTTTAAATTTTAATTTAACTATAATTTTAAATAAAAATAATTAAAGAATATAGGTACCTTAAATGACGCATTAGTGCGAATTGTGTTTTTTACTTCGAGTAGACTTTTTTGACTTAGTTATTTGCGACGAACGTTATCGAAAAATAAGATACCTATAAAATTAATTATTGATGCATTAAATATCAAAATTATTACCTAAAAAAACAAAATATAAAACCATTTTTGGTATAATACGGTTTTTGTTTACTGTTAAACGATTACACTTTTATTTAATATACTGTTCTGAGAATAGAAACCCTGCTGCTAAAAAGCATAAACAAATACGCCTGACTCTGCTCGCTCGTGTGTGGGTGGGTGGGTTTTAGCCGCAGCGCGTGCCGAGCACACATCGCCACGCGCCTCCCTACGCAGTAATTGTAGCGCATATTATGAAAACGTCATCGTTCTTTTGCAATTACTTTTGAATTCATACCTACCCAGATTGTGTCTTATGTATTGCTATAATTAAAGCTCACTCTAAAATTATTATTTTTAATTCAATTATATGAAATAACTAAAGGTATGTAGATTGCTTCTTAAATAATATAAATACCAGTGGTTGTATGGCATTTATTGTATAATTATATTGATAAAATATATTTTAGGTACATTCAGTAGGTATAATAAAATTTAAAACACATTCTCATTTTCGATTTTGTGGCTAAAATAAGTCAGAAACCTTTAAAACCTTTGTGCGCGAACTAAAGTGTACCTACATTGCTATAAGTATTTTGGCGGTGATTCTAAATTCAAATATTAAAATCTAGAGTTTTATGCAAGAAAAAATTACCTTGTTAAAATGTACAATTTAATGTATTAGGTAATTCTATCATTACAATTTAGTATACAAATAACACAAATATAAATTCATAAGATGGTATGAATAAACGAGGAAAACCTATGTATAGAATCAATAGCGAATGCAGGGCAAAGTATAGTTACATAATTACCATTACAAATGTATGTTTCATACCTTCCAATGCTTTATTTCTTGCCAACAATGCAAGCAGAACGTCGGGCGGCGGCGGGTCCAGAGGATGCATGGCCTCAAGTGTTGGGTCCATGGAGCCTATTCGCTCCAGAGCTACATCCACTTCACTAAAACCTGTATTCATGAATCCAGTCTGTCCGATAACCACAGTGCAAACTTCCCTTAACTTGGCACAACATTCCGTAGCGACCGGTCAGAAATGTCACACGCGTACATTTTCATATTTGTAGCATGAAAGAAATGCAGCGGGCGTCGCGACGCGACGGTTTAGGGCCTTGCCACGTGGCAGCGCCGCCCACGCCCGCCCATGCTTCGCTCTCGCCGCGCCCTCCCATTGAGAAGTAATTTTTTACCCCCTGAATCTGATAAACCCCGCAGTGGAGTAGCGCGGGGCTCCCCCGCCCCGAACTAATTTTCCCAAGTCGTACGACACACCCCCCGTGCTTACATCCATCTACAATATTACTCCAGCGCGTTATGCCGTTCACGGGGCACTTCGTTCCTACTTATCTAGTACCGATGTGAAGGAAAGGGAATTTTAAAATTATAACCTGACCTCTTCATACCTACGTAGAAGATATTATATAAGAAATTAAGTTGTTACGAATCAGATTTAACTGAGTTTGGAGTAAATCGAGTTTGTCTCGACGATGTTGTAACCGTTATAAAATATGATCATCAAAATGTCATCATTAATCAATGCAGTCACTCTGATAATCCCTTTTTTTATTCGATACCATAAAGCTGTCGAAAAAGTCCAATGGATTATTCCCTTCTTACATTTAAAATAATTCTTTATTATTAACTAGCGGCTCACCCTCGCTTCGCTCGGGTTCACCTCTAGAAAAGCACAAACAGATCTATCCCACGGTAACCGTTCATTTTTCCGGGATGAAAAGGAACCTATTTGTTATTCTGATATATGAACTATATATATTATTGTAAAGTTTCATCAAAATCCAATCAGTAGTTTTTGTGTACTAAGCTGTATAGGTTACTATAGTTTTTTGGCTATCCCACGAAAACTCTTTAATTTTCCGGGATAAAAAGTAGCTGATTTGTTTTTGTCATGTGTGAACTATATTATTGTAAAGTTTCATTAAAATCCAATCAGTAGTTTTTGTGTACTAAGCTGTATAAGTTGTTATAGTTTTTTAACTATCCCACGGGAACTCTTTAATTTTCCGGGATAAAAAGTATTTAAGATGTTGCACGGGGATATAAGGTACCACCATGCAAAATTTCATTTAAATCGGTCTAATAGATTCGGAGATTAGCCCGTACAAAGAGAAAAACAGACAAACAGCTCGCTCGGGTTCGTCCATACCTACGAATATGTTGTATTATCTCTTTAACCATTTGTCCAAATTATATGCAGTAAAATGGAAAAGTCTATTGTTTTAAACATTTTAGACAATAAATTTATTTATTTTGATAAAAATTCATAATTGTTGATAATATGACCAATAAACATGACCTACCGATTTAAATTATTTTTTAATATAAAAAACTACTTTTTGTGACTTAAATATAAAAGTTAGACATATGCTGTCGCTGACTTTTTTGTAGGCATTATTAAGCTCTACAACTTTTCTCTAGAACATAATCATATATCTCTCATCGTTAAGGCAGCGTTCGTAAGAAACGTTTCCGTTCGACCGTTTTTTCTCCGACTTACTTTGCAAATCCGACTACCACGAAAAACCCTTTTCATTTTTCGGGTTAATATATATAGCCTATGACACTCAGAAAGAACGTGGCTTTCTATTGGTAAAAGAATTTTGAAAATCGGTTCAGTAGATCCAGAGATTACCCCCTAAAACGTCACAAACTCACAAACTCACAAGATCACAAACTTTACCTCTTTATAATATTAGTATAGATAACTACGAGTATTTGAACAAGAAATTACAACTGTCTATACTTCTGTAAACTTAGTTGGATAAAGTCATAGCTTTCCTTGTTGAAATAAAAAAAAAACTTAAAAAAAATTTAAAACCGACTTCCAGGCACTAAAATGTAAAAAAATAACTAATCCGAGGTCTTCATTTAGAATAGATACCTAATCAGATATTTTCGAAGTCGGTGCCAGTCGATGCAAAGCAAATCTAATATATTTCGATACGTAAAATACATATTTACCTATTAGATATTCATAACTTAAAATATTGTAGGCTGGCACCGACTTCGAATATATGTTATTAGGTATCTATTCTAAATGAAAACATTCGTTTGGTTATTTTTTTAAAAGTATTTATTTTTCCATTTTTAGTGTAGACGTCATAAGCAGGTAATTTGTAAGAAGAAAGTTTTTTAATAACATATTCGATTAAAGAATTTATTTAAGAAATATATTTATTGTTGGTTTTTAAAAAAAACCTCTCAGCCGATTTCGATAAAATTTATATGGGACCACCTGGGAAGTATACCCTTTGAAACACAAAAAAAAATTCCAAATCGGTTCAAGCATCTTCGAGTAATCGGTGAACATACATAAAAAAAAAGAAAAAAAATGAGTCCGACAAATTGAGAACCTTCTCCTTTTTGGAAGTCGGTAAAAAATAACATATTTTTAAAGTTTAGTAAATTGAACACGAAAACTTAATTATGAAAAGGGAAGTGTAGAATTTAAAATAATTTTACATTCATCCATGAAGTTTTTTTTCTTTTCTTTAGTGATATAGTGATATGACGAATTTCAATCAAATGTTTGAATTTAATGAAATGTTTATATTATTTTTTTGACATTACAAATGACACTTATGTGAATTAATTTATGTGCCATTTAAGCATGTATTTCGAAAAATATACCAGATATTTATCTATACATTGATTTTATAATGTCTTGTGAATTTTATGATCCTGATAATATTTTTAGAAGATTCAAAGTAGTGGAATTTCCTATATCTTTTGCAGAATTATCGACAACTCGCGAATTGGATATAGAAACAGATCTTTACTCATCAGCTTATCTCAAGACAACTTGTGAAGGTCATTTAATGGTAAGGATTGATTAATAAAAAAGCTAATTTACTAGACTTACATGAAGTTTCAAACGTATATTTGTGGCTTTTTACAGAAATTTGATGATGCACGAAATATATCTGCTTCACACAGAGCATTTATTGTCGATATTAAAAGTAACCATGTAATTACAATTACATTCATACCTAAAAATGAATGTATATCAAAAGCAAAACACGATAAACATTTTGACAATAGGTTTGTGTTTGACCTACGCTTAATAAAAGTAGACGGATCTCGATGTTGTTACAATGAACTTCACTCGGAAATAGGCCGATATTATATTAGTGGTCAGTTTGAATACTGCAAAATTCATCACTCGCCAGACACTGTCGATTTTGGAGACGTTTTAATTAATACGAAAGCTACCAAGTTTATAAGAATACGTAATGAATCTAATATTTTATCCGCTAAAATGCAATATGTAAAAATTGCCGGCTTCGACATCGTACCGGAAACTTTTACAATACCTCCCAACAAATCAAAAAAGGTTGCTATAACAATAAGGCCAACATGTCTTAAGTTAAAAAATATGGTCACATTTAGAGTAATTAACCCACATGATGTGTTTGACGAAAATATTTGCAATAACGAAAATTTTATCTCTTACCCTATACATTTTAAAGTAAACGTTATTTGTAAAAAAACCATGAAAGAAATACATTTTGAGTCATTACACAAATTATATGAGCAAAATCCAGATTATACTTATATAGGTAAAGTGTTAATAACTCATAATAAAAGACGAAGACAGGCTCTGGATTACCTAGAAGTTTCAAAAAAATTTAATAAAAACATACCTATTCTGGAAAAATATACAAGAGGAAAAAATAAATGTTTTTCGACTATATTAAGAGACACCAAAATAGTAAACTTCTGTCAAAAATTTAAAGAAGCAATTTCTACGTACGATCTTTTTCAGATACAAATAATTCCTATTTCAGTTAATTTTGGTAAAGTTGGAACATTAACATACGGTGAAAATATTATCACGATACGTAACAATACGAAGTTTGAAATCAGTATTGAGTTCTTAAAAGATAAATTCATTCTTTATTCTGAAAATAAAAAGGCTACTTTAAATATAAAATTGAAATCTTTTGCACAAACTATCTTAACTATATTTAGCGTGCCGCATATAGAAGGATACTTTTCGGGTTTTTTTCAATATCGTATTAATGAAACATTTTATAGAAATCAGAGTTATTCTATACAAATAAGTACTCCCACATTGATGACAAATGAAAAATGTTTAAAATTTGGTATGGTAACAACAGAAGCATTTGTTACTTCCGTTTCTATTAAAATCTTTAATAATTTTAATTTAAATATTAATTTTAAATGGGAAGAGTTACAAGCCGACGTTCCTTTTGAAATAACACCAAACTCTGGAATAATACCTCGGCATTCCAGTAGAATATGTGATGTACAATATATATGCAAGAATTCAAAAACAAAAACACATGAGGTAGATTTATTGGTAATTAGCAGTATAACTAGACCTATACCTTTCGAACTCAGCGTGATTACACGTAAACTGTCAATAAAATTTCTACAAACAGCGGTAATATTTAAAGATATTGGTTTAAATTTAGAGACTACTGAGAAGGTTAAACTTGAGAATTCATCTCGTGAACTCGCTCTTTTTCACGTAGTAGAGCCATTAATTCCAGGCCTTAAAATTGAGCCAATGTGTGGAACAATACGTCCAAAGATGATAATGTCTTTTAATATTATTGTTAAAATTCCGTGCATATTGGAATTTGCTTTTGATATTTGTGTAAAAATAAATAATAAAGAAAACGTCATTTTACCTATAAGTGGAAATGTTATAGAACCAAAAATAATAATTCATCCTAAAAATGTATATATGGCACGAGTACCTTGTTACATGATTACTTTTGTACCAGTGACGTTTCAAAATTTGGGTACTATAAAAACTATTATTGAAGTATTAGATACAGGTGATGATAATATTTTTGATGTATATATATTACAAGGCAATGAACGAAAAAGGACATTCGAATTCACCGTGGAAGGAGGTCAGACAAGAACAGTATTTGTAAAAGTATACGATATATTTCGAAGAGAATACGAAATGTACATACCTTTTAAAATAAATGGTTTACTTGGACCACCAAATCATAACATGTGTACAACTGAACTTCGGTATTATACAGAAGAATACGAAAAGTCAGTAATTTAAAGACCCATTTTAATTTGCATAAAATATTTTCCTATTGTAACCATATTATTATTTCTAATTTTAGGGCTTACGAAAGTAATTCTAAAGTAAAAATTAAAACAATTAATAAAGATATCAGTTTTTGTCGTATAACAGGCGTAATCACTGTACCCTGGATTACATTTTCAGTTGAAAAATTTGAGCTTGAATTCGACCAAAATGGGAAAAATAACATAATTTTCAGCATGAGTAATATTTCCAAGTACTACTTGTATGTTACTATATTAACTTCTAAACTTGCTCCTAGTTTTACTTTAAATTTTCATACAGAAGATATTCTACCAACGATAACTGAAAATCATATAAAATTTGAATTAGATTGTGGACAAAACGCAAACTTCATTTTAAAATTCCATCCCAAGGGTCATGGAAAATTCGTTTCAACTGCTTTATTTTATTTAGACAAAGCTATGTCTATTCCATATTATAATCTTACGTTTACTGGTAAGAGAGAGACTCCAGTGCATATAAAATTATTTTTGCACCACGTCATATTGGTGAAGAAGTATCAAGATTATTAACACTGAAAATGGAGGGTCAATCAAATAAAGAATTCTTTTCATGTAATTCTGAAGAAGAGCCTCGTTTAATAATAGAATTTATTGATTCTGACATTAAATTAACTAATGATACTTATTTTACAATAGTCAGAGTCAAAATTACAGCTTTAAGTGATACAAATTATGCACGAAATATAGTTTTGAGTTTTCAACATGAGAATGGATCTGGATGTGAAGTGGAAGTTTGTTTTTGTTTTACGTATTGTCCTTTGACTCTTCATGCTGAGTTCCTAGCAAAACAAGATATAGACCCATATCCATATTATCCTCTGGACAGTCAAGCAGAGTTATTCAATTACATGGAAACTTGCAACGATTTTCTTGAAAGGTGGATGTTTCAACAAGGATTTAGAAGAGATTTATATCCAATAATACCAGATACATTTCACGCTATTTCTTCTTCAATATCCTCACAACCAGGTGGCACAAAATCAAAAGGAATAAATGTAACATATTTAAATTTTGTTCGTAGAGTAGCTGGACCACTTATGAAACATGTCCGAAAAGTATCGTAAGTTAATGAAGTACTTTAAGCTAATATATTTCCGTAAGATTACTTAAAAGTAAGAAGAAGTACGAAAATTAAAATTAAATTCTTGTAAATACATGGTGCAAGGACTAGTTTTTAGACCTGATAGGACAAAAAAATTAGCTATGTTGAAATATTTAACCCATTTTAACTGCATCTTGATAAGGTTGAAGAAAAATTTTTAATACGTAGTGATTAATATTTCCTACTTAAATAATAATCTTATGTCATCTAAAATGAATTTATTATGTTTTAGCGTCGTTGCAGTAGACGAATCCTTTAAATTTGTTAAAGAAATTCATGATACATATCGAGAAATATTAAGTCTTCTGAGATCTCGTGGTGCAAATCTGTGGGTTCTACAAGCGAAGTTCCTATTGAGTTATGAACAATTTGTTACATATTCTGAAAATGTAACTTCAAAATGTAATGCTGATACAATATTAACACAAGAGCTCATAGCAAATGAAAAGCTTTTTGATCGATTAAATAAACAAAGTTGGATAGATTTCATTTTACAAACTTATAAAGTATTTATAATGGATAGTTGTTTTTTTGAATGCGTCTGTATGAGTACACAGCCAAGAGATATTATTAAAATTATAGTTGATTGGTATAACGAAAGTATTTCTAAGCAACATTTAAAACTTAGAAATAAAACTAAATCTGTTAAAGTAGTAACTAATATAACGACTGATTTATCTGATGGCATTGCTCTAATATCAACGATTATAAATTATTGTCCTTTTATGGCAGATCATTTTCAGTTATTCTGTGATACCAATGAGAATAATGCTATAGACCAAATTATAAATAATGGATGTTTAGTAATAGAGGCGATGAATATCTTAAGGCTTTATTTTCCTCTGACCAGTAAAGATTTGTTGGAACCAAACTTTCTACAGATGCTATTTTTATCAATTCATTTATATATAGTTTTACCCACATTTAAACCTAAAGATGCCGTTGAATTCAGTCCACCACTCTTAAGGAGTTCATCGAGACAATTGGCAATAAGCCCTTCTAGTCAAGAGTCCTTAATTTTCAACTATGTAATTTTAAATAATATAAAGACAAATTTTTCCGTTGAAAAAGGTTCAACAGCAGATAATGGAAAAAAGATATATCTCAATGTGAATTATACGGCAAATTTTGTTGCAAAAGAGATGGCTGTACTTCTTGTACACGGCTATAATAAAACTAGAGTATTTGATACATATGTAGTCTTTATATTACATGGAAATGTTGGAATTCTTAATCCACTTAGAAAGTGTAAAGTAACTGGGCCTCTTTATAGGCCTTATAAAGTAGATGTGCTCGTAGCGTCACCCTTTTTAGTTACTGCCAATTATAAACTATCTTTAACTGATAATGAGCCAGAAATTCCCGTTCGTTTCGAAGAAAATTTGTATCCTAAATACTATGTAAAACGTCTTCATCTTATTGACAAAGAAGTTTCTTTGATTGGCCTACCCAAGGAAAGTGGACAAGAAATACAGGAACAAAAAATATATTTGCAAATAATATGCCTTAGTACTCAAATAGGCAATTCGTGGTTGTGGTTTAGAAGTGATATTGGGGAATTTTTTATTCGTATAACAACGCAACCTCGATGGGACCTAGCAATAGATACATTGCAAGGAAGAGTTCACATGTGGCCTTTACACCCTTGTAACTGCGGAGAAACTTGTGAATGTTATCGTACCACTGTTGTAATGATTCCGCATCGCAATGAATTGATGCTTAAGTCATTGCGCTATGCTTTAATTGAAGAGGCATCGGAAGTGATGATTGAAGTTTTTGACAAACTTATTGGTATATTTTGGATTCTGCGGTTTTTTCTTTCCTTAATACATTAATATATATTTGTTATCATCAATCAATTGCTATAAACTTCTTTTTCAGAGTCTACCACAGGAAAGTTAATACTTTTAATGTTGTTAAAAGAAGGTGGCACAAACCTGTCCGAAGTGCATCACATTCTACGTAACGACACGACCTATCGGATTATCTCCCGTGCTCTTTTACCAAGACTCGATAAAGTGACATTAGCACAACACACAGGAGCTTTCTTAGCTTTGCCTGTAACAATACCAAGCCAAGAAACAACAGACAAATATTCCATTACATTAATATCTGAATGTGGATTGGATATACGCACTTATAGGATCCTATTTATTGAAACTTACAGCGAATAACAATGGCTGTTAAAAATTGGTTAAGGGTGAATAGGACTATGAAAACGACATATATATACGAATTTAAAGAAATTTAAATACTTAGGGTCCCCATAGTAGATTTTCTATAAAATATGTATGTATAAAGCAATGATATACTTCGTGTTGTTTATTTATAAATATATTTTCAAAATAACAATTGTTTTAAAATCTTTATAAGCATGAATAAATTTTTAAATTTTATTAACATAAAATATATTTAATACAACTCAATTTTCTTGTTAATAGCTTTAAAGCTTGCCAGTTGAGCACAGATTACTTCGCCCTATCTATAATATAAAAATGAATCGCAGAATGTGTTGGTAAGCGCAAATCTCAAGAGCAGCTGAACCGATTTCGCTAAGTCTTTTTTTAGAATATTCCTTGAAATACGAGGATGGTTCTTACGGAGAGGAAAAAATTAAAAAATTGCCTGTAAAAGTCTAAAAACAACACTTTTATATACTCCCATACAAAAGATTCGTAATAATACTTAAAAGTCAATTTGAACTTTAATACCATACCATAAAGTTTAAATGTTAGTGGAGAGTTTCCGGGAAGGCAAAACAATTGAGTGACGTTAGTATCGTATAAATATTAATGTCAATATTTGTCAATATTATTAACAAAAAAATTTAAAATGTATATGGCTAACGCTGGCTAATAACTATCTATATCTATTTAAAACGTACCTAGCGACGAACCCGAGCGAAGCGAGGGTGAGCCGCTAGTATGAAATATATTTGTAGCTCTTATAACGGGCACTTTTGCTAGACTTATCACAATGTGCACTTAATTAAAAATCGATTTTTTTAATTACTTGATTTGAATCCTAAAGTGGGATTCATGTGCTTATACTATAGAATCGTTTAGTCACCTAATTCTATGTACATTTGTAATTATTACTAAATTCAAATATATTTAGATTCGGACATAATAGGCTATTACAGATGAACAGTTTTTTGCACCAGATATTCGGAACCCTAGAAATGGCTAAAGTGAAATATAAAAATATGTAACAGTTTGGATACATATCTAACATTATAGGTATATATAGATTTCCATTTCTATTATTCAATTATATCATGTTTAATTTTAATAACAATACAAATCTGACCATGGAAATGCACTTATCACTCAATTTCGCGGTAATCAACGTGTTTCATTAGAATAAAAAATGATTTCCGGTTGAATAGTTTTCCACATTGGCACAATCACTATATAGTAATTGTTCCTCATTTTTTAACAGTATTTATAATGAAGCTAGACTAGTTACTTAAACTCAGTAATTGTAATTATAACAACGACATAACAACTAATTGCAAAATAACTTACGATGAATACAGAACAAAAGATGGCCACTATTTTGTAATAATATGACGCTTGGCAATGAAATTAAATTATAATATCATACAAGTCTCTAACATTCTTTATAATTAGTGAAACATTTCTTTGGGCCCTAAATTCAGTACACAATACGAGTCATTTTTCTAAATATTTCATGTACTTACTACAACATGCACAATGACAAATATATTTGTAAACTAGCATTGCCCGCGGCTCCGCCCGCGTTTAGATGACCAAAAACCAAATTAGGTTAACTTAGGTTTATTTTTTATACTAATATGTATTAGTATACTCTTACAATGCAGTTTTTGTATTTTTTCTCAGAAATGAGATATTTTCCCGCGATAAAAAGTATCCTATATGTTGACCCGGATAACCAGCTATCATCATACCAAATTTCATCAACATCTGTCCAGTGGTTTTCTCGTGATGCGGTAACAGACAGACAGACAGACAAAAATTCAAAAAACTATAGATTCGGACACTGTATCAATAATAATGTCTATTTCAATTAGATTTTTCAAAAAATATTTAATGTACAGATTCGGCAGAGTTACAATTTTATTATATGTATAGATGAAAAAAAAAAGATTTCATTACATTTGTTATTAAACCTATTATTTATCATGGAAAGCAATTTGAACGAAAATGCATATCCGCCTTAATTTAAAACAGAATACGGAAGTTGGTAGCTTCCAGGGCCATTTGGACAGTGAAGAGGCGTCGGTACACGGTACCGCTGCGCGTCGCCTATTTTCGCCTTGACCGAGCCACTTAGCCACGCTCACCGAGCAGCAATTGCCTGTAACTTGAAACCAACCATTATTGACCTTCCTAATATGCTTCTCATTGTACAAACCCACAATTAAAAAAAAAACAAACTTATAGATAAATAACTTTTGGGAGAACCCGCTAGGTTCAGGCTTCAGTAGTTTGAAATTTGAATGTATTTTATGTATGTACTAATAAGTTATGTTATCGTAGACTGTCGCACAACGCAACACTCATTGTTCATGTTCAACTACGTCTTACTTTAGACTTATTCCGTTACGTAACAACTGTAATAATGTTACTAGGTTCTATAAAGTTATCATACAGATTCAGCTTCATACTTACTTTTTGCGCCTAGTTATAAATTTCTTACACCAACTCCATTCTCCATGTAACCAAATAATACATTTTTTACGGCAAATATATTTTACGTTTTAATAATTATTTATTAACATAGCTTATTTCCGCCAACCCGCACTTGGCCAGCGTGGTGGATTATGGCCTGATTCCCCTCGTACTGAAGGGAGGCCCGTGCCCAGCAGTGGGACGATAGAAAGGGCTGAATACAATAGCTTACATTTAGAACCTTGGAAGCCTTGCTAATATAAACAGAGAAATGGAGTGCTCAATATTTTACAATTGTACTTTTAAAGTTAAGTAAAGCTATAAGACAAACAGGTGATAATTTGTTTAGTATTTATTTGTAGTTTATATTATAAACTATTATAGATTTATCAAAATCTTCTCTTACATACACTAAAATTTTCAGATGCATAGTTAAGTACGGCAATTGGCATTTTGTTTTTGAGTTGTAAATAACACTAAATACACTTAGTTTAACTAATTAATCAATATGATTATTAAAAGTAAGTTATAATCGACTTCCAAGATTACACAGCAACGAGTAACACATATTTTAATGTGCAATAAACAACTAATGTGCCTTTTAAAAACATTCAGGACACGCAATGCGATGAATTCCATACACGAACTCGACAAATTTTAATATTTTGAATTTACATCAGGTTTTTTTAACTTTAATATTTTAAAACTACATTAACCTGATCATATCATGTATATGTATATGTATGTTTATGCAAATTATCTTCATGCCGTTTTCTCGTACAAATTAAAAAAAAACAACGTAGTGTCTACGTCAACGTAATATCTCGAAGTTTTATTAGGGATCCTATCCTAATAAAACTTCGAGATATTCCTTGCTTATATTATTATATTCAGTACTTTTATAATCGTCAGTGAGTTACATAGGTAATTTATAATCATAATTTTCAGTATTATAAACAATTCGTGACCAGTCACTACATGGTGGTACCGACATCTCTGTACCAAAACCGCGGGAAAACAAATGAATGTCCGCGCCCTTTTTTAATTCTTTTTAAACACATCCCTATCGGCCAAGGTCACATAAGTAAATGCCTTATACATAAATCAGTACACACTAATCAAATATATTATTTTCTATTAAAACACTCAATATATAAAAATGCAACCTTACAGCAGTGACTTGTCACCCTACCGAGTACGTTGTCAACCGAGAATTCTGTCTTAGGTATTTAAACACACATGATACAACGCCACTCTTTTTCTATATCAGACCAGAATAAGCATTTGTATGATGACTTTATCTTCATCGTACGTGGATAGCGAACTCACGATCTCTCAATACCTTTCAATCAAATAGATTTCACTTTAAAATGACCATTAAGATTTATAATCGCCGTTTTTTATATATAGTCAGTATATGTAGTTGTAAAGCGTTAGCTCGGTAGCCGGTAAGCAAAAACATTCCTATAGAAATGCAACAGTGGAAAAACATCATTTGGCATAAGTTTTCATAGTGTATTCAAAGCGGCTGAAGGAGGACTTGCCAATCTCCGGAACGGCTGTATCAACTTAATAGGGTGAATTCATAATGTTAAAAGTTAAACCGGAGTGGCAATATAAAAAGTATTACGTCCGATTTATTAAAAATTACTACAATAATATATCGAAAATTATAAACAAACACGAACGAAACGACATACACCATGTGTTAATCCAGAATATAAAGCTATCTCCATTCCGAATTTCACTCATTTCAATTGTGGCGTTGAGAGAGCGTACAACTTGAAGAAGTAAGAAACACACAGAATCACTTTCTCACAAACTTTCATATTTAAAATATTAAAAAACTCATAAAACATTGATTATTATTTACAAAATAAATAAAAAACGTTTGCGTGCTAAAGGCTTAGTACTAGATATAAATGGTTCTTTAGAAGATACGTAAGGTATGTAAGAGAGTGATAGAGGATCTCTCAAAATCAGATTCAAAAATTGCAATTTTTATTATTTTAAAAAAGAACTATAGTCCAACTGACACTAGTGTCTTTCGGTACTTTTTCTCAGAACTGAGACATTTTTTTCGACTTGCTAGTAGAGATTTTAACAAACAATAAGTGATCTCAGATATCAATATTGAATCAAAACTTTTGAACTGAAATTTTAAATAATATGTTTTAATAGATATTTTTCACTTCTTAAAGGATATTAATGTAGTAAATATGAAAAAAAAAATACAATATAAGGCGACCAACAACCTTTAAACAATGATGTAAATATACAGTTTTTAATAAAAACTTTCATTGAACTCACTTTATAAGTATCACTTGCACCACATCTTAAATGGCAGTGAAAGTTATTTAATAACTGATAAGTACATAGCATATTTTGTATTATTAAAACTAATATTTAATCTCAATTTTAATAGTGTATTATAAAAAATATTTTGAATCATCTCTATTATACAATAATAAATCTAAACTGCTCTAGAATAGTTAATCTATTTAAGCTGGATAAATATAACTTTACAAATTGCTTCAATTCTAGTTTTTTTAATAAATTTTCTCTCAAAATATATTTTAATATTGTAAAATTATGTTAGGTACTTTATTTTTATTTCAGTAAAATCTCAATGAAGCGTTAACTCTTTATAGGATGCTGCGACTCGCGAACAAACGAATGTCGAAAGCTAAGCAATGCATAAAAGCAACTCTCACACAACCTGTTCCACCATTATTTCTCTGACCGTATCTCGAGTTTCATGTCCTGAATAAACAAATATTATAAAATAATTTTTTTATTTAGTGTATAACTAACAACACGTGAAAATAAAAGTTCGTGAATCATATAGGTTTTCAATAATAGTGCATTATGGATTCTTCACAATTTCGTGAGTGCGCCAATGCGACTATAGATTTAATCATCGATTATTTAGAAAATATTAGAGATAGGTAAGTTAAATTTTTATTAGTTATATAAGCATTTTCCATTTATATTATATACAAAAATGCCAACGAAAATAAAAAAAAATTGGTACCGAAACAAGCTTTTCAAATGTTTTAAATTTATCAACCTGTAAATAAATGTCGTATTTTTATTTCGTAAAATTTATTAAAAAAATACATTTAAGACCTCGTTCTTAATGTTATCACGGATGAAATGACAATTATTAAGTACTAGCGGCTCACCCTCGCTTCGCTTGGGTTCGTCGCTAGGTACGTTTTGAATAGATATAAATAGTTAACCATATAAATTTTAATTCTTTTTTTGGTAATAATATTGACAAATATTGACATTAATATTTATACGATATTAACGTCACTCAATTGTTTTGCCTTCCCGGAACCTCTCCACCAACACTTAAACTTTATGGTATGGTATTAAAGTTCAAATTGACTTTTAAGTATTATTACGAATCTTTTGTATGGGAGTATAAAAAAGTGTTGTTTTTAGACTTTTTCAGGCAATTTTTTAAATTATTCTTTCCGTAAGAACCATCCTCGTAGATCAAGGAATATTCTAAAAAAAGAATTAGTGAAATCGGTTCAGCTGCTCTCGAGATTTGCGCTTACCAACACATTCAGCTATTCATTTTTATATTATAGATAGGGCGAAGTAATCTGTGCTCGACGATTTTGCGTATTATACATTATACAATTTATATGTTATATAACATCTACTAGAATCAGCGACAATATCATTAATACAAAAACTCTAATGCTATTCACAATTTTTATCATTACCATTATGACATGAAATTAAAAAAATCATAGCAAATTACATAGATAGATCTATACCTTTTTACTGACAACATTCTCTAACGGCAGCAAAAATAATTATTGGTGCTATTAGCCTTAATTATCGAATTCATTATTTACTAAATGTCTTCCCAGACATTATGTAATGAGCAATGAAAACAATGGCTTGAAGTATTGCCATTGATATTAATAATAAATAATTATAGTTATTACACAACCCCTTCTACGTATGTACGTAAACAAACAATGCTTGAGTTTTATTCCATAAACAATTTTCCCGGACAAATCTCTGTTTTATCTTTTTTAAATTATATATTTCTTAGTGTTGATATCATAAAGTAAATTGCATATATTACGTAAATTATATGCTCAGGTGCTCTTTACTAACATATTGTATTATAATATTGTGTGATATTCCCACCATTGCTTTCTCTTACTAGCGAACTAGGCAATAGTAGGTATCTATTTATTTTATTATGATGGTTTACAGAAATGTTTTACCTTCTGTGGAACCTGGGTATCTCATGAAGATGCTTCCAGAAAATGCACCAGAGGAGCCTGAAGATTGGAAAACTCTACTTAAAGACTTTAGAGAAGCAATTATGCCTGGCGTGAGTAACTTTTTGCTAACAGTTTTGCAAACTCTACGCGTCAAATGAAATAATAGAATTCATTTGTTAATTTTTTGACCGATTTAAAACGTAAGATGATACTTAATTCGTCAGTATGTTTATTTTTGTAGGTACCTACGTCACTCCATTTTCTGAATTTTTGAATAGTTTATAACTCTAATTTAGATATATGTTTTTTAAATTACTTGTACGTTTTTGAATTACTAGGTATATATATTTTTAAAGAAATCTTACATGTTTAGTTTCATTTTTCAGGTAACGCATTGGCATTCCCCTCAATTCCATGCGTACTTTCCGACTGGATCGTCATATGCCAGCATTGTTGGAAATCTTCTCAGTGACGGATTAGGAGTCGTTGGATTTACTTGGGTTTGTATATCTAAATTTTATTATTAATTATATGTAAACATTGATTAACTCATATAATCGCTAATTACCCCAGCCAATCTGAAATTAATGGTATTCCTTTTATTTATTGTATTTTATGAGAACAAAACAACAAGGTTACTTTTTGTTTCCTATAATAATAATTATTTATTTGTTAATTGATATTAATGACTTCATTTTTTTTTTACTTATTTACTCTACATAATCCCTTTAGATGGCCAGTCCAGCGTGTACAGAACTAGAAGTGGTGACAATGAACTGGCTTGGAAAACTCCTCGGTTTACCTGAGGAGTTTCTTAATTGTTCAGCGGGACCTGGCGGTGGAATAATACAGGTAAAATGAAAGTGGAATAAACATACTAGTACAGTTTTATTTAAATATAACTTTTATATACACGCGATAGTGCAAACTAAGCTCGCACAAAATCAATTGTATACACGTTGCTACTATTTAGTATTTAAATGAAGTACTTTTTTCAAATACAGCACTACCTTCCGAGCCTTAACAAAAATTATAGTACTTGTTAATAATTTACAACATATATATAAATAAGATATAACATAATAGCAGTGCCGGATTCAACATTTTCGCCGCCCTCTGGGCACGGTAAAAAATGCCGCCCTATCATCGAAATTTTGCGTTAAATGGGTAAAGTTTTGATAAAATTTATTTTCTTTAGTTATTAATTTTTTGAAAAATATAAAAAAAAATTATAAATGATTTCAATTTTTCGAAAAATGTACTAGTAAAAATTTATATTTTTTTTTTTGGAAAATAAATAAAGAATTTTCGATTAGGCGAAATTTTTTTTTCTCTAACCTGGCTAGTGCCTCAAGTGAGTTTTAATTTTGAAATATATGTTCTAAAAGTAGTAAATTTTTAGACGCTTACAGTCTGACTGAACTTCAGCTGGCTACAGCTAAATTTACTTTTAAATAGATTTTACCTAGATTATTTGAAAGTTTAACAGGGAATAAATGTAATAAGTTGACATTTATTACCTGCGAAATTTCTTCTTTTTTCTTTTCTTCTTAAAACTTATTTAAAAGTTTAATTCATAGCCTAGATGAGCATTTAAACTAAGCTAAGCCAATTATAAATTGTTTTTTTTTTCAAGATATATTTAAAAATACATTTTTTTTTTGCTGAAAAGAAATATGAATTAAAGTTTCATTTTATAGGGTTCCGCAAGCGAAGCAACACTTGTAGCACTACTAGCTGCGAAAGATAAAATGATTCGAAGGCTAAAACAAATTGATCCAGATATAGACGAAGACTTAACAAAGACTAAGTTTGTCGCTTATACTTCCGAACAATGCAACTCTTCTGTTGAAAAAGCTGGAGTACTTGGCTCAATGAAAATGAGACTCCTTAAAAGTGATCACAATGGTAAATTACGTGGAGAAACTTTGAAGCAAGCCTTTGAAGAAGATAAAGCTCAAGGTCTCATACCATGTTATGTCGTAGCCACATTAGGTACCACTGGTACTTGTTCCTTTGATCCTCTGAACGAATTAGGATCTGTTTGTAAAGAAGAAAACGTTTGGTTACACGTAGATGCTGCATACGCTGGAGCCGCATTAGCATGTCCAGAGTACAGACATTTACTAAAAGGCATAGAATTTGTTGATTCGTTTGATGTCAATGTACATAAATGGCTACTTGTACATTTTGATTGCTCGGCCATGTGGGTCAGAGATGGGTATGACTTAATCAATGCTTTCGATGTTCAGCGTATTTACCTTGATGATATTAATGCTCCAGTGAAAATCCCAGACTACAGACATTGGCAAATGCCATTGGGACGTAAGTTTAGAGCACTTAAGCTGTGGACTGTATTGAAAATGTATGGGGCAGAAGGAATCAGAAAGCACATCAGAAATCATATAAGCCTAGCACAATATTTCGCAAAATTAGTTCAGAAAGATGAAAGATTTATTGTAGAACCGGAACCCGTTATGGGTCTAGTTTGCTTTAGGCTTCAAAAGGGTGATAAGTTAACTAAAGAATTACTAAAGAATTTAACAGACAAAAAGAAAATTTTTATGGTCGCCTGCACTTACAGGGGTCGATATGTTATACGGTTCGTAATCTGCTCGGCGTATACAACCAAAGAGGATATTGAAGCTGGTTGGAACATAATACAGAGTGAGACTGATCAGCTATATCCTCATGAATTAAATGTTAAATCTCAATCAATAACAACACTTGATCATTTAGAAACTTTAACCATCTCAGAAAAATCAAAATAAATATATTAAAAGGGACTGGTTTTTAGATAAACATGTTATGGATTTACAAGGGAGGTGGTGATAAATTAAATGATCTACATAGTATGTAATACACATTAAGTACTAATATATTCTATTAAAATGATGTATGAAACAAGAGCTGACATAACATATTGTCATATTAATTATCATAAAGGTTTATTTTAATAATTTTCATAAAAATATCAGTATTTACCTTTGGACTTAATAAAATTTTGAAACTTTTATTTTTTGCATTAAGTAATAAAATGTGATGATACAACCAAATGCTTCAAATTATAGACCTATCCTTAGTAATAATAAACGCTTCTTTAATAATTAACCAAGCGAACGCGAGTGGTAGCAGTGAGTTATTAGTATTCTGTATTTATTAGTAGGTATACTTATTTATTTATTAATACATTTGTTAAATTTTCTTTCACTTTTGTGTCTGTCATATTATATAGACCAATATCAACAGAAGCGCAAGGGTACTCACTCTTTGCGCTCTATCTTCAGAACGGTTAATCGTATATAAATATATTTCTTAGGAATAAAATAGAGAATTTAATGTTCTACAACTTTTGTAATGACTTGAAATGTCATTTTAATACTTTACTCATTCGTCATTTTACATTTGTATTAAAGCTATTTTCCTGTTTGTTGCGGATTCACGGATTAATTTTGTTTGGTTTGGTCCTGTCGTTATGAATGCTCTACTTTGTAAAGCCTTGCCTTGCATTGTAAAGTTTACAACAATATACCTAGTTATTATAGAAGGCGTTTACCAACAAAATTACACGTACCTACTTATACATTAATTTAGAAAAAAAGATAAATCGCACCGAAGTATTTTACAATTTAAATAAAATAAATAATTCTAATTAGCGTTGCTATTGTTTAATAATATGAAATAATTTTATTTGAGTTGTTTTATTATAATTTTACAATTTTAAGTTTAAAAAAAACATTCTATTTATGGTTGCTATGTTTTATCGATATTCATTTATTTGTCCTTCTTTCACGTCGAAACAGAGAGGCGGATTGGCGTGATTTTTTGTGAGAAGATACTTGGAGGGCTGGAGAGTGACATAAGTTACTTTTACCGCGCGAGATTATCTCATTCCCACGGGAAAACACGTTATAATCTTCTTCTTCTTCCTGCCCATTTCCCAATCACTCGGGGTCGGCGTAGTACATCTTGTGTACTGCTGATAGGATTTGGCAAAAGTTTTACGACCGGCCGCCTGCCTGACGTCAACTCACCTTGGAAAAAACACGTTATAATACAACCCAAAAAAAAATTATGATCAGAATTACTTGAAACTTGGTATTAATGCTCTTTAATACAATTAAATAAATACGTATTTTTAGCATTTTTCGAAATTAAAATTAAGATAGAGAATGAAAGTTTGTATGAAACCTACCTTTTTACAGTTTTTTTTTTGTAGTTTTAGCTCAAACGAAGCTGCGGGTTCTGTAGTATTTATATAATTTTAAAATATGAAATTTAACTAAATACTTCATTACACTCTCAGACCAATAAAAAAAGTATTTTATTGGTCTGAGATTACACTATTGTAATTGTAACAGCAATGACGATGATACTTCTTACACTACTCCCATAGTATATATATAATAGCAGATTTCACAATCATGAATGACCAGCATTGTTGTATAATTTTATATTTTATATTCCGTGAGAACCTGTCTATTACCATAAGTATATCTATTATTTAAAAACAAATTGTATATTGTATCTAAACTAATTCATTACTTTCCGCATTGTAAAATAAATAATATTTAATAATTTCTTTATATGGGAAACTTTTAATTTCCCGAAATAAAAGAGCAATAATATTGATTGACATAATTTTATTTTATATCTGAACAATTTTATATAAGCATTTTCATTAAATCGGAAAATTTATTTACTGAGATAAATAACACGAAGGCCTACCTACCTATCTATATGTATTATTGTACAAAATTTGATTAAAATGTATCCAGTATTTTTCGCGAACAAAATAATTAATATACACATAGAAGAATAGGTATAGAAGTACATAATAACAAAGCTGGGGATATTAAATAATACTTAGTATGTAAGCAAATATCCTTGAATTTGCACTAAGTAGCTATGTGGTTTAACGACACGTTTGGCTCAGTGTGTAGTGACCCTACTTGCTGTGCCAGCGGTCGCGGGTTCGAGTCCCGCTGGGGGCATTCATTTTGTGATGAGCACGAATGTTTGTACTCCAGTCATGGGTGTCTATATTTATAATGTGTATGCATTTAAAGTTTATATATATGTAGTGTATCAACTATCTGGTATCCATAACACAAGTCTCGTAGCTTATTATGGAACTAGATGGTACTGTGTGTAAATGTCCCAACATATTTATATTTATTTATTTATTTATTTATTAAATAGAATATAATTAAGCAATAACTTAAAGTGTATAAAATTTATTTATTACTAGCTAATATACAATGAATGAATACATAATTAAATGCAACTACAAGTGCCACTGACGCATATGCCGTAAGAATATCCCTTAGGAAGACAGTGCTCCTGACAGCTGGCATCCTCTGTCGCTTCCTCATGAGCACATTTCAGACGTCCTGGAAGACTGGGAACTTCTGCATAAACAAAACTGTTTGTTAATATATAATCTTCATACTAGTTGCCCTCAAATATACGTATAAGTATTTACTTCCTAATTCCTTTAGTAGTTTTATCCTGCATACTAATATCGTACATTCAATTATGGAGATCAAAAGTAACCTATAACACTATACAAACAATACCTATATTATGTAGGCATCCTATTAGTAAAGGATTTTAACAATGAAATTAGTAATTTGCCTTTTACAACCAAAATCAATAACTTTATCGCTATAGAATCCAATAATATTAACAAACATATATCGTAGTTTCGAGTAAAAAAATCCATATTCTAATAAGTGGATATACCTACAATGTATGAAAATATACAAATCATCTAGGAATCACGGATGAAATAACACCTACGCCTAAATTAAGAAATAGGCATTAAATATATGTAGGTACGTTTGGAAGCTAATTTTATCGCTTATGAAATTCTGTTTTATGTATAGATACAAGTTTTAAATAAAACTGTCTTTTTGGATTTTATTGCGCTTGACCTTTGAAACTGCTAAAACCTTAGTCTCTTCCGTGACCATGTTTGCTGTAAAACATTAAAATAAATCCACGAAACAATTCGAAAAGATAGTTTTATTTAAAATGTCAAATACTTGCGTAAATCTAAGAAAGTACCTACCACTAGATTTTTAACAAGAACGAGTCACTTATTATATTTTGACTTTTGTATATCAGACTTCCGTTTCCAATATCTTTTCCATGAATAGATGGAAAACAATAATTTTATATAACAAATACAACGAATAGAATTATGTATAAAATAATCATACCCGATGTAGGGTTTGCTTGTTTTGCAGCATCTTCAATATTTGTATTAATTTGTGGTAGCAAATCCGATTTAACCACACCGCTATCTCTAGGCAGCGCGTTAATATTCTGGAACAAAGTGATCACAGCTAAAACAAAGAGAAATAGTATCCCCTTGAATTCCATTTTGAAAAAATATTGTTTTTTATTTATTATGGATATAATTATAACAATATAAAAGAGCACTGTTTAATGCGCGTATCAACTACAGAATGAGAATGCATTTATGTTAGGTCAATGGAGGTGGCTTTCCTCGCAATACCTACTTACATAATATGAATCACTTGACCGTTGACGTGTACTCATGAAATACTAAGAACTGTTATGACTGGCGAATTAATTAGAAAAATATAAGTATTTTTCTAATTACTTTGCATTTAAAACACAGTTAAGCAGTAATTATGTTTTTGATAACTTCTTAGAGGTATCTAAATATAAATAGTACCTACCAGGGCGACCAAGCTTCGCTCAGCTTTTTTTTTGTGAAATCGTATTTTTTTTCGGAAAAGACATCTATATAGATAAACTAAAAAAAGCATGACCTTATCTAAATGTTAAACTTGATCCAAATCGTTACAGCTGTTTCCCAGATACACGAAATAATTTATATTACATATATATACAAGCTTTTCTCATTTCATATTTATTTATAAAACCCGTATATATAAAATTTACTGCCTTGGTGCTATAGTGGCTATAATGTACGACTGCACATCCGGAGATCCTGGGTTAGAGTCTTAGTTCTGGACAAGTTTAGTTTCATCCCTGTGCCTCGAAGTGCACCTATAGCCGGTTTGGTTCGTGATCTGCTACCGGTCGTGTCCAATTGTCATCCCACCGGAATGTGAGAGTAAAAGGAATAGAGAGTGCACGTTGTGTCTGCGCGTACACTTGTGCACTATAATATCTCCTGCGCTGTTGGCGAGTCGCAGATTCGCAGAGAGATTGGCCGCAGTGCTCGAAATCGGATAGGAGGACACGATACTGCAAAGTCATATAGGTTTTAAATTGACATAGTGTAAGTCTAAAAAGAAGAAGAAAGTTTATTACTTCAAATTAAATCAAACCCATTAATCCATTACATTACACAATTTACAGATAGGTAGATAAAATTGAAGAGTCTATTTGTAATGTCAAAATAACAAGTTTTTACTAAATAAATAAGAAGGTACATGTATGAAAAACTAAATTTTTAAAATTTGTCTGTCTGTCTGTTTGTTCCGGCTAATTTCTGAAACGGCTGAACCGATTTTGACGGTACTTTCACTGACAGATAACTCATGCTTTATGTACCTAGTAATTTAGGCTACTTTTATTTTAGAAAAAAAAAATTAGGATTTCGTTCAAAAAAATTAAATTTACCTAGGGACACACCCGAGCGAAGCGAAGGTAGTCTGCAGTAATATGATACAAAAGCTTATTGCGAAATTTACTTATTTTATAAAAAACATTATTTTTTAACATTTTGTTTCTTGTTTATCTACAATTTAGAGCATTTAAATAAAAGCTTATTTTTTAAAATGTTTTAATTGGTGAAATCACAATCTTTATATTTAAGGCTATGTGGACATCATTTTACAGAAAGTGATTTTAAAACTCTTAAATCGTCTACGGGTGAATATGTTTTTTTTTATTTTTGCAAAAAATTAATATCATTTGTACCCAAAAAATAAAAACTGAAAAAATTGTGGGCTAAAGCAATAAGACGACCCAAATTGGCGAAATCACAATCTTTATATTTAAGGCTAGGTAAATGGACATTATATTATTTAAAACTGAAATCGTCTATAGGTGAATATTTCTTTATTTTTTGTATTTTTTACATATTAATTAGTTTCACAAAAACGTTAATAACCAATTTTACCCTCTTGGGGATTGAATTTCGAAAGAGTCTAAAACATTTAGTATTATTTAATTATATTGAAGAGCATTAATAACAAGTTTCAAGTAATTTCTGATCATAAATAATTCTTTGCCCATACAAACTTTATTACCCCGTTTGACTCTTATAAGGGATGCATTTCATAAAAAAAATATATATTTCTTATTTTTTATTTTAAAGCTAAACACCACTTTCTGTGTATTTCACATTATGAACGACAGAGTTTTATACAATCTTACATTCTCTATTTTACCCACTTAGGGGATGAATTTCAAAAAAAAACTTTCTTATTGGATACCTATATCCTTTAGCGAATACGTCCTCGAAACACGTTTCTACGACCAGCCGTTTAGGCTATGTGATCCATCAGTCATTAAGGGCGTTTTCCAATGGGGAAGATTTCTCGAAAAGAGGGCGCTACACGTATGGCCTATTTACATTCAGTCTGAAGTTAAGCAAGTTATTGTGATATCTCTTTTATACCTGGTTTTTTGCTTCTGTTGTGTTCGCATCTTACATGTGCAATGTATTGTACCTAGAAGTTAGACCACCTGATGGAAGAATTGAGAAGGAAAGGTGCATACTGTGGTGGTCCAGATTGACTAATGGATCAACACAGCATATGCCGCTGATCATAGAAACGTGAAATTTAAGGACGTATTCCTTACATGATATAGGCATCTGAGCGGGTAAAGTAGGTGAATAAATATTGAATGAAACTCTGTCATTCTTAATGTGAAATACACAGGAAGTAGCTTTCAGATAAAAAACATATTTATTTGATTTTTTCCGCAATTCATCCCTTAAAGGGGTAAAAGGGGATAATAAAGTATATAAGGGCAAAAAATTATTTGTCATTAGAATCACTTGAAACTTGGTATTAATGCTCTTCAATACAATTAAATTAATACATGTTTTAGCATTTTTCGAAATTCTATCCCATAAGGGAGTAAAAGGGATGAAAGTTTGTATGAAACTCTGTAATTAATATGTAAAAGAGTACAAAAAAACATTCTTCTGCAGACGATATTTTAAAAGTTTTAAAATCGCTTTCTAAAAAATGATGTCCACATAGCCTTAAATATAAAGATTGTGATTTCACCAATTTTGGTCGTCTTATTGCTTTAACCCACAATTTCTTCAGTTTTTGTCTTTTGGGAACAATAATATCTATTTTCTTTGCATCCTAGCACTGTACAATTTGTTATTTTATTTAAAATGAATAAAATCCATCCACACTTTAACTGAGAGCTATAGTGAACGTGACATCTGGCGGGAGAAAAAGGCAAAATTCTTCCCCATTACATCTGCGTCGTCGTAATATAATCTATGTCTTTGACATTTGACAATAGTCATGTTAATCTGTGGTCAAGGCCCAAGGGCTAAAAACTTACTTACGTCATAATAAATACTAATTACCAAATAGTAAATACTATTATTTTTATTTGTCATCCATGCTAATACTTACTTTTGGACACCGGCAGAATCTTTTGATTATTAGGAAAAATAATAAAGATTTTCTGCAACTACGAAAAAATAGTTTTAATCATAAATATAAAATGGTTTACTTACATTTTCCTTCTAATTTAACAGAGGAAGAATTAATGCTACAGGCAAAATATCAAAAATTAAAGAAAAAAAAGAAAGCACTTCAAGCTTTAAAAGCTCCTAAGCAAGAGCCTGAAAAGCCAATTTTACCAAAACGACCAACTGAAGCAAGGGATGCTCGTGAAATAGCACGAAAACTTATTAAAAGTGGAGCAATTCAAGCTATAAAAAGCCCACCTCCTCAGCCGCAAAATGCAACATTCAAACGTCCTAGGGCAGGTAAATTTATATTTGTAAACAAGCGACTCGCACTCGCTTCGCTCGGGTTCGTCCCTTGGTGATTCTTTAAATTGACATAACTTTTTTTATTTATGAACCGATTGAAATAAATAAATTATAATAGATTGAAATAAAACAAATAATAAATGTTAAGTGAAGCTAACCAAAATACATTAATGAAAACTGTACCTAAATCGGTTAAGCCGTGTCAGAGATTAGTGCGCACAAATGCACAGACATACAGAAAAAAATCATTGTTTTGGGTTCTATTTCGTTAATAAAGACCTCCAATAATAGTATTTCCGAAATATTTTCCATGTACAGACAGCAATCAGTTACACTTTTATTATATGTACAGATATAGACTTTATGATGATGTTCTCCTAGCCGATTCCGGCTACGGCGGCCAATCTCATTGAGATTAGCCAACTGCGCAGGAGATATTATAGTGCTCAAGTGTACGCGCAGACACAAGTGCACTCTCTATTCCTGTCACTCTCATACTCCGGTGGGACGACCACTCGACACGACCGGTGAGATTTAAGGCGCAGGACCGACGGCTTTACGTGCTCTCCGAGGCACGGGGGTGAAGCACCGCCAACTTCCCAACTCTGGGCTGTTACTGAGACTTACTATACAGAAAGACTCAATAACTAAACTTGGCCCGATCCGGGACTCGAACCCAGGACCTCCGGATGTGCAGCCGCACATGCTAGCCACTACACCACTGAGGCAGTTAATATATAAATAATAGACTTTATATGTATATACTTTAATACTAATGATACTTTAATTCCTATAAAATCCTATGTTCAAATAAATGGTTCAAAGGGAGAGAACGTAAACTTAGTGGTTCAACTGGCTCTACTGGTGGTGTTGCATCTTATCAGCCCTTTAGTGCCTCACAAGAACCACCACCTCCTGAAGAAAAATCTGCACCCCGAGTTAAATACTTATATGACTCTTTTGTAACAGCTAGAGAAAAGTAAGTTATTTCACTATTATTAGCTCTACTTCTTTTATCTCTCCTAATATTATATTCACTGTGTTATAATGTATCTATTGTGTTATTACTTTATGTATAACTATGTAATAATATTGTAAATAATAGTAGATCTCTTATAAAAAATAGTCTGACTATAAAAAATACTTTGCATTACACCACAAAAAGTGTTTAAAAAATATGCAATTTTACCACAAAACGAAAATTAATAACAATTTTTTCTATTTAAGAGAAGAGAAAGGTGCTCGTAGCCACCCTGGAGAGGCAGCAAATGCAGGTGGAAAGACCACATTTTTACAAATTGTTGGTGCTAAAATTACTGAAGATGTTATAAGACGCCGTTTAGCTTCATTTGAACCATTTACATATACACAAGAAGCAGATGATGACAAGTAAGCTTTTTTTTTTTAAGTATTGACCATAGGTCTGACACTGCATTCTGCATTTTTATATATTAAATAGGAATATATAGTTATGACTCACAGAGTCTTAATAGATGATTTTAATTTTTATTATTAAGAACATAAAATATATATTTTTATAATTAAATGATATTTTAGACAGAATAATATAGTATTATAGAGACAGGTATAGTCCAACGCCAAAGAATATAGATTATAGAAGACATTTTTTTTTAGATTTATTGAATATATCTCTGTATAAAATGCAATATTTAAAGGAAAGAAAAAAAGAAATGTATCCAATTCTATGTGTGACCTTCTAATGTGAATGAATAGGGCACTACTATCTTCCTTGATTAGGATATGGATTAAGGCTGTTAAAGAGTGCTCCATTGAAATAATCCATTTAAATATAAATATTCTGCTAATAAAGTGCAGGTATAAGAATTTAACCAATGTTTCGGTGTGAAGTCATTAAAGAACAACATATAGAGTATGTAACCATTTTTAACACTAAAAATTAAAATTTCATTTGTTATTTGCACAGAAAATATGTACAATATAAAATATATTATTTGTATATAAAATATTAATAAAAATAGAAATTTCCTTGTCCTCAACTTAACTTACATAACTTTTAGTTAAAGATTTATCTGTTATTATTTGATATAAATTTAGTCAAAAAATGTTTTGTCAGGATGTGTACATACAACAATTGTAAAAAAAGAGATAGATTTCCACCAGAAGAATATAAATGTTACATAAATCATGCATTACAGGGTATTTCTTTCCTTTGATACTGTGGAAATGGCAACAAATGCTCACACTGCTCTCGATGGATGTGAGGAAGGATGGCGCATGACTTTTGTTAGAAAACCACCACAGCCTGCAGGATCTTGGACTCCTGCATCAACACCAAGAACTGCTTTACCTCCTAAAGATCCTAAGCGTACTCTGTTAACCTATGATGATATATTTGATTAATTCTTTTTTGGATAAATACATTTTGACAGATTATTATGCTTTAAATTTAGAAATATGTACATAAATAACTAAAAATTAGTTGTTTTTGTTTTTTATTAAATTAGTTCTTTAATCACAAAAAAATACAGATTTTGTTCTATGCTATTTAAAGGGTGTATATTTTACAATATAGGTACTTTTTTTGTGTTGATCTGCATTTCCAACATGATTACCACTTGTCTTACGATGAAGGAAAAAGTCGCGAGGAAACTTGCATGCGACCTAACAAGTTTTCGAAAGACGTGCAGTCTTTGGCGAAAGCCTGCTGAATATTGAGGAATGCTGAAGCAGTATTATTTTTCCTAAAATGATTTTAGAAGTTATACTTCTTTTGGCACGATTGGAAAAATATGAGAGTAAAATTTATACGATGCGCGCGCACACCAACAGCCAAAAAACGACATGATGAAGTTAGCTGAAAGCGACATGATGAAGTTAGCTGCATTCCTTTTACAAACAGAGAGTTGTGCGTGGTGACATACGGGATGAAAACTAGCTATTTTTGTTCTATTAGGCGAAAGAAGTATAACTTCTAACGTGCGTACATAAGTACATGCACACACGTTTTTTTTATAAAAAATTCATTCGTCGTTACTTAATATCCTTTTCTTTTCATATATAGGCTACTAATGCGCATATATCATGAAACAAAGATATAACTCATGTCATCTAAAAAGAGCGCTGGAAGAAAGTGGTGAGGGTATGTGTGCGCATGGGTATACTGAATACTCGCGCACAGAAGTACTAAGCCTATTATTTTATTTTTCATAACATTTCGCTCGCGGCTTTATATATTAGTTATTGGTAGGGACATTGAAAAATATATTAGATAGAATACATTAAATAGAATTGTATTAATTATTAAAATATGTTTGATTCAGTGCAGAATGTTCAATCTACTTACAAAAAATTAAACTAATACATTTAATACATTTTTTCTTATTATTAACTGCATTATTATTAGACTTAAAGATGTGTCAACTCGAGTTGAATTCTCTCTGACTTGAATTGGATTTGCGTGGTAAATGAACGAATCAAGCGAGTACCTACGCGATTGACCTTACGCAAACGCGGCGATTCGTTCGCGTTGTGTTCATGTTTTGTACAGTCGTCAGCACTTCAGACTATACATTTATGTTGCAAAATCGCTCCTATTACAACCGAATAAGATGCCACAGTATTTAACTTAATCGCTGTCGTCCGTACTCCCGTCATAGCGTTTCGACCGAATGACAGCGTTATAATATCCATACTAATATTATAAATATGAAAGTATGTTTGCCTTCTTTCACGTCGAAACGGAGTAACGGACTGGGGTAATTTCTTGTGTGAAGATAATTCATAGTTGGAGGGCCGGAGAGTGGTATAGACTACTTTTTACCGCGGAAGATTATCTCATTTCCACGGGAAAACACGTTATAATACAACCCAAAAAAATATTTATGATCAGAATTACTTGAAAGTTGGTATTAAAGACCATGATGAAGATGTGTCCGTAATTCCGTGCAATAACCCGCGAATCTGTGCTATTAAAATAGTATTAGAAGAAAAATCGTTTATTGTGATGAGTGTGTACATGCCCACGGATGCTCCTGACAATCTAATGGATTTTACAGACGTCTTAAGTGCGGTAAGTGCGATTATTGATACGTGTGGGGAAAATTGTGTGTACATATTGGGTGACTATAACGCGCACCCTACAGAGCGGTTTTATAACGAACTTTCTCAGTTCTGCTTAGAGCAAGATTGGACATGTATAGACACTGATATGCTAGGTTCTAACTCGGATACGTATACTTTTATAAGTGAATCACACGGGTCCAAGCGGTGGCTTGATCATTGCTTAGCCACGAAATCTGCTATAGACTCTGTACGCAGTGTATACGTGTTATATGATGTGTTATGGTCCGATCATTTTCCATTGATTGTCGAATGTAGCTTAAACGTATTAATATCGAAAAAACCTGTAATAAGCACTTGTCATAATAAAGTAATTTGGGGGGAGAGAAGTGTAGAACAAATAAACACATACAGGAGGGAATGCGATGTTAGGTTAAGCTTAATACAACACCCTGATGAGCTTAATGATTGCTGTAATCGTACTTGTAATAATTCTAAGCATAATGACATTGTGACTAAGTTGTACAGTGACATAGTTAAGGCGTTATCGGAAGCCTCCGTGGTGGGCCGAGAGTGTAAAAAGCATATAAAAAGCAAGAAAGTTATAGGCTGGAATAAGCATGTAGCGGAAGCCCACGGGAAGGCCAGGCATAAGTTTTTATTATGGTTGTGGTACGGTAAACCAATTGCAGGACGTGTCTATGACGAAATGTGTGAGGCTAGAAAAATTTTCAAATCAAAATTAAGATGGTGTCAAAACCATCAAGAGCAAATTAAAATGGATATTCTAGCCTCACATTACTCTAGGAAAGATTTTCGGGGATTCTGGAAGTATACGAATAAGCTGAATAGTAGGCCGTCTCTTCCCGTGAGCATAAATGGTATTTGTGAGCCTGTCAAGATTTCTAATATTTTCGCGGACCATTTCATCGTTAAATCACCACAGGGGCCTTCTGAATCAATGTTTAATGTTGAGACCAGCAGGGAAATGGGGATAAGTTTTCTTAATAAAGATATCTCTCAAACAATTAAGTGTATGACTAGAGGTAAATCCCCTGGTCATGATGGTCTTAGCATTGAGCATCTTCAATATGCTGGGCCGCACCTTCCCAGAGTTCTATCGATGCTTTACAATCTATGTGTAAGTCATAGTTTTATGCCGAGTGAAATGATACGTACGATAGTCGTGCCTATTGTGAAAAGCAAAACGGGTAACCTAACGGATAAAAATAACTATAGGCCTATCTCTCTGGCTACGGTTATATCGAAGGTATTTGACAGTATGCTTAACCAGCTATTAAATATTTACATAAAACCTCATGATAACCAATTCGGTTTTCGACCTGGTTTGTCTACGGAGAGCGCTATATTAGGTCTTAAGCATACTGTCAATTACTACACAAAGCGTAAGACTCCCATTTATGCTTGCTTTTTAGATTTGTCCAAAGCTTTTGACCTGGTTTCTTATGATATACTATGGAAAAAGATGAATGAACTAAATATCCCATTAGAACTTACCAACATATTTAAATATTGGTACAGAAACCAGGTCAACAACGTACGATGGGCAGGAGCCTTATCAAGGCCGTATGGGCTGGAGTGCGGGGTGAGACAGGGGGGATTGAGTTCACCAACGCTTTTCAATCTTTACGTGGACGATTTGATCGCTGAGCTCAGCAGTACCAGGGTCGGCTGTTACGTGGATGGTGTTTGTGTAAACAATATTAGCTACGCTGATGACATGGTGCTGTTGAGTGCATCAATTTGTGGCCTTAGGAAGCTAGTGGCCATGTGCGAGGCTTATGTAGAAAGACATGGACTGATCTACAATACGAAAAAAAGTGTAGTGATGGTCTTTGAGGCCGAGAGTAAATCAAAATTTAATGTACCACCTATTACCCTTAATGGTGTAACTTTAGAAATGGTGTCTAAATTTAAATACCTAGGACATATATTGACTCCCGACCTCAAAGACGACACGGATATAGAGAGGGAACGAAGGGCGTTGTCAGTGAGAGCGAATATGCTGGCCCGTAGGTTTGCACGTTGTTCATATAGTGTTAAACTCACCTTGTTCAGAGCATATTGTACAACTTTTTACACGTGCAACCTGTGGGCCAAGTACTCTCAAAAATCATATAACGCGCTTCGTGTTCAATATAATAATGCCTTTAGGGTGCTGTTGGGATTGCCCCGTTTTTGTAGTGCATCAGGGATGTTCGCAGCAGCGAGGATAAATTGTTTCTATGCCACGATGCGCAAAAGATGTGGTTCCCTGGTGGATAGATTACGGGGTAGTACCAACAGCATCATGAGGGTAATTGCCAGTAGGTTGGACTGTAGATATGTTAGCCACTGCTGTGCTATTTCTTGTTAGTAATGTAATAATGAATAAAATGTATCTAGAGTGTAAGTACTAACATAGAATATAAGCACTTTGTATACTAACAAAATATGAGTCTTAGGTTACTTGAAATAAAATTTATTATTATTATTATTATTATTAACGCTCTTCAATACAATTAAATAAATATATGTTAGCATTCTTCAAAATTTATCCCGTAAGGGGGTAAAATAGCGGATGAAATTTCGTATGAAACCTACCTTTTTAGAGTGTCTTTTTACTTTTGGCGCGAGCGAAGCCGCGGGTTCTGCTAGTAATAATATAAATAAATATAAAAAATATAATAATTATAACTGTCCCAATAAATATTTATTTAGAATCTGTACTATTTTTTTAATATTTTTGCGAAGCCGAGTCATTAAATTGGTATAAACAAAACGAATCATTCACTTCATTTTTCATCCAGTTAACTCGAGTTACGTGAATTTCAACTCGAGTTATATTTTTTCCGAGTTGGCACATCACTAATTAGACTCTTTGTAAAAAAATATACATCAAAAACAATTTTTCTCTTTTTTATATATAAAACCATTTCGTAATTAAAAACTTTTGTGTGCGGGATGGTATTTCGTACTGACGTTCTTTTTAGATGACGCGAGTTATAGAAACTAGGCAGATATTTTCTATCTTTTTTTCTCCACGCCTCACCACCACACACTACACAGTGCTGATTGGTAGTTGCCTACTCTATAATATGTATTATCTCTATAGCCTAGTTCGCATTAAGCTAGTATTTTAGTCTAGTAGCGAGTAATTCAGTAGCTAAATTACTCGCTACTCGCCAAAAATCGTTCGCACTTTGGTCGAGTACAGTTTACAAGTGAGTGGTGTTTTGCAAGATGAACAGCCTACAACGCAATAAAGTAAATAAACTGATTAAGCTGATCGTAACGGCTATTTTAGAAGAGGTGGATGAGGAAATTTGTGTGATTAATAAAAAGAAGCTATGGGTACGAAAATGGATCGAAAGACGAGATAAACTAGGAGCTACTAATTGTCTTCTGAAGGAATTAGCATTGGAAGATCCCAAAGAATACTTTGATAGTTTGAGAATGTCCGAAAGTTGTGTAAAAACGACATTATGGCGGCAACTAATGAACTCAACTAATTCGACAGGTTCGTACTTGTTTAGCCGGTGAACCTGTGAGCTCGGACGCGTGGTGGGGGCTGCTACTCGCCCAAAAAAATAGAATAAAATGGATTGACTCGACTAAATTACTTACTAAACTAATCGACTAAATTTTTAGTGTTCAGACACGTTTAGTTACTAAATTACTCGCTACTAGACTAAAATACTAGCTTAATGCGAACTAGGCTTATAAGTCGAACACGACTAACCAAAGAAATGTAACCACTACGTTTTAACTTTTAACTAACATCACGCCGAATTGAACCGTGAACGTCTTTATCTGAGCACACAGTCATCTCACGAGTTTTTGAGTGAAAAACTTATTTCTTTACATGTGTTTCTTTACAAGTGAAAAACTTATTTCTTTACATGTGTTTAGGTACATTTAACTAATGATAAATAATTTAATGGTTCTTATCAAAACAGAAAAAATCGAAAATCAATCTAGGGTGAAATATCAATTCACTGGATCGATTCAGTACTATTTATCGATTTAAAAATCGATCTTTTTGGTTAAGCGATCTCAGATCGCCATGCCTATTGCTGATTGCCTATTGTCTTTGTGATCCATGTAAGTTTGTATCCAAACTTCCAAAGATTACTACCATAGAGTATATTGCTACATATATAAACTACTACTGTATAACTGTTTCTCTGTGAAGTGTGCTGTCAGCTGCTGTGTGATCATTAAAATCTTTATTTGTCAATTGTCATTTGTCATTCATATTCCATGATTAAATTAAAATGTCTCATTAAACAAACATTATTTTTCAATAAATTGATAATTTGGACGAAGTAAAAAAAAAGAAAAATCAAAAATGTTTCGCATTGTAAAGAATATTACACCTTTCTTTTCAAAAAAAATACTTCATCGCTCATCACAACAAGAAAATGCTGTTTTCATGTTTATACAAGGAAAATTCTTATCAGATTCTGGTAATTATTAAATAATATTATAATTATATGTAGGTCATGTAAAGCAGATGAAAATAAATATAAATTTAAAATTATAATTTGTTGTAGTTAATGAGAAATTTTCTCTAAAACATGATGAAATCGGCCGGCCACTTTATTTTGATGCACAAGCAACCACTCCCGTTGTAAGTAGAAGCATATATAAATAATTAATGATATATTTTTCAGTAACGTGTAAAAACCTAATAGAATAACTATTTTTAGGATCCACGAGTACTTGATGCAATGCTGCCATATCTTGTTAATTACTATGGTAATCCACATTCGCGTACTCATGCTTATGGTTGGGAAAGTGAAGCAGGAGTAGATAAAGCTAGAGAGCAAGTAGCTAGTCTAATAGGTGCAGATCCTAAAGAAATAATATTTACCTCTGGAGCAACTGAGTCTAATAATATATCTGTAAAAGGAGTAGCTCATTTTTATGCACCAAGAAAAAATCATGTTGTGACAACACAAATTGTGAGTTTTTGTAAATCCTCCTTAGAAAAAAATATTCATACCTTTTTCAACATTTTTACTTTTTGTATACATATTGTATATTTTTACAACTTATGACTTCCTTACAAATTTTAGGAACACAAATGTGTTTTGGATTCATGCCGGGCTTTGGAAGGTGAAGGCTTTAAAGTAACATATTTACCTGTTGGACCAAATGGAATTATAAACCTTCAAGAACTTGAAGAAGCACTCACACCTGAAACAAGCTTGGTTTCGATTATGACAGTAAATAATGAAATTGGTATGTGTTTTATATATGAGTATGGCCACCAAAAATTGTACATATGGAAAAAAATCAGTGTCTCTCTCAAACAAAATAAAATATTTTCATATACTACTTCATTTAATGTTATGTTACAAATAGTTTCAGGTACACATTTTCACGTTTATACTTATGGAAAAATTTAATTAATTTCGATGTCCTTTAACAGCTGTTTTTTAATTTTTTTTCTAAGAGGGTAATCTTGGCATCCATACAAAAATCTTGTGTCCCACTACAACATCTTATAATTTGAAATCAAAAAAATATGCTAAAATGCCTAATGAAGTGTTAATTTTTAGCATTGCTAAATTGTTTAGTTAGTTTTATAAGCTGTAGTGATTTTTAATAACAAGTTACGTAAAAACTTATTGAAAATAAATTAAAAAGTATGTGTCTCGATTTTTGTTCCCGAATGATACTTCACGCAAGTTACTATAAATCACAATGAAATCAGTCTAGATTCCAAGTCTTTAAACATATTTTACTTATATAACAATCCCATTTACAAGTTCGCGACCCTGTACACTAAAATCGTCATTTTGTTTTCTGTGAAAATGAAGATTAAAGTGGCCGGCACTTTTGTCTCGGTAGTTTTTAATGTTTTTATGTAAGAAAACGCACGGTAAGAATGTAATTTGACAATATAATTTTAATCTCTATGTGTAGATAGATCATTCAGTTAACAAATAAACCTATTCGTCATGTTCTTACTCCAAAATAAACCCGCATACATGTTTTTTAGATTACGTACAACACAGTATTTTTGATTCACGAATGATATCCTGTGTTACTTAATGTGTTACGTAAGATTCGTGATCAGTTCTTAAGGTTAGTGTACACTACAGAACTTAAATTTCAACTAATTTTTTTCGCAAGTACGTATCCGCGCAGGGTATCTAGTAAATTCTCGAAATTGAGGCAGCTCTGGTTTTTGCCCATTATTCTGAACAAATTTTTCTATAGGACTAACTTCGTATAGTGAAAAAATATTAGCTGTTCCATACAAAAGTTCAACACCTACTCGGCTTAAATTTCGACTGAGTAGATATTATACAATTGAGCTTTTGTCTGGATCAGCTGTTTTTTTATTGTACAGAATTGGTCCCATAGAGAAGGATGTTTAGAATGATGGTGGGTAGAACACCAAGGCTTCGGCTCAAAAACCAATGAAAATTCAGCATCTATAATTGTGAAGCCAATCAGTATCTTAGTTTTTTTTAATAAGTATTATATTCCAAAATAAGTAATTTTTGGTAAACTCTGTTTTATTAAGGTAAAGACATCATTAAAGTGTACTTGAATTCTTTGTATTATTGCGACAATAATACAACTTGATATTGTGATATGTGACACACATACTACAAAATGTGCACTATGCTTAACAAAGTTCACATGTGTTACATTCATTCACGTATGTTAATGAGTGTTACTAATTTACGAATGATAATGTACAATTTTTGGCGGCCAGACTCATATGTGTTTAAAGTTTAAAAAAATTTTTTTTAGTTTCCTTCACAATAAACTTATATTAATTGGATTATATGAATTTTAGGTGTCTTGCAACCAATTTCTGAAATTGGAGCAATATGTAAGAAAAATAAGATATTTTTTCATACTGATGCAGCACAAGCTATTGGCAAAATACCTTTAGACGTGAATAGTATGAACATTGATCTTATGTCTATTTCTGGGCATAAAGTATATGGACCTAAGGGAGTAGGTGCTCTGTATATTAGACGTAGGCCAAGAGTTCGTGTCGAACCACTACAGAGTGGTGGAGGTCAAGAGAGAGGAATGAGGAGTGGAACTGTGCCTACACCATTAGTTGTGGGATTAGGTAATAATTGTCAAATTATTCTAAAGTCATTCAGTAATAAATATAGTATAAATATAATTATTACAAATATTTTCAATACTTGTTTATCATTACATAGGTGCAGCATGTGAATTAGCACAAAATGAAATGGCCTATGATCATGCTTGGATTAAAATGTTGGCTGAAAGATTTTTAAATACTATTTATTCCCGATTAAAACATGTTATAAGAAATGGAGACCCTCAGCAATCATATCCTGGATGTGTAAATATATCATTTGCATATGTAGAAGGTAAGATGGAAATCATTCAAATAGTTTGTTTTTTCTTCAGTACCATATGAGGGACTGGAAATTTATAAACATTATTTTTCAATACTGACTGATGCCACATTATTCAGCTTGAGTATTATATTCTAAAAACTTTTTACTGTACTTCTAAGGTATCTAAGTGATACTAATCAATTTAATGACAAAATATTCAGTATTTGAAGTTGAAAGTTTTTGTATGAATTGTATGTTCTCGTCTACATAAATGAAATAAATTACAAATTTTAGGTGAATCATTATTAATGGCATTAAAAGATGTGGCACTATCAAGTGGCTCGGCCTGCACCTCAGCATCTCTAGAACCATCATATGTTTTAAGAGCTATAGGAACAGATGAAGACCTAGCCCATAGTTCAATAAGGTATGAAATCGTTTATTATACAGCAGTTACTTTATATGATTACTAGCATTGCCCGCGGCTCCACCCGCGTTCAGATGACCAAAAACCAAATTCTTAGGTTTTACATATTAGTATACTCTTACATTGCAGTTTTTGTATTTTTTCTCAAAAATGAGATATTTTCCCGTGGTAAAAAGTATCCTATATGTAGACCCGGATAACCAGCTATCACCATACCGAATTTCATCAAAATCCCTCCAGTGGTTTTTCCGTGATGCAGTAACAGACAGACAAAAATTCTAAAAACTGTAGATTCGGTCTGTGTATCGATAATAATGTCTATTGCAATAAGATTTTCCAAAAAATATTTAATGTACAGATTCGCCTTAGTTACAATTTTATTATATGTATATATAGATATAGCATGTATGTTTGTACACATTGTACTTATAAGTAATCATTTTTTAATATTATATAAATACTTTAGGGTTACAAGAAAAAAAACGTTAGTTTGACATTTTAAATAAAACTATATTTTCGGTTTATTTTGTGAATTTATTTTGATTTTTGGTTCCTGACGTTACGAATGCTTCACAGCAATCATGGTCACAGGAGAGACTAAGAAAGTATTATAATGTTAGTTTGGTTTAGGTATGATGGAAGAAAAATTGTGGCACAGCTAAATGAACTTATTTAATTAAAAAAATATTAGTCCTTTAAAAATTACACTAATTTAGCAAAAAGGACTTACACAAATTATTCATTGTGATTCATTTGATAACTACACTATTTTAAATTAAGATTACATTCAAAAGATTATATGTATTGATCAATATGCCTTTTTAGCTTAGCAACCCCAAACATAACTTTGTTTTAGGGTCTAAGATATTGCAGTAATGTTACTAATACTATAAAAATAAAAGATTGTGGAGATCTTATTTACACTGATATTTTTTTATTAAGTCTACATCCAAACGTATTGAATCAATATTTAATACTTTCAGATTTGGATTGGGAAGATTCACAACAATTGAAGAAGTGGACTATACAGCTGAAAAGACAATCAGACATGTAGAGCGTTTGAGAGAAATGAGTCCTTTGTGGGAGATGGTTCAAGAGGGAGTTGATATAAAGTCAATCCAATGGTCTCAACATTAAATATATATAATATTCAATAAATGCACATTGTAATAAAAATTACAATTAGATCCGGAAAAATGGAATTCGATATATAATATCGTTTATAATACTATGACCTACAGCTTGAGAAATAGAGTAGTGGGCATGTGATAATAAGAAATTATGTTTTATTTAGATTAATACTGTAAAGTTTAAAGTGACATGTTAATAATTGTAACTATATTACTTTCTTTATCAAATAAAAACATCGTAATTTGTAAATAGAATTTGCTTTCTGCTTCAATCATTCAATTAATAGTACACTTATTTACATATTATCTTATTATTTACAGTGTACTTTACTAAGTGTATGTAGCAGGGTGGCGTAAAAAAATCGCCTTTTTTAATTTTTTCGTATCTCGTATGAAAATGTGTTAGCTTTTTATTTTAAGAGTCAATTTTATTTAAGTATTTTTTTTGGAGTGGCTCAAGATTCTTAAAAATTCGCTAAAAAACACCAAAGGCGATGAACTTTAAAATGTTCATAAATTCTGACTAAAAATCAATATTTTAAGCTTTGATGAAGTTACTGTTTTTTTAATTAAATCTTGAGCGAACCTTACAGATTTTTTTCGAGCTCTTTAAATACGACTCAAAAAAAACTAACATATTTTCATACGAACCACGAAAAAAAATACTCGGTATTTTTTGCGCCACCCTAATATGTAGGTATACTTTAAAAATAACAATTAACAGCCTAAATTACTACAGTAATTATGTATTGAGGTACATAAAAAAAAAATAAACATAACATCTGAGGCAAATTAGCATGTTATAGTATTTCATTAAAAATAACTCAACACAATACACATTTCAATTCCAGTTTCTAGTTTTATTTTAAGATTCCTTATAATAAAACAACTACTGCCAACTTCTTAATCTATATCTCAAGGAATTTTTGGGATGTACTAAGTTTAATTCTATAATATTCTCGTTGAACTTTTTATCAAGTTCTTGGTATAAGGGGAAAACAAAGAACAATGGGTTCAACTTTGTATGAACTATGAATATAGAAACCACATGCAACAGCGATAAGACTCATTGCATATAAAAGATCTTTGATTGTAGGTACTTAGTTCTTTATAATGGCATCTAAGTTCAATTCCAGTGTGAAAAAAACCACACTACTATTAACTAAAAATTTCATCAAAAGCATGTTTTATTAAATAGTGTAATGAGTGGTAATAATAAAACTAAAAAGTAATGTTAATATATGGCTGATGAATGAAACAGAATTAAAGCAAAGAATTATTGATCTTTATTTTAAAAATATGCATTAAGCTATTGGAGTATATGTTAACAATTATATTTTATCAAGTCTATTACAAATACTAGGTTTGTCACGACACAACCTCTGGTAATAAAAATGCATTTGCAAAATGAATTAAACATAAAATTAAAGCTGTTGTAGCTCTTAAAATTATTACTTATAAATTAAAATAACAAAATAAATTAACATTGTTATATACAGACAGCACTAAATGAAAAACGAAAACATTAAGAGATTATTTAATCAGTACATTTTATAAAGTTAAATGTTCGTAGCGTACAATTCACTCGATTTGTTATAATGCCCTAAAATATCAATGTGATGTTGTCATACCTTGTTTTTAAAAATTTAATTTCTTTGTTTTGTTTAAAGATCTCTTTAAATAATTCACTTAACAAGGTCACATAAATTAACACTCAATATGTTAAGTGAAACAGATCCATTCTACCAAAAAACATTTTAATTTATTTTGCAATTATGAAATAGATTTTTTTTCATATTAATACATACCTATTTGTTAACAATCGATAAATTACTAAAGCATACAATTTTATGTAATGTTTTACAAAAAAAAACGGTATTTATAGAATTCAAAGCAAAATATTAATAAATTATAATTACATATAAGTCCTAGTCTACAGTTCACCAAGGATTTTTTTTAACTACTACTATAACAACATAGGACTGAGATATCCTACCATTGTATCTGTAGAATGATTTGATACTATATAATAATAAATACTATGAAAATATTATGACGTTATTTTAACTAATTCGGAGAGGGGACGATTTGACTGAATATTTGATTCTGTTTTATGTTGCTTGAGTTAAATCGTAAAACAACCTGTTAGTAATAAATTTTAAACAATCACCATTTCGACACGTTCCATATCTATCCACAACTGTATCTACCACTATCAAACTTTGGTAGAAAGAAAAGTTGGGCATCTTGTCAAAACGAAAACGAAAAACGAAGCTACTTGTGAAGTTTCAGCTTGTTATTAATAGTTAAAAAAACCCATGGTGGACTGCAGACTATCTGTTATTATCGTTTTATTATAAATGAATGAATAAAATAATGACATGTACAAATTACTATGATACTGACATCTCTTAAGAAAATATGGAGTAATACAAAGTTTTAAAATACTATACATATCTAAGATATTATTTTTAAACTGCATATGAAAAGTATGTAAATAGTTTCAGGTACATAAATAAGTTATGAGAAAATTCATAGAAAATCACTGAAATCACAGCAGAAGAATATAATACAAAAATGTAAAGTAATACTTTATTAATACATTCTATTTAATCTGAGACATACATAAATGTAGCTGCTTCTAAGTAGTTCAGAAACATATAAATTAATACTTTGTGCTATTGCTTGGATATAACCACAGAATTTACAACTTAAAGGGATTGGTTAGATCTCTATAAAAAATAATCAATATAATGCTAAATTTTTTCATACACATATTACTAGGTACATGCTTTTTGCAATTTTTAAGTAATTTAAATGTTAATAATACAACTATTAAAAAATTCTAAGAACTTTTTCTTATGTCGGTCTAATTCATTAAAAATGCTATCTGAGCAAATTGTCATATTCAATGAAATATAAGATGTACTCAAAAAAATATTTTTTATCTACAAATTTTTCATTTTAAACTGAAACAAAACTGATAATGATAATTCACAAATATACTTATTTGCAATCTTAGCTCTGTAAAGTGTATAATACAATCTAGCATTACAGTATACAAAATAGCAAAGTCATATAAAACATGGAGCATATTGTATACTCAAAGTTCATACACAAACAAATCACAACTTCAATTTAAGCTATCAGTGTGACTAATATAGCCAGGTTTTAGAAAAAACAAATACCTAGTAGAAAAATAAAAATTAATATTACATAAACAAACTATTATCAACTAAAAAGAGAAACATTGTTACCTTTGTTTTCTTTTCCTCATTTTTATTTAAAAATGATAACTTAAATTGTCTTACTGACATCATATTTAATATGTATATTGTTAACAATTACAGGATGGCTCATCTGGTGGTTCTGGATTAGTTATTTTGAAACTATTGTGATCTAATCTCTGAAGTTCAATTCTTGATCTATTTGATTCAACCAATTGCTGAGCAATATCTATAAACATTTCTTCTAAGCCTTGTCCACTTTTACAAGATGTTTTATATGTACTGCTGATGAGGTTGTGACACTGTTCACTAAAAAATAAAATATTTTTAAAAAATCACATACATAGAATTATCTATTTATAATTAATTTTCATTCATATAGGTAAGTGCTCTAAAAGCTCTCATCCCTCAAAAAAATATTTTTCTATTTCCAAATTGAAAAAATGCAGCTAAAGGTTGATAAAGTGTACATGCCTTGTCAATCATAATAATATTAGTTTTATCATCCATAACACTATTAATTACTTACGAAAAATAATAAACGTTTTACCAAAAGATGTCTATATCAGCATCTGTAACTTGGGGACATGATCCTTCTAAATCTGATTTGTTGCCACATAAATATATTTTTGCATTCTCGGCGTAAGTTACAATATCCAGTAGATGTTGACTCAATACATGAAATGAAGAAGCATTATCCAAAGAAAATACGAGGATGGCTGCTTCGGCATATTTGTAATAACTTGAAGTAACTGATGCTATTCTTTCCATTCCACCAGTATCCCAAAGCTGTAACTATAATTTATATTTATCTTTATGAACAATTAAAATATAAAAAAAATTGTAAATTTTAATCAAATAAGCAAATAACCTTGACGTCTTTGTCTCCAACCCGGTACATTTTTTCAAAGTGATCTAAGCCCAAAGTCGACCTCTTATCGGCGTTTGGCATGAAAGTATTATTTATAAATCGCCGAAAAATAGAGCTTTTTCCTACACCATATTCACCACATAGTATTACTTTTAATATAGGTGTTTTAACAATAGCCATAGTTGAAATTCGTAAGTCTATAAATATTATTGTCGGCTTAAGTAAATTTTAATATCATATAAACTTTTAGATTATAATTCAGCTTATATAATAATGACACGATCTTTCAATTTTATATTAATTCCATTATTACACCACATTAAGCAAGATGCCAAGAACTAGAAATTGAAAATTTCGATTTTTGATAGGCCTATTCAAGCATAGACAAAAACAGATGATTAATTTTTCGATAGCATAAACTAAAAAAATCTATTAATTTGTATTCTATGCAAAAAGTAGGAAATGGGAAGGAATTATGTTTTTTTCTCCCGCCAGATGTCACAACCACTATGGCCCTCAGTATAATATAAAGCCATAAACCGTGGTTTTTAATAATTTTATTTAAAATTTAATTAAAATGACAAATTGTGCAGAGCCACGATGCAAAAAAAATGGATATCATTTGTACCCAAAGCATAAAAACTGAATAAATTGTGGGCTAAAGCAATAAGACTACCAAAATTAGCGAAATCACAATCTTTATATTTAAGGCTATATGGACATCATTTTAAAGAAAGTTAATTTAAAATTGAAATCGTCTACAGGTGATATTTTTTTTTTTATTTGTGGTACTCTTTTATATATTATTTATTACAGAGTTTCATACAAACTTTCATCTCCCATTTGATCCTCTTAGGGGATTGAATTTCTAAGTATGCTTAAACATGTATTTATTTAATTGTATTGAAGAGCGTTAATACCAAGTTTCAAGTAATTTTGATCATAATTTTTTTTTGGGTTGTATTATAACGTGTTTTCCCGTGGGAATGAGATAATCTTCCGCGGTTAAAAGTTGCCTATATCACTCTCCAGCCCTCCAACTATCTTCACCCAAAAAATTACCCCAACCGTCACTCCGTTTCAACGTGAAAGAAGGACAAACAAACACACTTCACATTTATAATATTAGTATGGATATTATAACGCTATCATTCGGTTGATACGCTATGGCGGAAGTACAGACGACAGCGATTTAAGTTAAACACTGTGGCATCTTATTCGGTTGTAATAGGAGCGATTTTGCAACATAAATGTGTAGTCTACAATGCTGACGACTGTACAAAGCGTGCACACAACGAATGAATCGCCGCGCTTGCGTAAGAATGAGAGCGCGTCAATCGCGTACTCGCTTGATTCGTTCATTTACCACGCCAATCCAAATTCGAGTCAGAGAGGAATCAACTCGAGTTAGTAAATCGAGTTGACACATCTTTAGTTTGTGGACATGGATGACAAATAATTGTAGACAGTTGTGTTTAGTGTTTACTATTCAGTCAAGGTGTAAAAGTAACGAAAAATAGCGTACCCGTATGCATTCGTTACTATAGCATCAGTACTCGTTACTTTTGAATCGTTACTCGTTACTTTTGAATTTTGATACCCGATAACATACTCGTAGAGCATCGCATCGAGTCGTGTTGCGTATGTATTGCGTACGGTATAAATTATACGTTATACCGTATACCATTGACGTCGCGTTGTTTTCTGTGGAATAATGCACGATCAACAAACCATTTCAATTGTAGAGTTACATGATATCCAGAACTCGTAAATTTTGATTATTTATAAATTACTTACAATATAAATATATTAATATTATATATTAATTACAATTTAAATTACTAACAATATTTTTTTATTCATAATTTTTGAAATTAAATAATAAATTGAAAATAGGTAATTTAAAAATGAATAAGTAACGGCATCTATCACGTTAGTGTGACGTCGTAATGCATATTTTATTTAAAATCAATTGCGCGAATGATTTATCAAATCATAATCTGTATGTATTACACATAATCACATGATCATGTCTCACGTAGGATAAATAGATAATTATTGTATTACAATATTGTACACAATTATTATTTTAAAAGAGCCGTTGTTGAGAATCTCGTCGGTTCTTCTTAGCAGAAAACTTTATTCCGAGCCGGTGGTAGTTCCTAACGGACTAACATTTAATTTTAATTTAAAATGTAAAATTGACGATTCAAAAGAGCTTGTAAAAGTTTATTTGAATAAAGTATATTTTGATTTCATTTGACATAATCATTTAGTAAAAATTATAAGTATTTGTTGGATAAAAAACAAAATGTGTTCTAAATATAATGGTTGTTTCTAATTGAAAATTGTTTCTAAACAAAATTTCTAAGATCTGGAAATCATGCAACTCGAAATAAATAAATAAACTCTCTAATTTACTCATCAATGGTATTAAGTATTAACTGAAAGTTGTATTTTGCTGAATAAAAAATCAATAAAAACATTAGTACGAAAATATGTACGGAAAATGCGAGTAACGAAATGCATTCGTGAGTAACGTTTCGGTACTCGGTACTAGATGGCGTACCCGTTACTCAGTAACGAATACATACGGTTTGCTACAGCTCTACTATTCAGCATTCATAGAGTATAATGTATATTGCTACATATATAAATCAGCATTCTAATATAATATAATGTAACTGTTAAAGATAAAACTATTATTTATTTATATTAATAAAGACACTAGTGATTAGCATTGTTGTGATCTTAAAACAATATTTTCCTGTTTGGAAATAATGGATTTGCAGACGTCTCATTTAGCGGCAGCTTTAATGTCTGGAAACAACACCTTTGCACAGCCAGAATCGGCTACTAGTGCACCTGATAATCCTGCTGAGGAAATAAAGAAAGGAAACCCTAATGAAAGTCGAAAGGAGTCTGCATACGAAGATAAAGAAGAGATTGCAAGTGGAGAAGATTTTTCAGATGAGGTACTAGGCCGAAAAAGTAATTATTAACGAAATAATTTTCGATGTTTATAAGTAAAAATAAGTCATAAGTTTATTTATTTGTATAATGACGTGAATAAAATTAATAGAAATTATCATTTTACAGGAATCTGAAGCTCAGCCAGGAAGTAAATCTATGCCTGGTAGAGGTGTAACTTTACAAATGCTTTTAGAGGACAAGATGTTGGAGCCTGGAACTGCTGCAATGACTATAGAATATTTGGTAATATTTATATATATTTTATTTCTTGTAAAAGATATTTTATGTAAAATATTTGTGTAAAAATTATTTTAAAAAATTAATATTTTTCTTGCATTTGCTTAGGGTCAGAAATTTGTAGGGGACCTACAAGCTGATGGTAAAATCAAGTCGCATGAAACTGAAACAATTTTTTGTTCCCCTTCAGCGTGGGCTATTCACTGTAAAAGAATTATTAACCCTGACAAGAGATCTGGCTGTGGATGGGCCTCTGTTAAGTATAGAGGCAAAAAACTTGACACAATCAAAGCAACATATCTGCGTAAAAAGCAATTGCAAAGAGAAAACATGCATAGTGATGGTAATTATTCCCTTTGTGATTAAAAAGGATAGTTTATAAAGAAGACTTTAATTATGATAACATTGATAAATTAATCTCTTAAAGAAAAATAATATATTCAACCATGTTGTATTAAATTATTTTGAATAATTTTAAAATCATTTTTTATAGAAGAAACAGAAATGGAAGTGGAAAGTCCCCCAGAACCACCACCACAGAGAGTTGTAATGAAGCATAACACTGTTCCAAATAGAATGATGCAACAGTATGTAATAAGATTATGATATTATGCTTTTAGTCTACATCTCAACCCTAATCATGATATGGCCTTGCAAAAATTGCATATTCATTCAAAATATTTAATAAAGTTTTTAAAGATTTTGGGTGAATATTTATGTGATGATTAAACATTTATTATAAATCGTGATATTATAAAAGTTGACATTGTTCTTATTTAATAAAAACTCAACTTTTAGTGATGCAAATATGCTTATTGAAGCAGTGTCATTTTCATCAGCTGGGAAAGTGCAACCTTTTTTGGTATCTGTAAGTTCAAATGCCCTTCTCGTGCTTGACATTCACTGTCATTTAAAAAAGGAGGAGGTGTATGGTTATGTTGCAGGGACTTGGGATCTAAATAACCATAGTAAGTACAATAACTATCATATGTTTTATATATAACATGAAAATGGGATACCATTGTTTGTTATAGCAATAATGATTGAAATGTTTACTAAGTAATTGTCTTAATTAAGTTTGAATCTGACTTCTTTAAAAATAAGGATTCAGGTTCTACAAAAGCAATTAAAGACTAAAAAAAGTTTTAAAAAGCTTGTCCATTAATTTTAATTCCCATTCCATGTCCTTACTATGAGTATCACTTCACAATATGTCTTCAGAATAATTAAAAGATCAGTTTCTCATAAGGTAAAATGAAAATGATGCAAATTGACACTAATAGAATATGAATTGAATTCAGTTCTTTTTTGAATATCTCACTGCTAGGTACAGGCTTCCCTTCAATATGAGGGGGATCAGGCTATAGTCCACCACACTGGCCAAGTACAGGTTGACAGATTTTTACATATCCTTTGCTAGATTCTCTAAGGCTTCACTGTAACACGTCATATTTGAAATTATTTGCACATGAAAGTATCAGAGGTGTGAGCCGGGGAACCCGGGATTTGAACCTGCTTCACTCGGTTTTCCAAGCGAGCGCGTTACCATTGGGCTACCACTGCCTCAGAATATGAATATCGATACCTTAATTTGCTAGTTTTCTCTGTTGCGATCACCTTTTCAAAGGCTTCTAAAAGACCATGTTTTCTGAATTCAAAACATTATTGAAATAATAACAGTTTTAGTGCCCCTTGAAAATGGTGGAATTAGTTGACATATTATGTAGTATGGTATCAATATAGTTAAACTTAAACATTTTTCATATTAAAAATCTTAAATATTATTGCAGATGTGATGATAACACATACATTTCCTTGCTTAATAAGCAAAAATGATACAAGGCCAAGAGTGCTTGTTGAATTGGAAATACAAATGGAAATAGAAAAACTGGGACTTAGCTTACTAGGCTGGTATCATTCCCACCCAACAAACCCAGCAATGCCAAGCTTGAGAGACTGTGACAGTCAATTAGAATATCAAATTAAAATGCGAGGACCATCAGAGATATCATATATTCCTTGTATTGGAGTTATATGCTGTAAGTATGAAACATTTGTACTCATAGATTCAAAAGAAGTTTTGTCATGCAATAAGCAGTTATACACCCACAGTAGTGATGTTACTTAGTATTAGTTTTGGAATAAAATTGAATACAAATGCTCTTTGTGGTACACAACTGTATAAATAATTTTACAAAAATAAATGAAACCACATTTGCTATTTCCAAATCTATTGTATATATATATATATATATGTCGTGTTATCCATATACTACGAACATCATCTTTGGTGGTTACTCAACTTGTGGGCGTTATCAGGGCTCAAATAATAAAGTATTCAGTGCTCAATACACAATTTAATCAGGGAAGTCACAATGTTATAAACTTGAAACGGTAATTCTAATTATTTAGAGCTAGCGGGTTCACAGTCACCGATCATCGACTTCCAACTACAATATCAAACATAACTCTCTATACCATGATCAACCAACGTTACTAAGCCACGTATCTCCAAAGAAATGTCGTGATGGCGTCTCGACCCCGCTCAAGACTAAATCTCTGCTCTGAATTCAAAATCAATTTAAAAGCAATAAAAAGTAAATTAAAGAACATAGTGACTTTAAACAATAATAAGGTTTCATAACAGAAAAAGGTAACTAAATCCTCCTCCGTCTTATATATATGCAATTTTTGTATCTGAAATTTTAGCTAGTAACTTTAAAACTTGCAGGTTGGAATGATATTTTTGTAATAAGTAAAGCTTATAAATAAAATAAAATTTTAATTAATAAATTAAAATATTAATAACTAGCAGAACCCGCGGCTTCGCTCGCGCTAAAACTATTTAAAAATGTAGTTTCATACAAACTTTCATCTCCTGTTTTACCCCCTTATAGGATGAATTTCGAAAAATGCTAAAATACGTATTTATTTAATTTTATTGAAGAGCATTAATGCCAAGTTTCAAGTAATTCTGATCATTTTTTTTTGGGTTGTAATATAACGTGTTCTCACGTGGGAATGAGATAATCTCCCGCGGTAAAAAGAAGCCTATGTCACTCTCCAACCCTCCAACTATCTCCACACAAAAAATCATCTCAATCCGCCTCTCCGTTTGGACATGAAAGAAGGACAAACAAACAAACATATTTTCACATTTATAACATTAGTTTGGATTTACACTGTCGATCCTTATCAAGTCCACTTGATTTTGCAAGGATATTTATTATATGATTAAACTGTACCTACTTACAATAAGTGTTAGTTATTGTTTCATGATTGTAAATAGATTACATTGTAGGATGATTTGTTTAGTAAAAATTTACTCCCTTTTGGCCCTTTAATTATTTTATTAGTTACAAACTAAAAATATTAAGGGATTCATCCACTTTGAATGATCAAGGATCTCTAAATCTCATGCACATAATATAAAATTCTCTCTTGCTCATGAAAAAACATCTATATGTATATTATATATAAAACAAAGTCGGGTTTGTTACAACACTTATAACTCGAGAACTGCTGGACCGATTTTTATAATCTAAATAGCAATCTGAATAGCAGAATAACTATTAAAACATTGGAAAAATTCACGAAAAAAATTTGAAAAGTAAAAATCTATTCCACACTAAGCGTCAAAACATACCTTGGGAATAACCTGAGCGAAGCAACGTTGAGTCGCTAGTTAGTTAAATTATGTTCAATTCAAGTACCCTTGTAAAGAACTATATACAACATGACCAACAATTTAGCGTTTGTTTCTAATATGACTAATCCTTATATATACCATTAATAGCATTACATGTTAGTTATCTGTTTAATTTATTATTATTAAAATATAATTAAAATTATATGGAATTAGAAATATTATAAATACAATATTTAGGACTTAGTTTAATTTTACTATACAAGATGTATGTAGATGGGCCACTGTATATTTAAAAATAATATTTTTGACAACTCTTGCATTTGACTGCATTTCCGTTAAAGTCAATGGGTGATTGCTTACTGTAGAGAAAACTAAATAAAAAATATGCTTTATAATTAATTATCACCTAATAATAAACATTTCTTAATTTCAGCGCCTTATAACCCCGAAAGTCCAGTTCTGGAATCTTCTTTGACGTTCTTCTGGGTAATGCCGCCACCGGAACAGAGGCCGACGGAATATCCTCGGCCTTTGTTATTACAATACAACATGGTTCATGACAGCCACTTATCAACTCACGCTTTGGAACAAATAAAAAAAAGCATTAAATATTATATTTCATACGCAGATGAAGCATTCGTTAATTTTAAGGAAAGTTTCAAGCCAGATATAATGTTTTTGGATAAACTAAAATGTACTTTAACACCGAAATTTCCTCGCGAGCAAAGTGACGGATTGTTATGGCATTTTATTAGGGATGAGTTAGGTTGTTCATCAGAGAATGATGATAAGATGGATCTAGATGCTTTATTGGCCGTTCCACAACCGATTCCAGCGTCTAAACCTAGTTCCTCCTCAATACCTAATTTCCCTTCAGTCAGTACATTGCAACAGATGGTCAGTAGGCCTGTTGGAGTGCCACCAATAAACGTTTCATCTGCCATAGGATCAGTGTCACCCCATAAGTTCGACACGCCTCCATTAAATATTCCGGTGCTACCGAATTCTTCCAAATCATCTAAATCAAGTACGCCATCTCTTCCAGCTTATCCGACCGGTTTGGATATGTTAACAAGCATGGCTTTGGGATTAGGAACTTCAAATATGTCTCTTTCCTTGGGAACGACAGGACTAGAAAGCTTAGCTGCTGCCAATAGTATGCTAACTGGGTTCAGCCCGGGTCTAGGTTCGTCTAATTTAGCCGGCTTGTCCTCCTCCAAACTGCCCGACTTACCCTCATATGCCGCATCCTTACAAAATCTTTCAAACAATATGGTCTACGAAAAAACATCGACAAGTACGTCGACCAGTTGTACAACATCTGCTGCGCCCATACCAGCTAGTATAGCTTCGAATTTAATGATGAGTTCCGCAGATATAGCCAATGCTTTATTCTCAGCTAGTAAATACTCTAGTGCGGGTATATTAGGGATTCCCGACCCGATGTCGAAGTCCACTCTAGCCGCAAATAACATGTTTTTATCGCCATCTTTGCTTAAAATGCAAGAGACACTGTTGAAACCTCTATCAAGTAGTAGTTCCATTACTTCTAAAGTTGGTCTCGATCAGAACATAATGATGAAGAATCCGCACGACTTATTGAAAGGTAGCAGCAGTAAAGATTATCTGCCACCAGATTTTGGAAGTATCGGTAAAGGGAAAGAATCTGTTGATTCTAATAAGCATTCCGATATAAGTACTTCTAAAAGTGAATCTTCAAAATCTGCACCAGAATCTCAGATCGAATATCCTCAGATAAGCTCGTCACCTCATATTGGAGGTGATCCATTTCTGAATCAAATGTTGGAGTTAACAAAGAAAACAACTTTGCCAGATTATGCAGCAGATTATAGTCAACCTCGTAAAGTGAGTGAAGAAGATATACCTAAAATGTCTACTCCGCTATCGTATTCCAGTGCTGCCAGTATTGCTGATACGATAGCTCAAGTTGCGATGGGAAACTTCTCCAAAATGGCTGACGTGGTAGATTATAGCAAGACTCAGGATTATAGCAGTTCAAAAAGTCAGAATAACGAAAATGATAATTAATACTCACATTTATAGTATACGTGAAGTAAAATGACAAGTATTTACGTTCAATTTGTATGTTGTGATATGCTAGTATTATTTATATCAGATTTGCTGATATTATTATATCTATATTCAATGTCTATATATTGTTAGACATTTGATGATGGAAAAATATATTATTAAACGTATAAAAATGTATACGTGTATGTATATTTGACGCGCTAATCTTTTAAACCACGTTTATTTTTTAGAATCTTGCTATTGAAATAAAAAATAAACATGAAATATTCTTGCCAAATGTTATTTTTGTTGATTTCAATATTTTTTAACATCATATTAACAATTTTATCTAGTTATCAAGCGAAAACTATAATCAAACATTGGCAACAAAGACTGGCATAATTTTATGTGTTATGTGTTGTGTGTAAGGGGTTTTTAATTAAAAACAAATAGGATAGCCGTAAATCTTATATACTAAAATATATATGATACCATTCTATATCATTCTCTTATCTGCGAGGAGTCTCACAAGTTCAATGTTAACTTCGAGATTTCCTGCGGGATATAAAATTGAAATAAAAAAACACGTATGCATATTCAATATAAATACAAAATTTGCAAAAAGCAATTATATAGGCGCGATAAGATCGTACCATCGCTTCCTTAGAACGAAAAGAAATCACGGTCATCGATGATCAGAAATTATTGATAATTGATAATTCTTTGATAATTATAATGACGTTTCTGATAACGCGGCGCGTTGAAGATATTCCGTCTTGTATTGTTGTGACAAACAAGTACGAGTGAGGATTGTTGTTTTATTATAATATATGCTGTGTTGTGATTAATTTCTACAATTATGGTGTCTCTTTAATTTATTTACTGGAATTGGAAAAAGTAAGTTTTTCTCTATTTATTAATTTATATGGCAATGTGATTTAAATTAGTCCAGAAATATTGAATATTTTGTAAACATTGTATGGAGGGTTAGTTAATTGAGTTTATTGAAATGTGTCAGCACAAAAGGGTGTAAAAATTTCGTAGTGTCGATGAATTCAAGATTCTCTTCTATTAAATATATGTGGAATTAAATGTTGCACAATATTTGTACGTTATTATGCCTGCCTTTATGCATTATATATCAATAATGCAAAATTAGTTTTTTTTTGTATAAAAGAATACATGTGTATATATGTGTATTGGGCAAAATTACCTACATTATAATTGATTTTATTGTGGCATAGTATTTTAAAAAGATTTGTATTTATTTCACTAATTAATTAAAAGGCTTAGATTAATATTTATGTATGAAATAGATTAGGAAATTTAAAATGTCGGAGTGTGAATGTTAACTTTTTGTGTAGTATAAAATGAACGACTATAAAAGTACTAACCTATAAAGTATATGTGAGCGTTTGATATGATATGCATATTTTCTTAATGTTTGTATAATCTGAATAATGTTAGTCAGAAATTATAGAATATACTCATAAAAAGCAAGGAATGGCAGGTTTAAAAAAAGGAACGAAACTTAATGTCAATGCCCTCTAATATGACGGTAAAAAGTTATAACTATTTAGTATATTTCTTTGTGATTACTACCTGTACTTTTAGCAAAGAATTTTAATAATGATCTGTGGGATTTTTAAATGTGTGTGTAACATTCTCTTTACGAAGACTGCATTTACTTAATTTTTTACATCATAAATGAACGATTAAAAAATTATATAAAGTAAAAATACCGTTTTTAATTATCTTAGCACCTCCAGGTAAATTTCTAAGAAATTAATTAAATTTCTAAGAAATCTATTGTTAACTGTAACCGTGTTCGCGCTCGTGGAGGGATTATAATTTATTGATCATATCTTTGTACCTCTTTTAATCCCCGACGCAAAAATGACGGGGTAATATAAGTTTAACGTGTCTGTACGTGGCATCGTAGCTCCCGAACGGATGAACCGATTTTGATTTTGTTTTTTTTTTGTTTGAAAAGTAAATAGTCGGGAGTGTTCTTAGTTATGTTTGATGAAAATCGGCCCACGACGGTCGGGGGTTTTTTAACTTTTAATTTAATTATTTCAACGATATCAGATTCTTAAGACGGAAGTCAAACTCACATTGCTTTTATAAAGTGCATTTTGGTTATAATATATGAACGTGCGTTTGTTGTTTTTTTTGTTGTAACAGAGAAGTGACGTTAACAAATGTATATAAATAGATATATAATAGATTTGTAGGCTACATATTGCCATGGAGTGACGAATACATATTTTCTCGGTACATTAACATTGATTTCCGCACAAAAACACTCAAAACTTTATGGGATGTATTGTCTCTTTTGTTATCAGTCAAATGCTAATTAATAGAAGCAAGGACAAGACAACATACAAAATAGATTTAATTATTATGTATCGGAAGCCGGAAACACGATAAAATGTAAACTTGACACACATTTATCACTTCTAATTATAAAATTCTAAATTTTCCAAATTAAACAAAAGATCGGCCTAAAGAGCATTTCGATATATTGTTAAGGACCTCCCTGATCCCTCCTATATCCCTATCCCATGCCCCCCTCCACATGTGAATGACTAATAACAAATTATGATAGTTGTAACACCTACATTGTACCTATGCACATTACAGAGCGTTAGATGGCTAAATCGACCGGTTTCAAGGGGCTTGCAGAAGAAGAAACCGACCAATCCGACACAGAGTTCAAACCGCTGTACGATGATATCGACGAATTGGAGTATGACAATACATTTTCTATTAAATTTAACCTCAATTTTTTAAACACAGTTCACAACTTTTAAAGCTTTCCAAGCTTTAAGGTGTTGAGTCGGTGGTTCGAATCTCGCAGTATATTTGGTCAAGTGTATAAGTAAGGCTGGAATAAAATGGGTTTCGTATACATATATTAGTAATATAAAGGGGATTTAGTTTATACAGAAGAAGCAGTCTTTCTTGTTATCTATACTATAATAAAACTGTACAGGTCGAATGTCTGTACATAGAAAAAAATTTGCTAAAAACCGAGTTAGGGGGATGTAAGAAGACAAACAAATCTAGATTTTTTTTCAATTTTTTTGTTTCTCTGTTTATCTGTTTGTCTGTTTGTACGGGCTATTCTCAGAATCTAATAGTCCGATTTAAATGAAATTTTGCATGGTGGTAACTTATATCCCCGGGCAACATCTTAGATACTTTTTATCCCGGAAAATTAAAGAGTTCCCGTGGGATAGTTAAAAAACTATAGTAACTTATACAGCATAGTACACAACAATTTATGCACCTAATTTAGTAAAATTTCGCATGCTGATACCTTATATTGCCGGTCTAACAACAAGTTACTTTTCATCCCGGAAAATGAACGGTTCCCGTGGGATAGATCTGTTTGTGCTTTTCTAGAGGCGAACCCGAGCGAAGCGATGGTGAGCCGCTAGTTGGGAATAAAAATAATATTTATTTGACCGTTTGTATCAAATAAATCATTTTATTATTAAAATATCAAAAAGATCTAGAAATAGTGATTTATGCGAAAACAATGCATAAGTACTAGATTAGATATCTTACATGATAATAGCTTTCCGAAGATTTTATGCTATTCAGTATATTTAAATAAATACTATTAGAGTAATTTAGTGTTGATTTTAGAATCTGACTGATGAGTATAGTCTAGTGGTCCTGGGTTCAAGTCTCTGTCGGGCTAAGATTTAGGAGTACGGAGTTATTGGGTTATTTAAATCTCATCTTGACGGCTATACACTCCCGTGCTTCGAGGAGTATGTAATTCTGCCTGTGTCTGATTTTACAGCAATTATTTCGGACTCCTTTCCACCATGTGTGAAGTATGAAGTGGAAAGAATAGTATGGTACCTACTAGTGTTAAATAGAAGTTTTATTATATCCTGAGTAGGTACTAATTTTTAAATAACGTAGTAGTAGTAGTAAAGTAATTTTATTTGCGTCCTCGTAATGAATATACTGTTCGATTGTTAAAATGTTTAATTTATTTATTACCTATATATTTTTACAGCCAAAGGACAGCTCAAGAAACAAAAGGATGGAATCTGTTTCGGGAGATCCCAGCCAAGAAAGACAGTGGGTCTATGGCATCGACCAAATATATCGACTTTAGCGTGAAAGCACTTAAAGCGCTGTCTTATTTTATTATATTCGGTATTGTACTAGGCGCTGCTGTTGTCTCCAAAGGATCTTTGCTTTTCGCTAGTTCCCAAGTTAAAAAAGGACGTCTAATAAGCCATTGCAATAAAGCTTTAGGTACGTTTTCACCTAACTGATTGTAATTGTAATTATAAACGGTGGTTGAATTTTTAATTTTATTAGGTGGGTAGGTATAATGTGGCTAAAACTAATTTCGACAAATAAATTCACTATTTCAGTTTGAGGATAATCTCAAATCTAGTTACTATATCCATAACCGATAAAGGTGTTATTAATTTTACTATTGGTGTAAAGTAGAATTGTGAACATCTTCGCTAGTTCCGAAAACAGCCACTAAAGAAATCAGATCACCGTCAATAATTTTGATATAGAAGAAATATCTTTGTCAAATGATTACTTAATAAATTAATTATTTAATAATATTTCTTCATCAGCATTAGACAAGCAATTTGTAACAATACACACTTTGGAAGAGCGTATAACATGGCTTTGGGCGTTGCTTTTGATGTTCAGTGCTCCAGAGCTAGGACTATTTCTAAGGAGTGCAAGGATGTGTTTCTTCAGGACCGTGAGAAAACCTACGATAGGTATTTTTTGTGTGGTGAGAAATCAATTCATTTTTCATTTAGATCACTAGATACCATATTATATGTATATTTACTTAATATTTATATATTAGCACCTGGGCTACCGAGTTTCGCTCGGTCTTTTTGGCCTGAGGTATAGTTTTCTTTTTTTTTAACTAAAACTTGATAAAAATAAAAAATAAAACTAAAATAAAAACTTTGTATCGGACCGAGATTCGAACCTGGACACCTGTGATTGTCGATTTTGGGCCTTGGCCGCTTGATCACTATGCTTATGCCAGAGCGTGCGAAATTACCGACCATATTTTGTGTGGAATAATGCGAAAGAAAACCGCATGAAAACTCGAAAATAGGCGTTTTCTCAGACATAAGAATAATCTAGATCGATTTTTCACCACCGAAAACTCCCACATACCTAATTTCAGCAAAATCGTTGGAGCCGTTTCCGAGATTCAGATTATATAGATATAATATATATCATATACATACACACACAAGAATTGCTCGTTTAAATATACAATATTAGATATTGCATACCTACAATATTTTACGGAAATGATATTCGAGGAATTTTACACATTTTAGCCACTAAAATACATTCTTCACAAAAACAAAACAAAATTCCAACAAAAAAACTGACATCAATCACACCGTCGCGTTGTGCAAATTTTGATCATTTTGACTTTTTTATGTATTCTTGATACTTTTATGGCTTATAATTTAATTTAATCTAATCTCTATCATGATCATCGAATCTATTACCGAATGTATCGAACTGGTACTGCTTCACTCCGAAATACATAGGTTCAAAGTCTTGATTTTTTGTTTACGTCGACATTACAAATATTTTATAGGACGATTCTTCTTAAATTGCCATGGTTGGTTTTTTGGTATATTGTAATATACCAAAAAACAAACCATGTAATTGGTAATAGAGGATCGAAATGCATCTTTTTAAAATATATAAAATAAAAAATATTAAAAATCCATTTCAGGCATTCATCATAGAAACGCTGCAAGCAATAGGAACGGCTTTGTTACTATTATTCATATTACCAGAACTGGACGTAGTGAAAGGTGCTATGTTGATGAACGCAATGTGCATAGTACCGGGCATACTTAACGCGATAGCACGAGACCGAAATGAGTCTCAATATATACTGAAGTTGATATTAGATGTCTTAGGGATTTCTGCGCAAGCGACCGCATTCGTTGTGTGGCCACTGTTGGATGGCACGCCGGCTCTGTGGTGCATACCTTTTGCTTGTATACTTATATCGCTTGGTTGGTGGGAAAATTTTGTGGGACATATCAAAAGGCATACATCAGGTATTATTTTTGGATCTTATTTAATAGATAAAAAGTTAATTTTTTGGTCTGACCGGAAATGTTAGGAGTCGCTGGCTTGAATCTTACTAGTAAGAATTGTAAGCCCGCTTTATTTATATATGGTTGTATATGTATATATATCTATTATAATGCTCATTGTTTATTCTTATTTTCAGCGTCACTGACATACCTTTGTGAACTCCGAGATGGAATCAAGACTTGCCGATACTATACACAAATATTTCTAACGGTTTGGAAAATCATGGTATTCATGGCTTGCATCTTAGTTGTCTTAACACTTCAAAACGATGACCCGTTTGCATTCTTCACTAAAGCTAGCGAAGCATTCGCAGAGCGTTCATATAAAGTAAACCAAGTAAGTATCTTGTTAGTACCTTTGATTTCGATACTACTTACGTTATTTAATGCTTATAAATCAATTTTACTTAAATAGTAAAATATTGCTGCACATTATTTCTGAAATAGACATATTTTGTACTTTAAATGTTTCCCTGTGATACAAAATCAAACAATGTAAACGATTCTTATTTAATTTTAATTTACAAAATATAAATAAAATAGCAAAACGTATTAATAAATATACAACACAACTTCGCATTTGACGCCTCAAGTGTCGACCAATAGAACTAATTTGTAAACTATTTTACGACACGTTTGGCTCAGTGTGTAGTGACCCTACTTGCTGTGCCAGCGGCCGCGGGTTCAAGTCCCGCTGGAGGCATTCATTTGTGTGTTGAGCACAAATGTTTGTACTCAGTCATGGTTGTTTATATTTATAATATGTATGTATTTAAAGTTCATATCTGGTATCCATAACACAAGCCTCGTATCTTACCATGGAACTAGATGGTGCTGCGTGTTAATATCCGTACATATTTATATTTTATTTATTTATTTACAGGTGCAAGTAGTACTTGAAAGTCTTTACGATGGTGTCATAGATTTCGAAAATGCAGGTACTCCGTTCGAGCTTCCTGCGCACTGGACTACTGCCCTTTGGGTCACTTTGATCCAAGCAGTTGCGTCATACTTTTGTCTGTGGGGATCGAAATTCGCTTGTAGAATATTAATTCAAAAATTCAGCTTCACTTTTCCCTTGAGTCTTGTAGGACCAGTCTGCGTGAATCTTTTGATTTTGGTCTGTGGAATGAGGAATGCTGATCCTTGCGCTTTTCGCTATATTATACCGGACTACGTGTTCTTTGATATTCCACCAGGTGAGTACTAGATAATATGAATTCTTATTAAATTTTATTATATTGTATCATGTACTGATAACTAAAAGGAGGGATTTGGATTGAACTTACGGTGGTAGGGGAAGTGTCTTGATATATTTTCTTATTGAGAAAATACGGAGTCTAGGTGCGAGTGGTGTTCCTACTTATTATATTCGCGAAAACTAGAACATGAAGGTATTAATCACTATTCCCTTTGTAAATGCAGAATGAAATATGAATGTAAATCTTAATAAGAATTATAAAATGTTGACAATTTCACAACCGCTATACAAAATTATACCTACTATTATAATTTACTTTTTTTCTAACTTTTTTGATTTTCTCTTCATAGTGCCTAGTATGGAAGATCTTGCTTAGAATACCTACATAGAATTTAGAATATACATAGTACCCTGGATATCTATTATTCAATAATATTTACGACAGAATTTGGAAGTTCATGCCATTTTCGAATGTCTTAAACAAATACGATGTGTATCGCATAGTACAAGTACTACAAAGTAGTAAATAGGAAATACATAGAACAAGAAGTCCTTCCTGGTCAAGACCCATTCAGAAATTAGTAACCTTATGTATATTTACATATATTTGTATTTCAGTCTACTTCTTAAAAGATTACATAGGCCGTGAAATGGCGTGGATATGGTTGTTGTGGCTGGTGTCCCAGTCCTGGATAACTATGCATAATTGGTTCCCGAGATGTGAGAGGTTGGCTGCCACGGACAAATTGTTCATAAAGCCCTGGTACAATGGTGCTTTAGTCGACCAGTCACTATTAATGTACAGAACCAAGGAAGAAGATGAAATACTCTTTGATGTATGATTTTTTATTTAGACATCTATATAAAAATCTGTTCATTGGATCACTTGAGTATAGCTTGACCGAAGGGTGTATTGTTAAAAAAAATGAAAAACTGAATATACTTTTTTCTATATTATCTATTTAGGTTTTTTTGAACTCCAAGATCACAAACAACGTTGAAATTTAGATAGGATAAGGTCTTCGAATCAATTAGTAAAATAAAATGTTAAAAAGCAATAACGAAACAGTTATGTTAGAGCATTTCTTTGTATTGTATTCAGCCCTTTTTTAACGTCCCACTGCTGGACACGGGCCTCCCTTCAATACGAAGATGATCAGGCCAAAGTCTACCACGCTGGCCAAGTGCGGGTTGGCGGACTTCACATGTCTTTCGAAAACTTGTCTTCTCTCAAAAATACAGGTTTCCCCACGATGTTTTACTTCACCATAACACAAATGGTAATCATGGTAGAAATGATTAGCACTTGAAAATATCAGAGGCGCGAGACCTGGGATTCGAACCCGCTTCACTAGGTTTCAGAAGTGAGCGCGTAACCACTGAGCTACCACTGCATAGTATTTCTTTATATGATAATAATTGTTTCTTCATTTTGCAAGGCTTAACTTTACCCCCCGGTAAACGGTTTCCCGATTACGGTTTTTTTAAGTTTGAACATAAGGAAGTTTCATTTTTATCTGTCGAGTATTTCGCAAGATACTCGTAGCTTCAGTACCGCTTTTTACTGATTGTTTCTATATAATGTGAATGTTATGTTTAATGGTTGTTGTCTAAATATAACAGCAAGTAATCACATGTATTTTGTTCAGGAATTAAGAGACTATGACAATGATGACAATTTATCAAACTCAAAAATTGACCACATTATAACCGACGTAAGGCCTTCAGACTCCATTAGTAGGTACGTTGGTACGTTTTTACTTTTCGTATTAAAGTTTTGTAACATATATGTATTTTTTTGGAAAATATACAATACCGAAAATGTTCAACGCTATTGTTTTGCTATAACTCGTCACAAAATATAAATATGTCTGTAATGTACATAAAGTGTTTGTTATTTTTTCTTTTTTTCGAGCGAGCGACATGATCTTTTACACTTAGATAGTTTATGGGCTGGAGAGTGACGTTTTAAGTCATATAGTAACTTTTTTTTAATGTTGGGAAATGCATTTACCTATACTACCTGCATACAATCAGGAGGTTATGTGGGACTCACCGGCTATCATCTACTTATCCACTAAAACCCAACAATACCTCCCCCGTCTTAATGGGACGTCGCAGGATCACTTACGCACTCAACCACGACGCCCCGACGGCAGGCTGCCGAAGACCTCAACAGCCATGGGATTGCTCCAACGGTCCACTCTGTTATCAGAGAAGTACCATTGGAGCAACCTGAATGGCACACCGCCGACCGAGGTGGGCCGCCACCCAGTGCGTTTCTTGGCTTCTCGTCCGGCTGAATTGCCGAACGCTAATGAGCCTTCTCAAAACGACTAGTTGAACGTACATTGGGAGGATATATAGTAACTAGCACAACTATAATTATTAGTAAAGTCGTCAAAATTTACAGAATCTATATTTGTGCAACGATGTGGCACGAAACGAAAGAGGAAATGATAGAGTTCTTGAAGTCGATCTTTAGACTGGACGAAGACCAGAGCGCTCGAAGGGTTGCTCAAAAATACCTGGGAATTATAGATCCAGATTACTACGAGCTTGAAGGTAATCTTCAGTAATATTATAAACTATAAAGATTAACAGTTTTTTTGTTTGTATATGCTAATCTCTGGTTATACCAGTCAGATTGGATTTATTTTGCAATTTGTAGCATATTTATTAAGGACGGTCATCTTCTATTACTTTACGACCCTTATGAGCAGAGCAATTATTCATAAATAAACTATTTGAGCACGTTCTGTTTATTTTTGTCGTTGCGGTTTTTTATTCTGGTTGTAAAATCAGGATTTCTTCTATTTCTCTTCGTACATCCCCCTGACTCGGTTTTTAGCATTCTTTTTTCTATGTACAGACTTTCAATCTCTCCAGTTTTAATATATGTATAGTTATCTTATGCCGTCCAAATTTCACTACCGCATCATTTATTACAATAAATTGATTATAATTTAATACCAACACTGCATTTTGTAAATTTTGAGCATAGCTTGTCGTTACATCATTGAAGTCAAAATGCCGTTGAGGCAGCGGCATTCATAATTTTTAGAATTCATAATTTTGCTTGATTTTTAGAATTCATACTTTTACTTATATCTTTAATTGTTGCTAACAGCTAAACATACTTCCCAAATAAATAACCTTACAATGTTGTAATTTTGCTTGTGTCTTTCGAATACTAATAAAATGTCGTAAACTAAAAGTATGCCGGTTAGTAAATAAAATCACCACATTGAAAAATTTCCAGCGCATATATTCATGGACGACTCCTTTGAAATATCAGACCACAGTGCAGAGGACTCACAAGTGAACCGTTTCGTGAAATGTCTCGTCGATACTATAGATGAAGCGGCGTCAGAGGTTCATCTAACAAATGTTAGGCTTCGACCTCCCAAAAAATATCCCACTCCGTATGGAGGTAGATTGGTATGGTCTTTACCCGGCAAGAACAAAATGATATGTCATTTGAAGGATAAATCTAAAATAAGACATAGGAAAAGATGGTCTCAGGTGAGTTGAATGATTTAATATTTGTATTAAACACATAATTAAACTAGTAACAAAATTTTGCAAGTCCTAATAAACCTGTGCCAGATGTCACTGCATGTTGGCAGTCATCCATACCTTTACCTATGATTATTCAATGCATGAAACCTGACTCAATAGATAAATTCCATACTAAAAAAACATTTGTGATACTCGAATTATAAGCGCATAAATTGACAGTTACAATGATTCTACATTTTCTAAAACAGAAGTTTTTCAATAATATGAAGAAGTTTTTCAAAAACAGTAGTTTTTCAATAATATGAAGAAGTTTTTCAAAAACAGAAGTTTTTCAATAGTAAGATATCTTCGTTAGAGATATTTTTTGCGATTTAGGTCAATATTTGAATTGGTGATGCAAGTATTTCATAATTATTTTGTCTTGTTGTATGCAGCCGCCATTTTTGTTTTTGTAATTTACGGTTTCATGGCCATAAAGGCGGAAGCTCTAATGATGGAAACTGCAACAATCACGCAATCGTTTTTATTGTTTAATACTTTATTTATTTATTCACAATTTTGTTAATAAGGATATGAAAGTTCTGCATTATATATAATTATTAATTTCATAAATGGACAATAACTCACAACGCCGTTGTAATATAACTATACGTTTTTTTATGCCAAGATGACATTATTTTACATTTATTTACAAACCATGATAATACTCGATTGAATTATTATTTTGTATTTTTATTTCTGAAATTAGTCATTGATTTCGATATTGCTACTAAATAACAATATCTATATTTAACACATATACAAGTAATATAATCGCATGTAAATCTAACAAAACACGTGTTAAATGATAAGCAATCTATTGTTATGAATACTTCACCTTCACCTTAATATTATGATAACATTGTATCTAGTGTGAGTTTTCCTACCTCTTCAATTACCTTAACGTTAACGAATTTGTATGGAATGGAAACTGCGACATCCATCGACAAAAAAGGCATACTTTCTCTTTGACTTGAACGGCAATTTTCACTAAATTTCTTTAAATCAGTCATTATTTAATTGGTGTTTGCAATTATAAAAACTGTTAGAATATTATTTTTGCTATGGGCAATAAAACTGCCCATTGAAAAATCAAACTTTGCCCGAATAACTTTCAAAATATAAGATAAGATAAACATTTTCAATAACCGTGACATAGGTATATCTAAATTTAGAAGCTACTTAAAAACTTAAGGTGTCAATAGACCATTAAGGAACACTAACTTATCTTAATAATCGGTCACATGTTTATATATCTCATCGATCAAAAAAGTACTAAATACCCAATCAGGGGCCAAAAATGTCCTCACCAGATAAGCGCTCATTTGAACATTTGAGCGTGCTTTTAATTATTTTTTTTAACTGTGACCATGATTGCTGTAAAGCATTCGAAACATCGGGAACCAAAAATCAAAATAAATCCGCGAAAAAATCCGTAAAGATAGTTTTTTTTAAATATCAAATATTTGCATAAATCTAAGAAAGTATTATTAGGTACCAACACATATCCCGGAAAATCTAGTTACTGTATAATATTAGTATGTTAGAAAGAGTTACCGAGCCGAGCCGAGAGCTATAAGAATAGGATATATAACATATTCTTTTGTTTTAGGTCATGTACATGTACTACTTCCTCGGACATCGTTTGATGGACCTTCCCTTATCCGTCGACCGTAAAGAAGTAATGGCAGAGAATACATATTTACTCGCTCTAGATGGTGATATTGATTTTAAACCAAGCGCTGTAACGATGCTTGTTGATCTCATGAAGAAAGACAAAAACTTGGGTGCCGCGTGTGGTAGAGTTCATCCTGTCGGCTCAGGTTAGTATTAGACACGTACAATACATGTTTCTGTTAAGAAAGTTTTAATAAAATTTCGGAGTTGGGATATAGGTGGTGTTTCACCCCCGTGCCTCGGAGAGCGCGTAAAGCCGTTGGACCTGCGCCGGATCTTTCACCGGTCGTGTCGAATTATCGGAATTTGGGAGTGACAGGAATAGAGAGTGCACGTGTGTCTGCGCGTACACGTGCTGCACTGTAATATCTCCTGCGTAGTTGGCTAAATTCATTGAGATTGGCCGCCGTGGCCGGAATCGGTCAGGAGGACATCATCATTATCATTAATCATCATCAAATCTCTATTACTAAATGGGTACTTAAATAAATAAATAAATATGTTGGGACAATAACACATAGCATCATCTAGTTCCGTGGTAAGCTACGAGACTTTTGTTATGAATACTAGATAGTGATACACTATACATACAAACAATACAAACATTCGTGCTCATCACACAAATGAATGCTTCCAGCGGGACTCGAACCCGCAACCGCTGACACAGCAAGTAGTTTCACTACAAACTGAGCTAAACGTGTCGTCAAACGGTCGGTTAAAGGTTTCATGGCGTGGTACCAAGTGTTCGAGTACGCGATCGGGCACTGGCTGCAGAAGGCGACGGAGCACGTGATCGGCTGCGTGCTGTGCAGCCCCGGCTGCTTCTCGCTCTTCAGGGGCAAGGCGCTGATGGATGACAACGTCATGAAGAAGTACACCATGACCGCCAGCGAGGCGAGGCACTATGTGCAGTATGATCAAGGTTGGTTTTTTGGGATTATTTTTTGAAATTCGGAAAGTTAGAATAATTTTTGTACGCAAATTGTTTATGTGAAGAAGTTGGATTTTTACCTTTAAGAAAGTCTTTACCAATTTAAGGAAGGTATTATGACAATGAAGTTTAACTCCACCTACGTACTGACTGACCTATGTTTAAGAAAAACCTCGACGTTTTTTAGTCACCCCGCTTAAAAAATATAATAAGATAGGTTATTTGATTATATAGCTTTTGTAGAAAAACCATATTATGTTATGTACATGGTGTGTGTGTGCTCTGCATATAGTACATACTGTCATACATTTCTGTACAGAATTTTTAAGTGAATTCTATTCTTTTGTGAAACAAGAATTTTTGATATAAAACAACATTTTTGCTATGTAATAATCAAGTTTATATTTAATGTACCTATTTTATTTTTACGGTTTCCGCTAGTAACAGAATTAAGGAAGAAAATTCTATTACAATGCAGGAATTACAGCATAATAAAACAAAACTTATTAATCCAGGCGAAGATCGATGGCTGTGTACATTGCTCCTACAGCGAGGCTACCGCGTGGAGTACTCGGCTGCGTCCGACTCCTACACGCACTGTCCGGAGAGCTTCAATGAGTTCTTTAACCAACGCAGGCGATGGGTTCCTTCCACCATGGCTAATATATTCGATTTGTTAGCCGATTCCAAGAGAACCGTTAGCATCAATGATAATATATCTACTTTATATATTATTTATCAGGTAACGTCTTCTAATTATTCGCTCGATAATTATTTTTCTAAATATGAATATGTCCCAGATTGTACAATATTCATATTTTTTTTAATATCTGCTATAGTATACCTTTAATATATAAAACTTAAGCAAAAAATATATACTAACTTGAAATCTTAAAATTACAAACTTAGAAATTACTCAACAAATACATACATATATTGTATCTTAAAAAGTATATATATAATTATTCTAGATGATGTTAATGATTGGTACAATACTGGGTCCCGGGACGATCTTCCTCATGATGATTGGCGCCATTAACGCCATTACGGGAATCAGCAACATTCATGCGCTTTTCTTAAATCTCGTCCCGATTTTCATCTTCTTCGTAGTTTGTATGACTTGCAAATCCGATACACAGGTGACTGAAAACTCCTTTATTTAATACTTTTTTAAATGTTACGCGAATATTTAACATTTTAAATAAAACTATCCTTTTGGATGTTTTCGCGGATTTATTTTAATTTTTGGTTCACTCTCATGACGAGTCTCTCCCGTGACAATGATTTCTGTAAAACGTCGGAAACCAAAAATTAAAATATATCTGCGAAAAAATCTGAAAAGATAATTAATTTTATATATCATTTATTGTTGTTTTATGGTCTTTATTCATTATTTTTGGTGAATGTAGATGAAATGTAATAGCTATAATGATTACACAATTCTGTTTCTTGTTTCTATGTTCTAATGTAGAACCTAAAAACATTTTTATGGGAGTCGATATAGTGAATAATCTTATTCTTCTTCTTCTTCTTGTCTCGACATCGTGGTGAAAGAATTAGCCAATCAGCGTTAATAAATTTCTAATTGTCCAGGGTGCGCCGGACGTATAGGTTGTATACGTCGCTCGGAGAGGGTCCTTTCGTGCACCCCATAGCGAATAATAATTATTTAAAATCAATAGTGGCTTAACAAAAATAACTATAATTTCTTGGCTTATGTTTTCCTATTTTTATCATTAATTATTTTATAGTGTATTGATTGTTTTCAGTTGAAACTAGCGCATATAATAACTTGTGTGTACACGATGACGATGTTGATGGTAATAGTGGGTATAGCGATACAGATCATTCAAGATGGCTGGGTAGCACCTTCTAGTATATTCTTTGCTGCCACTTTTGGTATATTTTTTATTGCCGCTGCTCTACATCCGCATGAAATGCGATGCTTAATGTACATAATTATATATTATATAACTATACCCAGTATGTACATGTTGCTGATTATATATTCGCTGTGCAATCTAAACAATATTACGTGGGGCACTCGGGAAGTGGCTCAGAAGAAGACTTTGAAGGTAATTTAATAAAATACTATTTAAGATGTATAGGAACCAAATTTGTATATGGGGATATGATTATATAAAGAATTAAATAATTTACTATTAATTTAAAACTTGATAAGCGATTCTATTCGTCATATTATTTATCTTTAGACATACGATATCGTCCCCTTTCTGTGTAAACCTCGTAACTCCATTTTTTTCGAAATTGAGATTTTTAGCGAAAATCACTCCTTAGCACTCTTGTAACGTAAAACAAAACAAGCAATGTTCATAATGTTGATAGAATTTTTTTTAGAGGCTTTTGATTTTTCTCGTATCTACATGTTCGAATTCAAAAACCTCGTATCTACCGTAAGTATCGCTGAAAACGTTAAGATGGCGTTGTTGTCTTATTACTGAATGTTTGTACATGAGTTATTTATGTTGATCACACATTTTAAGGATTTTTCTAAAATAAATTTTTACAAATCGATAGTTCTAGTTATTGTTCAAGTTATTTCTTATTACTTATTTTTCAGATTATCCTGCTGTTAATTTGTACATTATTCAATAAATTGTAAACATATTTGAAAAAAATAATTAAATCATATTATAAATAGTAATCATATGATTTATAACACATTAAATCAAAATCAAATGAATTTGTTTTAATTAATAAATATAAAATTTAATTTCAAAACCTCGTATCTGCAAAAAAGTTACAAGGGTATTTGATGAAAAAACTCGTATCTACGTTAAATTGATAATAACAACAAGGTATCGATGCAGATAGCAAAAATGATGTTTAATTATTTTAAGGTGATAAATAAAGAGTATAAATTTTAAATTAGTTATAACTTTTTATAAAAATTAAGTAACTCTAAACGTTTTTATCGATTTACTGAAAATTAAGATTTTGTAGATACGAGGTTTACACAGAAACGGGACGATATATCACTTAACTTCTGTTGGAAAACATTAATATTTTTAGCCTTGTTTTCTGAGTAGAGAACTCCTTCGACAATTAAGGCGCTCTTTTCCAGAATCGCCGCTCCCTAGGCGCCAGCGCGCGACGACCCGTTTCATTTTATCTGTTTTTCGCCTATTGCCATAAATATAAGTTAATAAATGAAAATCTGTTTCTCCGAATACCTAAATAATGACAAGCTAAATCTATGAGTATAACTTTCATATCATATAATAATGTATTTTGTGTGTATCAGAGATTTTAAGGTATTTTTAGACCTATCTTTGAATTTTTTTTCTATCGATTGAACTATTGCCAATCGTGTTTTGGCCTCTCCGGGTACTTAGCTATTATCCTTAACTATAACATGTATGAATTTTAGAACTATATGTATTATATTCGTGGTTTTATAATGGTTCAAAATATCCTAAATTCTGGAAAAGAGCGCCTTAACAAATAACTGTCGAAGGGGTTTTCGACTAGTCTCTAGTAGCGTTAGAAACAGATAACTATTTGGCTGTAGATATCATTAAAGAAAACATTGTACAGTTGTGTTCTCCTATAATTGTGAGTGCATATAGGTTAAGTTTTGTTAATGTTTTAGTGTAAGTTTTTTTGTGTACTAACGTTGAAGATCCTAATAAAATAAATAAAATGAATGAAAATTACCACATTTTAGGAAATAGAATCGGACAAGAAGGCAGCTGAAGAAGCGAAGAAACAAATGAATAATAAGAGTGTTTTGAGTTGGTTTGGAAAATCCGAGGAAACTTCAGGATCACTCGAGTTCAGTATCGCCGGTCTGTTCAAGTGCTTCTGCTGCACGAACCCAAAGGATCATAAAGAAGATCTACATTTACTACAGATATCTAATTCGTTAGAGAAAATCGAGAAACGTTTGGATAGTGTGTATGTGCATTTTAATTTTAGTTGTAGCTTTCATTATAAATATATTTTGTAGGATTTCAAAATGGAGGAGATCATACTCAGGAGTATGTTTTTTTGTTGTGTTGGGATATTTTCGTGATTTAATATTTAGAATAGGCTATGGGAATTCAAGGGTGGTGAATTTAAAAAAAACGACAAGTCTAAGGGAACATTTGAGTCATTTTTTTGTAATTACACAAATTATTCTTCTTTGTGTATTAGTATCACATATATTTATTTGAAATATTGTTAAGTTAAATATAATACTTATTTTGTACGCAATAATCATAACGATTTTTGTCTTATTGAAGTCTAAGTCTAAGTGAAAATATGTTTTTTTGGTAGTATCATATTGTAAGAGTATGTATACATTATATCGGAAAAATGACATTATTAATTTTAGTACTATCACATACACCGTTGAATTTTAACTATGTTTTTTTTTAACTTAGAACCGCACCACAAGAAGTTATTGCGAGACGAAGATCTTCAATGGCTCTAAGAACTGATACACTGTCAATGTTACCAGAATATGAGGATAGTGAAGAGTCTGCAGATATACCGAGGGTAAATAGAAATAATAATATTATTCTTTAATTAGGCAGCAAACAGTTCACTGTAATGATCAGGCATGGTCATCAGAATTACTTCAGGATCTCATGAATTTAAATATTAAGACAGGGGAGGTTCTGTGGGTTTTGGTGGGTAGTACTGGCTTTTCTGGCCGATCTCACATAACCATCTGTGTGATTAAATTCATTTCCCAATGTTGAAAAAATAGTTTACATGCCTTAATCGCTCTCTAATCACATTACACGCTATTATTAGACGAAGGCTATTGAGTGATTTTTTTTAAATTTACGTATATAATGAAATCCTTAAAAGTATTAATATTTGATATTAATAAAGGGGTTACTAAAAACAAGACTGCTCCATTAGATTTTTGATGAAAGGTTTTCCCTATAATTGAAATTGTTGTTGAAAAATCTTTATATACTCGTATATAATAAAATTCTAACTAATTGGAATCTGTACATTAAATATTTTTTGAAAAATCTAACTGAAATAGTCATTATTTTCGATACAGAGGCCAAATATATAGTTTTTCGAATTTTTGCCTATCTTGTCTGTGACCGCATCACGACAAAACCACTGGACAAATTTTGATGAAATTTGGTATGATGATGATGATAACCAACTGGTTTTCCGAGTTAACATAAAGGATACTTTTTACTTCGGGAAAATATCTCATTTCTGAGAAATCTATACTAAACGTTAAAACGTAACTAGGGACGAACCCGAGCGGATCGAGGGTGAGTCGCTAGTTAATTATATAGATTTGTGTCTCTCAAACACTCGATAATAACATACTAATATTATTATTTTTACTATTGCATTGTGTTGTTACTTCACGCTATAGCGGTTCAACGAATTTGTGTGAAATATTATATTATAATTTCGAAGAAATACCACGCTGACTCGTTGTAATAAATATCCAATTTTTCGCATTTTAGGACTTAATTCTAAAAAGTTAATAGCTAATGTTATATATTCCGTAGGAAGAAAGAGATGACTTAATAAACCCATACTGGATTGAGGACCCTAATCTGCAGAAAGGAGAGGTTGACTTCTTGACTACAGCTGAAACTGAATTCTGGAAAGATCTTATTGATGCCTATCTGAGGCCCATTGATGAGAACAAGGAAGAAAAGGTATGAAGAATTTGAAAGTATAATAATTAAAATAATTAATATTTTCCTAAGTAATAGTACATTTTTGGAAATAATAAAAAAATATGTAGATATACTCGTAGTTCACATTTCAAATCTTCTATATAAATAAAAATAAGAATGTTCGATTGTAATTGATTACGGCTGGACCGATTTTTTTAATTTTTGTAATAGCTCGAATGTATAAAGTTAAAGATCATTAAGAAATTTATTGGATTTTGGACAGGAAAACGCCTTCCTTAAAAAAAAAGGTTCCTTGCTGCTAGGTCGGATCAGAAATGGGCCCTTAAAAAGGCTGAATACACACACACAAAGAAAAGTCGATTAAAAAGCAATATATTTACCCATTAAGTACGAAAACATGTTCTAGGAACGTATTACAAACGATTTGAAAAATCTCCGCGACAACATGGTGTTCGCGTTCTTCATGCTGAATGCTCTGTTCGTCACCGGCATATTCCTGCTGCAGCTCAACCAGGACCAGTTGCATATGAAATGGCCGTTCGGACAGAAGATCGAACTCGAATACGACCGAGAAACTAATATCGTGAGTGGATTTACGTTTTTTTAATAACGATTTAAATATCTTATAATAATCTTGCTAAGGATTTTATAAAAGGATTAAAAAAAGATTTAATGATTTCATGAATGAAAACAATAAAAAATGTGTGCAAAGGATTTCTGTGAAAAGTGAATTATTTTAAAATTATAGGAATTTCTAAAAAAAAATGGTTGTGTGTTAATTTTCTTTATAATTAATATCAAATTATATAATACCGTGATATTAGTGTCATATTGAACATTGTTTTTGTGTAATTACAAAGTAGTACTTTTTTAATATATGTATATATTTTTTATTTCAAGTAAAAATATATATAGGTAAATCATTTTTTTATTGCCGTTTTCGGAGATTTCGATAAATTTTTTTGATTGATTTTTTTTCTACATAGATATTTATAGAGCGAGACTTCCTAACACTAGAGCCTATCGGTTCCATGTTGATTGTATTCTTCGGTCTCGTCCTCGGAATACAGTTCTTTGGAATGATTTGCCATAGATTTGCAACTATCACTCATTTACTTTCCACTGTCGAAGTCAATTGGTATTTTAAGAGCAAAGTGAGTAATTTTCTTATATTTATTTATGGCTTTATGAGTTTGTCAATGTTATTTTTTACGTGATATGTAGTACAGAGGGATTTTTTATATTTTCTAACTTTAACTGTAGCACGTTAAATCTGTTAGCAGCTGAACGTTAATGATTTTTCATAATGATCCTAATAAGACTTGAGACTGACTTGAGAGATGACTACTCTTTAACAGTTGACAAACTTAAGCGCTACATAAAATAAAACAAATAGTAATTCTAGTTTTCATTAATTTATTTTTTTATAAATATATGGTGTATTGTAATTTGTGCGAGTCGGAGCCCCCCCTTAAATATTTGTTTTATTTTAATTTAGTTATTTATTTTTAAAGTGAATATATAACTCAATATTATGTGAATATTTCAAGCGTCCACATGTTGGCGTTATCAATATCGAGCAAAAACGGGCAAAAATATATAATATAGGAGCCCCCTTTAAATATTTATTTTATTCTGTTTTTTAGTATTTGTTGTTATAGCGGCAACAGATATACATAATCTGTGAAAATTTCAACTGTCTATCACGGTTCACGAGATACAACCTGATGACAGACGGACAGACAGACACATAGTCCGTCAGTCCAGACAGCGGATTTTTAGTATGCTTTCCCGTTTTACCCTTTGGGTACGGAACGCTAAAAATACACTTTTTTTACATTTTTTTTTATTATATTAATTTGTAGCCCGATGAAATGACAGAAAATGCGTATTTCGAAAGACGAGCAGTAGAAATAGCAAGAGATCTACAGAAGCTAAATGTTGACGATTTGGAGAAACGTGGCGTGGACGAGGCCAGCGTTTCCCGCCGCAAGACCCTCCACAACTTGGAGCGGGCGCGGGACAACAAGCAGAACAATGCCAATCTAGATGCAAACTTTAAAAGAAGACTTACTATTCTACAGAATGGTGATCCTTGTAAGTGTACTTTTATTGCTTTATTGTTCTTGATCTTTCGATTTTTTTATACTTTTTTTTCTTGGTCTTAGAAAATGTTTTTATTGCAAGGCCTCTATTTATTGAACTTAATGTTTTTTTGTGTGTATACGACTGTTGATTAAAATAAAATGTATAAAGTTTTCGCATTCTAATAAAAAAATATGTTGGGACATTAACTCACAGCACCCTCTAGTTCCATGGCGTGTGTTATGGATACCAGATAGTTGCTACACTACATATATATTTATTTATTATTTTCATGGAATTAGTATGTTATGTATCCCATACTCCAAATGGTATTAGATTTTAATGTTTTATTAATTTTGCAGCAATGGTGTCCCGGCTGCCGTCGCTGGGCGGCAACACGGAGGAGCGGCGCGTCACGCTGCGCGCGCTCTTCACGAGGCGGGACTCCGTGCTCGCGGACAGGAGGCGCTCGCAGCTGCAGGCGCGGGACTCCAATGGGTACATCTACGATGATCCGGCTACGGTAAGGGCTGTTGTTGATTTTATTATTTGATTGCTACTTAAGGATGTAAAACCCATAGAGTAGGTAGGTAGTATCTATGCAGTGGGTAGGATAGGACCTTTGATCTTGACCGAAATGCTATAATCAAAATAAAAAAAAAACTATTTTTATTACCATCTTGTGACAAGTTACAATAGGGATTATGCGTGTGATTTAAATAAAGGTGATTTTTTTTTACAATCTTCTTATTCAAAAGCAATAAGCTTTTGAATTAATATTTTTTAAGGTAACTCCTTTTTGATTAAGAAAATAATTATTAAAAAGTGCAAAAACAGGTGGGAAATTCAAAGTAGTTGAAACGCAACGCGATTGCACAGACCGAATATGACGTCAGAGTATATCATAACAGGACGATTAGCGATTTTTTTGCTTACAAATTGAGTCGTCATTTCTCTGTGTATATGATACTGTGACGTCACGCCAAGTGCGTAGGATAATGTTTTTTTTTAATTTATACTAAATATTAGTTTTATGGAGCTGGATATTTTTTTTCAATTATATAACGATGTAAGCTAATGTATAAAAAATTCAAAGAAAAACCATGCGTATACCCTATACCCCACAACCGTTTCTCGATTGTCATGTAAAATGACGACTATGGATTAATAAACTGATATTTGATAATAAGAAGTCTCGGTGTATTCCTATAAATTCTTATAATACTAACAAAATATAATTTTAATTAAAATAAACTAATAAAATAAATTCATGTCATGTAGAGAAATGCGTACTGTATTTAAAAAAAATGTTTTTGAAGATAGATTATTGGATTCTTTTTAATATGAAAAATGAATGGTCTTAAACGTTATATTCTTACGATAACATTTTAAGCGGTAATACTTATTATCCTTACACCAGAGCGTAACGCTAGCTCGACGTAATTCGGGAAAGATTTAATTTATACCATCTAAGGAAATCGGACGTTGCGTGTTTAATCGCGCATTACTTAAGAAAACATGATTAAGTAATGTTAGAAAAATTATAATTAGTAGCTATATTTTAAGATTTGAAAAGATAAATAAAGAAATATTTTTGCTCTGCAGAAAAGAACTATTCACGTGAATAGAATACATGCTCTAGAGTATATTTAACAGATAAGAGAAAATAAAAACAATGACTGTTACTTCTCAATACTTGTAGGAAAATGTTATGTATGCTCGCAAAAATATCAATGATTCTCTCAAGAAATATGACAAAAGTAGCAAACCAGAAGAAAATACAATCTAACTGTACCTCGGTTTTACAGAGTCAGTTGTTCTTTTTATGATCTGTACGTACGAGTATGTATATTATTTCACAACAGGAAATGCTTAAAAAGTTTTAATTGCTAAATTTGTAAAAAAATCTTAAAGAACGTTTGAATGTTGAAGGCTTTTATAATATAATTTTTTTTTTGAAAATAGCCTTGGGAATGATATTCCAAGTTCTTTCAATGTCAGATATTAAAATATATAAACTTATTTTATTTAAAAAAAAAAAAAACTGTGGTCCCGCTGCGTGTCTTTCGACAGTTCTGTCAGAATTGAGACATGTTTTTCTGAACTGTTGGTAGAGTTTTTGAGAAACAATAAGAATATTTCTGAAATACTAATACTGAATAATGAATTATCTGTATGAAAAATAAAGATATATACCACATATTTTTTTGTTAATGGCTTGTAAGTATGCTAGTGAGCACAGATTACTATGTTATGTAGACTGGAGAAATTGATTGGTAAAATACGATTATTATATAATATATATATATTAATATACTATATTATGCGAGGGAGGAATGTAATATTAAATAATCCTATACTTTTAATATATCTATGTATTTTCAATAGCTCAACAACATGGCGGGTTCATCTCTAGCGTACGTGAATCGCGGCTACGAGCCAGCTTACGACAGTGATGAGGACATGTCGCCGCGGCCGCGCCACAGCGCTGTGCGATTTAGAGACTCGTTTAAGCTGTACAGCTGATTGATCAACGTTAATGGACCACGATTGATAACCGTTGATAATGGTTGAAGATATAACGATTGATGATTATTGATACTGTTGGATATTAATTGATTACTGAAAATTAATTATGATTTATGTTAAAGCTTAACGTAACTATTTATTTGATTGATTGTTCTATATTTTGTATGAAGAATAAATTATTAATTACATAAGATTAGTTATGTTAAAGCCAATTATGTTTATAATTGTTTTTATTATTTAATATCATATTATATAAATCGCACATAATGTATTAATTTTAATATTATTTTTATGTCATTTATATATTTTTATTCTTTTTAATATAGCTTTTGTAGTTCAAATCGTTCAAAGATCAAAAGAATATGATAAAAGTTGGTTGAAATAAATTACTTGATGTTTTATTATTTTTTTATTCTCAAAATCCATTAAATATAATTCAAATAAATGTATATTTGAATCTGTAATGATCTACACAAATAATATATAGGCATTAAACGTTGCTTTTAGACAGAAGTATGTATCAGTTGTACATAATCCAAATTTAGATATTTTAGGACGCACATTCTGTATAGCACTTAACATACATCATATAAATTTTCGCATTTTTAAAAACATTATTTGCTTAAAATTATCGACACTCAAATATTCATCAGAAACGATCTAAATGTGTAGTAATACAATTAGCTATTTCTATGTATACGGATAAAGAATAGAGCTATTAAAAGATAATAAAATCCCCAATATGGGCATTATATTTTAATGACAAATTAATTAAACTAAACACAATTGGTTTATACTTGGCAAATTTACCAAAAAATGAGTAAAATTAGACAAAGCCCATTAAGAAAGCCTTAGAATGAGTCAGTAGTAGGTACAGGTGAGCGGCGTTCGTCTCGCAGAGACAGTGATCGCGCGGCGACCCGACCGCGCTCACGCACAATGAGCGACCCGCGAGTGTGTTGAAGTGTAGTGAATATCTATCCGGATTTAACACCTCTGGATCGAAACGTAAGTATTTGTGCTAAAAAATACATTTTAAAACAAATTTATGAAACTTTTATGTGACTCTTTATAACTGTCGAGGTTACGCGATCAGCTGCGAGACAGTGCGAATCGTACTTGTATGTATGTATGTATGTACATAAGTATATATTTTGGTTGTATTAACATTATCTATACAATGAAAATGAATTGTTGCTAATTTATTTAGATTTCTCCATGTAAATCTCTATGGTACGCATGAAGTAAACTACTTGTAGAGTTTCCCTTTCGAAAGTGTGAATTCGTCACATTATACTCGAACTATCACTCCGTAAAGTAGGTTAAATATAATCATTCAAATTTAAAGTTAATCTTAAAAATAATGTGTTAACTAATTTTAATAGTTATATCAGTGCTGATTTTCATATTCGCAATGCCAAACAAAAGTGAATGTAGGTGGTTTGGTGTACTCTAGTTATCGCTTAAGTAAGAGTTGGAAACTGGACGTAAACGGTATTTTATATCATAATACTGTCATTAATGAATAAAGTATTTATTAATATAAATGACTTTTCACTTTCGATTACCTTCGAATGATCTACAAAATATAATCATCTATATACAATATACATATATAATATTATTTATTTCTAATGAGAAAAGAAATAAAGTTTGGAAATTGATAAAACCCTACCTTAGTTAAGCATCAATGAAAAAGAGTGATCTTTAGCTAATTACTTATCAAATTATTGATAAACGTTAAAAAAACCTGCAATTTACCAATCCGATCTAGAGTTAATTTGAAAACAAAATCAAACATATGTTCGATTGTAAATATAGCAAAGTGGCATGGTAATGTCGTCGTGTCACGTCTAATTATTTTCTTATTTCAATATTAAACTATTGTATAATTTTCATTCAATAATAGTCTATCAAGTGAAATAATGATATGAGGGAATACGTAGCGTGGCGGCCTCTAAGCCTCGTGTATATCCGGTTCCGATGGAGGGTCGTTCTCACTAAAACAAAAACATTTTATTATTTCCTTACAATAATTATATAATTACTAAAATAATACATTACGTAGTACACCAAATGCTTAGTTACAAAACGTAATTACATTCAATGTGCACGCTATATTAATTACTCTTATAGCACTCATAATGTCCGCTTTCGCAATTTAAATGTTTTATTTCACCATTTACTTACTTATGGCACTCTATTTATTTGTAAAAAATCATATATTATTTTGAGCATATAAAAATTCTAATAATGTGATTTAACTATAATTTCTAATTTATAAATTTCTTATAAAAACTAACCAAAAATTCTAATAGAATTTATTTTAAAAGACTGTAATTTAAAACCGCAGGCTAGTATAAAATATAAATACATGCCACTAATTGGAATTGAACCTGTGATCGAAGTAGTAACAGTGTTCCCGTTAGTAGTGATATCAACTAAATACATCACTCGGTATTTGTAGTGGACATGAATTTCTTGAACTTTGTAATATATGCGGAAGCTGCTGCAAAAGACATCTATATAGAATAATTAATTATTCAAATTTATCTTTGTATAATGATACGATGTGGCGCAACTAATTTGGTTCTAATGGACCCAGCACAGATTATATGAATTTCCTTACTGTTACCAGGTTCAAACCTGTACAGTAGAAGTCTTGCAATGATTATAAAAATAATTATACTACCCTAGCTTAAATTATATGGGCTCAATTTTCAAGAGCTATAAAATATTGTTCTGCTAACTTTAGATGAAATCTTTTGAAAAGAAGTAATAATTTTAATCATTTATGCGTTAAAATAATAATGTTACTTTTGTGACAGCATATTTTAGTATATATTTAGACACAACACTGTGTTAACTCAATTGTTTGTTTACATGTTAGGAGTATAAATAAATATAACGGAAAACACTATATTAGGCAATAATGCTATGTCCAAAAGCTTAGTAAATTTAGTACAAGAAACTATATTATAAAATATAATTTAATAGTAATTATTTTCGCAATTCACGTGACCCTGTTATATTTTACGAGTTTAAAGCAATATGTTATATCTCGTGACACGACAACATGAACCACCTACAAGGCACAAACAAGCTAGCGAAAGTGTATATGACAAGATAATTGTTACCATTGCAAGAAGTCTGTTGTTTGAAATATATATTTTTATATTGATTCATTACTTAGATTTACACAACATAGCATGTTCTAAAATAATTTATTGGTCACTAAATGAAAATTTTAAATTACTCATGGCGTAATTCATTTGTCAGTAAGCGGAGCTTGTAATTCGTAAATCTCTAAGTTATTTTAGTTTTGTAACGATCTGTTAAGCCCACTTTATTCGTAATAATTAGCTAAACATTTCAATATTAAATAATTACAAAGTAGCGTGCAGCGATAAAGTTTAACAAAAGACTTCAACGCGAGCGCGTTTATGCATACCGTTATGATAATTCCTCGATGATAAGTTAATTTGCTTTACATTTACAAAAAAATTTCATACTTAATATATTAAATTTATAATTTTTACATAATAATTAAAAGAATCATCAAAATAAAAAAAATGTAGAGCCCTTAAGCACAGGCTCCTCTAAAATTAATATTATTCAAAAAATTCAATATGAGATATTAGTAGAGAGTAAGTCAGTTGGATGTGGACAATAAGACGCTTAGATTATAACTTTCCTTTTTGAATTAACTGTAAGTATAGTGCTATATCATGATGTATCAACGGCCTTGTGATTGCATTATGCTATGTAACTTTATAGCCAGCCAGTCACCGCCTAGCTGAAATATTATCATGTTACGAGTAATCAGTCGTATTCCTACTAGGTTATATCAATCATTCATTCTTAAACAATTTATACTTTCTCTTTCTACCCCGCTATTTAAAACTATTCCTTACATATACCTACCGGGTTGACTGGAAGAGATCTCTTAAAGAGATAAGTCCACCTTTGTCCACGTCACTTTCTGTTTTTTGATAACTCATTGCAATAAAGAATATAAAATTATTTAACTCAAAAGTACATCTATGGAATTTTAGTATTTAGTAATATCGTTAATTATCGTTGAGTCAATGTGTTTTTTATTTCTTTGCACATTAAATATTTTTGCAATTATCCAAAATGCAGTTGCAAAATATAATAACCATTAAGCTTTAGTACTAGTCATATTGACTATAATGATGAATTATTGTGGCTTTACCAAAATTTTTCATCCTCAATATACTTTACATGTATTTTATCCTAATAAAGTGGTGAATTTCATAAATAAAAATATACATTTTAAACTTGTCCTATACCACTACAGTCTATAATACTACTTCTCAGTTCTCATCTCTACTCTCTCAGTCCTCGATGCAAAAATAATGTCAATTTTTTGTTGCGTAAAAGAAGGACAAACCAACAAATACACTTATGAATTTATAGCCTTTAGATAAGATTAGTATGTAAATGCACATCAAAATAACAAAAAAAACATTCCATTACATATTTCAAAGTTTTGGTTCTATAAAACTTTGTAATCGTTAATTAGTTCTATTATTTTGTATATGGAAAACATTCAAAGATAAAGTTCTTACCATGTTATTACTAGTAATTCTAAAAATGTAAGGCAGTTGCGTAGTACTAAGGTGGTTAAAGGCAATGGCGGGAAGGGAGAAGGGGAAGCCAACAGCTGTCGGCCGCCAATAGTGAAAGTGAGCTCGAGTCGAACTCAGCTTTACTCATAACTGATCTTTAACATCAGTGGTGTAAATGTCGAATGACAAATATTTTTTAACCGAATGATATTCGGTATCCTATTTTGTTTAAACTTAAAAAACAAATGTCGACATCATTTAAAACAACAGCTGTTAAATAGAATTATTGAGGATATTATACGTGTTTTATTCTTGCCAATCGATTCTTCTATTCGAGTTATCCGATACAACTCGCGCGCCACTTAGATTGTTGGTACTACGTCAGAAACCTTCGCGGTGTAAGCACAATCATCTACCTAAGTTAAAACTAGTCAATCGGACTGCTACTATAAATGTATGCAAGAGTTTTTAGGTACTTTGTACATGGCCGTATATTTATTACTCTTTTACGGTAAAACAGCTGGACGGCTTTGCACCAAGTATAGTGTACAGATAGACTATGACCTGGAGTAACAATTTTTAACATTTAAGCTACTGTTAGGCAGCTAGGGACGCACCACAGCGAAGCGAATTTGAGTTGCTAGTGTCTCATATTTTTGAACACTGACAAACATAAATTAAATTTTGTAAATATATAAATAAATATTAGAATAGTTAGATATTTGCTGAGGCACAGCTCCATTGTCCAGAAGGCGCGGAAGTCGCTGACCTTGCCGCGTCGACGCCCTCCGCCTCCAACTCCGAACTATGCATAAAGGAACAAAAATACTGCAATACTATTGATGTTATCTCGTTTATATTTCATATGTTTTGTACATTTGCAGTTATATATGTATATGCAACACATATTTTAATTACATTGCAATTCAAGGTTTCAATAGCAAAATGTAAGTTAAGGTTTAAGTTTTTGTTCCACATTTTAAAGTATTTTAATAATACACTAGCTATTGTTCGCGGTTCCGCTCGATTAGTTTTTTACGTATAATTGCTTTACTCTTAAGGGTCGTACCGTGATGTTAAATTAATATACCTATTTCAATAAATAGGCTATAAAATGTAATAACACTTTCTCAAAATAGATTGTTAGTTCAACCATAATACGATATCTTCAACTTTATAATAGTAGTTTAAATAAAATATTATTAAGTGTTTATATATTTATTTTTAATTGCTCTATATTTGTAATAAAAACATGATTACTATCAATTATTCTATTGAGGTTTATTAAACTTTATCTACAGTTACAATGTTTTAGAGCTGCGTGACCTTAACATACAAGATTTCGTTTTTATCAAAGCAAACTTACATTGTTCTATTGTTGAAAAGTGAAAATTTGTAATAAGAATTACTATTATTTTTCATTGATCAAGTATTTTTATAAAACAAGATACGTATAAAGATACGTATTTTAAGTTAAAACATTAGTTTTCGAAGTGTAAACTCATTTTTATAACTTAAATTTTAGTTTATGAATTAAAAATCTAAATGTATATTATATCTTTTATAATAATGTTAACTGTAAAGAAATTACAAAAATTATAAAGGATGAATGACCGATGTGGCACAGGATTCGCCCTTCGTGGAATGCGCAATTTGTCTGCAGGAACATGATTCACAAATGTTACTTTAGGGTACAACGAGAAGGCTTGTTACAAAGTATAAAAATAACGCAGCAATTTAACTTCTTCATTTGGTAAAGTTAATCTTAATAGATTTTAGTAATCAATAATTCAGGTGCGGATTGGCTTAACTTTTAAATTTATTTCATTTTTATACTAAGTTTTGTTTTGGTATTTTGGAGATATAATGTATTTTGAGATATTGTTTTTAGTATATTTTATCTTAATGACACCTAAGCTAGAGTAAAATTTTGAAGAAAAAAATCAGAGTTAAAGGCATCATAGTAATATTGATAATATTGCTTTTATGTTGGATGATTTGTACAGAAGTTTGTAAAATATTGATTACGATTAAACTTATCCCATATATTTTTTAGATTTTGTTTGTTACTAAAAAATAAAATTTGTAAGTACATTTTATGTATTTCATTATCATTTTAAAATCAAAATATATTGATCATGTTTTCCGGCTGACGCTATCTATAAAAGACTTCAACGCGCGCTTTATTTAAAAACTTGTTTTGTTCGTTTTGTTTTTTTTTTACAATAAAAATATTTACCTTATTCATAAGTTTTAACAATTCAGGGTTATAAAAATAAATACCATCTGGGTTCCAGGATAAAAAGGAAGAATGGCGACTTCAGGGGGGAAGGCGCGGCGCGAGGAGACCAGTGACAACTCCGACGACGAGCTGCTACCGCTCGCGAACGATACCTATGGTGGAAGGTTTGTATAAAGGTTTTATTTTAATATCAGCTAATACCAGTATTTGCCCGCGACGTTATATTTAGCCCACTTAAGATGAACCCTGCTTTGAATGGGAAGCTCATGCTCTATCTTTGGATTTTGTCGACCTATTGATATTAAACATATTTAGTAGTTATCTGTATAGAAAAAAAAAGATTTACTGAAATGCAATTAAATTTCAAGTACTGAATAAATTTGCATAAGCGTATTGTTCAAGAGAAAATAATTTAACTGTTATAATTTCGTTACATAAGACGAAAAAATAGCTTAATCCCTTAGATATTGCCTTAGACCTTTTAATGAATTTTTACCCGAAATTGATTAATTATGAAAAAAAAATGCTATCACTTATTTTTTATTAAATAAGGTTATGGTCAGATAAAATCGCAAAAAGGCTATTTAAGCACTGAGTTGAAACAGATATGACGTAACTGTACATTTTATTTATTTTTTTAATTACGTATAACTCATAAATGATTTATTAATAATAATTTATATTTAAACAATAAAGGTAACTATTTACTTAAAAATGAAGTAAAATCAGAACTTTCGTGTTAAACTGGAAGTAAATTCTAACGAAAAAGTGAAAGGGATTACGTACTTTTGCCTAAAAAGTAATTTAAAGTAAATATTAAAAACAAACTGTGAGTATACTTACATTTTATACTAGCATTGCCCGCGGCTACGCCAGCTTTCAGATGACCAAAAACCGAATTCTTAGGTTTTACATATTAATATAGGTACTCTTATAATGCAGTTTTTGTAGTTTATCTCAGAAATGACATCTTTTCCTGCTGTAAAAAGTATCCTATATGTTGACCCGGATAACCAGCTATCATTATACCAAATTTCATCAAAATCTGTCCAGTAGTTTTCTCGTGATGCGGTAACAGACAGACAGACAGACAAACAAAAAACTATAGATTCGGACTCTGTATCGATAATAATGTCTATTTCAATTAGATTTTCCAAAAAATATTTAATGTACAGATTCGACTTACTTACAATTTTATTAAAGGTAGGTATAGATTGCTCGTTCTCAATTGCTATAAATGGATTAACATAAAGTTCATGATATCATCACATATGTATTCTAGTTGACGAGTTTCCCAGACATGCTGTCACTATTGAGATAACATACTGGTTACGAGTTTCCATACGAGCTTTCATGAAAAAATATTTTATTTACTATACAAAAATATTCTATACACAAAGTAATAAAACAGTAAAATTCTTATATATTATACTCTAAATTCTAAACCAAAAAATCTCTTAGAAATGAATCTAACTAAGTTAATAATATTTATATGCAAGAAAATACTGGTTGATTAATATATAATTAATGGTAGAAAATGAAACTTTTTTTTAATTAAAATAATTTATTGTCTATTTATTTTATTGTGCTCCAAAAAAAAATATTTCAAATTAATTGTAATAACATAAATGCTTCGGGGACATTCAGTTGTTTCTTCCAGACGTTTTGTTTTACCTTGTAATTTTTTAACATTATGAATATCGTCATTTTCATTAATCATAAGTTTTTTAACTCATAGGTGAAGCATATATTATTTATTATTTAACCTTGCTATTTATTATAAAAAAATGAATAAAACATTTATGAGTCAAGCTCCACTCCAATGATCATCGCTATGTGAATGCGGTTAGAGAATCGTGTCAGAAATAACGATCGTATTATATTCTCATAAGCTATGTTGAGTAATAGGTACTTGTTAGAAAGATATCGCAACAATCACATAAAAAGGAAAAAAAAACAAGAATGATATTTTTTTATTCATTCGTTTTTGTGCAAGGGAGAAGCGGCTTTTTATTCGTATTTTAAAAGTGTAACGTATAAAATCTAAAACTTATCTATACATATAAAATTCTAACTGAGTTGAATATGTATATTATATAATTTTTGGAAAATCTGATTGAAATATTTATTATCATCAATATAGAGGTCGAATCTATATGATGATGATGAATCTATGGTGATAGCTGGTTGTCTCGGTCAACATTTAGGATAATTTTTAGTGCTGTAAAATATTTCATTTCTGAGCAATCTAGGTATACTAATCGTTAAAACGTACCTAGAAACGAACCCGAGCGGAGCGAGGGTGAGTCGTTACTACTTAGATAAAATTAAAAAAATCATCTCAATATATAGACTTAACCACAGATAGTAATATTCTTAAATACTTATGGAACAGGTTTTTAAAATTATTTATTTTAGACTTGCTTGAATACCTACTTACTAGCTTACTATTTAGGTCATAGAAGCCAATAAGCAAGAGCCGCTATAAAATAAATATTTTATAGGCGTTTATGAATATTTACTTAAACATGTACTTAGTACTGCTATGTATATAATATTTTAACCTCATATACCTATAGATCTTTTATTTATTAGAAAACAATTGAAAGTGAGGGAAGTGTCTTGAAGTAAGATAGTAAGAAAAAACATAAAAATTATTAAATATAATCAATTAACTCCGCATATAATTTTAACTATATTTGGAGATTTAAATTTGAATAGGAGAACAATGAATAGTTAGCTTTTATATAAAGCTAGAGGTCGCTCCACGATCGCCACGGTGCCGGAACCCGCTCAAATGCCAAGGTTGTCAACTCTGACGACACAACTTTCGATCGAGTGCGCCACATTTTTGCGCCCCACTTCTTCCTATATAGACGGTAATGGCTAAGCCATGTATAATCACTGTTTACTAGTCTATATTCTTAGTTTAGTCTGAATTATATAGCAAATAAAAAAATATTCTGAAAAGAAATAAACAACTTAAATGCTACAACTTGATAAATTCCAATTCATATTTAAGTTATTTTTATGAGCTCGATTAAACTAATAATAACAATTTATAAGCTCTCCAACTGCAGAAGATAGATTTAAATAAATATATGTAAATAAGGTGCATATTTCTTTGGTCGCTTTTCTATTCTAGATCTTCATTGGTAGATTGTACACACCGGGCACGGGGTCGTACGTGAGAGGAATATTAGATTGCAACGGGTACAAGTTAGCTGACTTCAAGTTACTTGAGTTCATGACATGTTATTTTTGTTACAGTTATTCCAAAAATACAACAGTTTCATTTATAAAATTAGTATAAATAGTGAATATAATAACACGTCATGATTAAAACATCCGGAAAACTAACGTATGGGTCACGCTTGTGACGTGGTCAATGACCGTCAAATTTTTGCGTGCATTTAAAAATGTCTCGCATACTTTAATATTTTCTAAAATATTGGAATACTTATAAAACTCTATATGTAAGTTAAATATTTTCAATTTTTATACTAATGGACATAATATGTCCATGATATTCTAACTTGTACTTCAAAAATAGTATAAAGTATATGCGTTATACCATTTTTGAAATACCCTAATTAAAAACTAGTAACGATGATATTGCATCGCTCTACCTAGCTTAGGAGACTTTCGTAAGTTTTCGTGAGCTGCGTTGACATTGAGTGTTCTTTTGTTTATAAGATATAAAATGCAATGCGAATATGCACCTTAACTGCTTTGTTATAAGGAGTATATGCTATATAGTAACTTAGTTACAAGCTTTACCCGCACGAGTGCTATTAGACTGCACTCAATATGCCGTCGATCAAGTTCGTGAGTTTTGGAAGGTCAATTGTTTTTTGATCTTTTTTAAATGATTTTATGTTGTGTTACTAAACTTATAAGAACTTTAAATTTATTTTGCCAAGTTAAATGACTGAAATTAAAAAAAAAACATATCCATTTTGGTAACGAATAAACCAAAAAATCCTTTAAAATTTCTTATATGTAACTTAAATATATTTTCTTATAAGAAAAACATTACATATAAAATGTAAAATTTAAATATTATAAAACTATAATATAGTTTTATAATATATAATTATAAAACTTTCATTTCCAACAGTCCCATATGACTGAGGTACGCGCTTCTACTATTAATAATAATTAGCGAAGCGATATAATTTCACGTGCTCAGTATCGCAGAACGAAGAACTTGCTACATCAACTGCCTAGACATGACACTAAGCAAAATAAATAATATTCTTTAATTAAATTATACGTACAAATTTAGTTCCATACAATATTTATAGGTACTATACAAATGAAATGATAAACATACAGAATTAAAATAATTAAGTATTATTTAGAATACTGTAATAATTATGATACTTTTTATAATAATAATAAATTTTTTTCAAGATTTTGAAAACATGATACATATATAAAAAAGCTCTTCTACTAAAAATTTGTGGCATTGTGAAACATGTTACAATAGAATTTAATTTCGCGATTCATTATTACAAACAAAGGATTTTTACGAATCTTTTATTCATAACGTTTTCAATTGCAAATATTCAAAATTAATATTCCTATTTTGTCCACTTCTACATCACACCAAATGCTTTGGTGGATGCGTGCCGCCACCAGTAGTAGTTATTGCGATCGCACCGTTGCCCGTCCTCGATTGATTAAAACAATGAGTTATTGAATAATATTCGGACGTACAGGACTTACTCCCTGCTGTTTGCTAATTAAAATTCTTTTCTCTAGTGATATAATCAGTGATGTGCGATAAAAGTGCTCTCTCTAGGGGCTAGCAACGTTAGAATGAGTGATCAAGATCGCAAGAGCTATTACGAGAGGCAGGATTTGACTGATATAGAGCCTGTATATGCGGCTAACAACAATAACTCGATTTACAGCAATTACTGTAGTATTTACAGGTTTGTTGACATGTGGCATATCACATCTATGATCATTGTTAGCTACTAAGGTAGTAATTCGATTAAAATCGTAATACGTACGATGATTATGAATAGGTCTTACCTACTAATAAGAAACTTAACTAAAAAAATAAGTATCATAATATTCATAAGAAAGTTAATAAAATCGTATTATTTACCATATCATTGAATTATTGAGAAAGTTTAATGTTTCTTTCATTGTAAATGAAATATTAATCAATTTAATTGGACGATGCTATATTATTTTAAAAAAAGAAGCATCATGATACGAACATCGAAATTATGTTACAGACAAATTTAAACACAATAGATTGCTAAATTTTTTCACATATTCTCATAAGACTTGATGTAGCTTAAGTGGTATTAATAATAATTGGCCGCAATGTTAAAATTATATACCCGCTCATACCTTACGTAAAACCTTTGACACAACAGTGGCTAAGCAAGACGTGGTGTCGAAACCACCGCATTGTAATAGCTTTCGGCGGGTTCATTTTGAATGAAATTATAACAAGTGGACAAATGTTCACTGAGAATGTTTCTCCATGTGTTTGATTCTCATATGCGTGGATGAATAAAAAAACGTTATTGGAAAATTAAAATTGCTATTGCGATATTAATAAAAATTATAAATAAAATATGAGCATATTTTTAAAATCAAAAGGTCGATTTACAGCGGAAGAAGGAAGGAAGTGTAAAATATGTGTTATAAAAACACAAGAATATTTTCTCGAATCGGTCGCGTTATGCGTGTGAAAGTTGTTTGTCTTGATTTAATATGGACGCCAACTAGACACTTGACGTGCAGTGTACATTACATGGAAACAATTGAAATTATAATACTACTGTAAAATTAGATTTTTTACAAACACTACTTGTCACAATTTGCTCGAGTACCTAAGATATTGACACACAAACCACATTGTTTCTTGACACAATGAAATTACTATTAACTGCGGTTTTTAAACAAAATATGGTTTTAATTAACACTTTAAATTGGTCATTTAGTTAATTATTATATTTTTTCATTAATCTAAATCTAAAAACTATTCTTCCAGTCAAAGAACAGTCCAAGAAACAAAAGGATGGGACGTCTTCAGAGAATTTCCACCGAAGCAGGACAGTGGGTCCATGGAGAGTCAGAAATGTTTAGAGTTTACAGTAAGAATTCTCAAAGTGCTGGCGTACACAATCACCTTCATAGTGGTTCTTGCATCTGGAGTAATAGCCAAAGGAACAGTACTTTTTATGACCTCGCAATTGAAGAAAGATAGGCGTCTTGCGTATTGTAATAGGAATTTAGGTAATTTTCTTACTAAGATTTTTTTCCTCTCATATATTGAAGTAAGATATTAAATTATTAAAAATAACATAATAATTTCAGGTAGGGATAAACAATTTGTAGTCACACTGCCCGATGAAGAGCGAGTTGCATGGATGTGGGTGATACTTGCAGCATTTGCAATTCCGGAAATTGGCGCATTTATTCGTGCAGTAAGAATATGCTTCTTCAAATCTTCCAAGAAACCGAGCGCCGTGCAATTTATGGTGGTAAGTAATTAGTATGTAATGTACTAGCAAACACAATTTATGAAACGATATTATTTTAATTTAAAAATATTATAATTTTAGGTTTTCATAGCGGAATCGTTACATACGGTCGGTATGGGATTACTATTTTTCAAAATACTACCCGAGCTGGATGTGGTTAAAGGAGCTATGATAACTAACTGTCTCTGCATTGTGCCGGCAATTCTTGGCCTGCTCTCTAGAAATTCACGTGATTCGAAGAGATTTGTGAAAGTTATCGTTGATATGGCTGCTATAGTCGCACAAGTCACTGGTTTCATTGTTTGGCCGTTGTTGGAGAAAAAACCAGTTCTCTGGCTCATCCCGATATCAGCGTTGTGCATCTCTTTAGGATGGTGGGAAAACTATGTGACCCGGAAAAGTCCCATTGGTAAGTGTTGTATGATTGTACTCAAATTAAAATTGAACTCAATATATCTTTGGTATTTGTCTGTCATTAAGTACATGTTTCTTATTATAAAAATATGTACTTTTTCTTCCAGGGATTATTAAGAGTTTGGCAAGACTGAAGGATGAATTAAACCACACTCGTTATTTTACATATCGAATTATATCGCTTTGGAAGGTCATTCTATTTCTTCTAATCATTCTCTTCACAATATGGATAGATGGTGACGATCCTGCTATGTTTTTCCAATTGTTCAATTCTGGCTTTGGGCCGCACAATATTGTTATAGAAGAGGTAAGATTTAAATTGTTATTAGCACTTTCTTATACTTTTGAAGTCGTTTTTGGTCTGAAGAAAAGATTTAAACTAATTTTTCCTTCAGAAATAACTTAAGTTTGCTTACAATGTCAATTTGAAAGAATGACAAAGTAAAAATTAGTAGAATCGATGAAGAATAAAAAAATGTTTAACATATTTATGATTTTGCAAGTTCCTTCATAATGTAAATATATTCCAGGTTCAAATACAACTCGGCGGTACAGTTATACCAGATTTAGCAAATGCTACTCTCACAGGAGATTCGGTTGAAGTTGCGGCGGTATATAAGTCAGCTTTCTATGTGTTGTTAATTCAAGTCTTTGCCGCATATTTCTGTTATATATTTGGAAAATTTGCTTGCAAAATCCTCATTCAAGGCTTCAGTTACGCTTTCCCAATAAACCTGGTAATACCCTTGGTAGTTAATTTCCTAATAGCTGCATGTGGTCTAAGAAATGGCGATACTTGTATATTTCACGGTACAGTTCCTGATTATCTTTTCTTTGAGAGCCCACCAGGTGAGAAAATTATTCGATACTTTTAAAATTAATTATTATAACTTATAGTGTAGGTTCTTATTAATTTTGAGAATGTTTTCATTTTTAGTCTTTTCGCTCAGCGATTTTATTTCTCGACAAATGGCGTGGATATGGCTTTTATGGCTGCTTTCTCAAACGTGGATTACCATACATATATGGATTCCAAAAGCTGAGCGTTTGGCGTCAACTGAAAAACTATTCGTACTTCCAATGTATAACGGGCTTTTAATTGATCAAAGTATGGCATTTAACCGGAAGAGAGATGATCAAAGAGATGTTAAAACCGAGGTAAACAATTAATTATAATTTAATGTATAAAGTTGTAATAAATACAATATGTATTATGGTTCAAAAAGTTGCCCTAATTAAAACTCGTATTAAATGAACCAATATTTTAATGCGTTCACCTTGAATATTTCATGTGACGTTAATTATAATTTGCTTAATACAGGATTTAGCGGAAATAGAAAAAGAGAAAGGTGATGAATATTACGAAACCATTTCGGTACATACAGACAATACCGGTTCGTCGCCTAAAACCATCAAATCATCTGATCAAATCACAAGAATATACGCATGCGCTACTATGTGGCACGAAACAAAAGACGAAATGATCGAGTTCTTAAAGTCTATTCTAAGGTTAGACGAAGACCAATGCGCTCGGAGGGTCGCTCAAAAGTATCTACGTGTTGTCGATCCTGATTATTATGAATTTGAAAGTAATACATTCATTTCTTTATAATTAATATGGAATTAATTAACATGCCATTAGCATTATATAACTTATGATTTATTTGCAGCTCATATATATTTGGACGATGCGTTTGAAATATCTGATCACAGTGATGACGATTCTCAAGTGAATCGATTCGTCAAACTTCTTGTTGATACAATCGATGAAGCCGCATCCGAAGTTCATCAAACAATTATTCGTGTTCGACCACCAAAGAAATTCCCAGCTCCATACGGAGGACGCTTGACTTGGGTGTTGCCTGGCAAGACTAAAATGATCTGTCACTTGAAAGATAAGGCTAGAATTCGTCACAGGAAACGTTGGTCACAGGTGATGAAATATTATTATTGTATCTTCTATATATGGTATTAGCGACTCGGTCTCGTTTTGCTTCGGGTTCGTCCCTAGACAATAACGGATCTATCCCATGGGAACCGTACATTTTTCCGGGACGATATATAAGCTTCCTCAATAAACTGGCTATCTAATGTAAAAAGAATTTTTCAAATCGAATTAGTAGTTTATGAGATTTGCGCGTTCAAACAAACAAACAAACTCTGCCTCTTTATAATATTAGTATAGATAGTATTTTCTCATTTCGATGCAGATTGAATTAAAATTGTTAGTTCTTGTCAAACGTATATACTTATACTTTATTTCTAAAAAATTATAACATTTTTATTTTATATTGTTAACATATGAAAATTTACAAATACTTTAGGTCATGTACATGTACTACCTTCTCGGACATCGTCTCATGGAGCTCCCGATATCAGTCGATCGTAAAGAAGTTATGGCTGAAAATACGTTTTTATTAACATTAGACGGAGACATTGATTTCCAACCACACGCCGTTAGACTGCTTATTGATTTGATGAAGAAAAATAAAAATCTGGGCGCAGCCTGTGGTCGTATTCACCCGGTTGGATCTGGTAATACATTTTAAATACATATATAATAAATTTTAAAGCTTTGAATTATTTCTGTCATAGAACATTTTAACTGGTTTTTTTTTCTTATATTTTTTAAGGATTAATGGTGTGGTATCAAATGTTCGAATACGCTATCGGCCATTGGCTGCAAAAGGCGACTGAGCATATGATTGGCTGTGTACTTTGTAGTCCTGGATGCTTCTCACTCTTTAGAGGAAAGGCTTTGATGGACGACAACGTCATGAAGAAATATACTCTACGATCTGATGAAGCTCGGCATTATGTACAATATGATCAAGGCAAGCATTTAGTCTATCAATTAATACAGATTACTATAGGGTACTTATGATTGTATGTTTGTATATCAATCGATTTTAAGGAAAGTGTGTGTGTGTGTATGTAAAAATGTATGTATAGAATTGTAAACATTGTCGTATTCAGATTTTTGTATTTGTTTAATGACTGTAACTTGCCGACATAGCCACTAATTCTTTACTGTCTACGCTATTCGTATGTGATTTAAATAAATGATATGAACGACTCTAAAATATAAAGTGTGCATATATAATAATATGTATATTGTTATTTACAAAGCAAATGGAGTATTTTTTTTACTATTATTACATTACTAAATGACATGTTAATTTTCGTTTTACAGGAGAAGATCGTTGGCTCTGTACATTATTGCTGCAAAGAGGATACCGTGTAGAATACTCAGCCGCTTCAGATGCGTACACGCATTGTCCGGAAGGATTCAATGAATTTTATAATCAACGTCGTCGCTGGGTGCCCTCTACTATTGCTAACATTATGGATTTGCTTGCCGATTATAAACACACGATTAAAATTAATGACAATATTTCGACTCCCTATATTGCTTACCAGGTAGGGAAATAATCAACAATAATCGTAAAAACTTTTTGTGCATGTAGATTTCCATTTTTGTTCGTTAACTCACGTTGCGAATTATTCTCTACAAAAATTCCTTTTATTTTAACATAATAATGTACAGCTATGACCAACATCTAAATATTGGTGACAATTTTTTTTTATTAAAATGTGTATTCTAACTATTCTTTGCAGATGATGTTGATGGGTGGTACAATTTTGGGCCCTGGCACTATATTTCTTATGTTGGTGGGAGCTTTCGTGGCAGCTTTTAGAATTGACAATTGGACTTCCTTCGAATATAATTTGTATCCTATCGCAATCTTTATGTTCGTTTGTTTCACGATGAAATCAGAATATCAGGTAAAATATATATTTTTAAGAAACTACCTAAATTAGAGAAATCGATTAGAGGAAAATACATATATACATATACAATTTTATTTTGTTAATTACATGTATTGTTATTTATATGACATAATATGTAACATCGCTTACAAGTTACAATCAAAGCAAGGTATATATAAAATACCAAATTTTAATATTGGAATTGATTGATTAATAAATATTAATATTTTGGGACATATCTGCGAGGCTTGTGTTATGGATACCAAATAGTTTACACACTATACATATATATGACTTTAAATACATACATACATATTATTAATATAAATAAACACCCATAACTGGAGTACAAACATTCGTGCTCATCACACAAATGAATACCCTCAGCGGGACTCGAACCGACGACCGCTGGTACAGCAAGAAGGGTCACTACACACGGATCCATACGTGTCGCCGAAATACTTTAATATAATTAATACTTTTTATGTTTCAGTTATTGGTCGCGCAAATTTTGTCAACAGCTTATGCAATGATAATGATGGCTGTAATCGTGGGTACGGCACTTCAGTTAGGGGAGGACGGTATCGGATCTCCATCAGCTATATTCTTAATATCACTTTCGAGTTCTTTCTTTATAGCAGCTTGTTTGCATCCGCAAGAGTTTTGGTGTATAGTACCGGGCATCATTTATTTACTTTCGATTCCCTCTATGTACTTATTATTGATTTTGTACTCCATTATAAATCTGAACAACGTAACATGGGGAACGAGAGAAGTTCAAGTGAAGAAGACGAAGAAGGTAATGTAGAAAAAAATTGCTTGTATTATAGTAGTTATGTATATTTGAGTTTTTATTTAATACTAGCATTGCCCGCGGCTCCGCCCGCGTTCATATGACCAAACACCAAAATTCTTAGGTTTTACATATTGGTATACTCTTACATTGCAGTTTTTGTATTTTTTCTCAGAAATGAGACATTTTCCCGCGGTAAAAAGTATCCTATATGTTGACCCGGACCACCAGCTATCATCATACCAAATTTCATCAAAATCCTTCCAGTGGTTTTTCTGTGATGCGGTAACAGACAGACAGACAAACAGACAAAAATTCTAAAAACTATAGATTCGGCCTCTGTATCGTTAATAATGTTTATTTCAATAAGATTTTCCAAAAAATATTTAATGTACATATTCGGCTTAGTTACAATTTTATTATATGTATACATTTTGTATCTTAATAGGAAATTGAAGAAGAGAAGAAAGCTGCAGAAGATGCCAAAAAAAGCGCTAAGCAGAAATCGTTGCTTGGTTTCCTTCAAGGAGTAAACAGTAATGAAGAAGAAGGTTCAATTGAATTCTCATTTGCCGGACTGTTTAAATGTTTGCTCTGCACTCATCCTAAAGGAAATGAAGAGAAAGTTCAACTCATGCACATAGCGTCAACTCTGGACAAGTTAGAGAAAAAATTAGAGAATGTAGAAAGGTTTGTACAATGATTATATCTAATGACATTGCATATATTATGTAATTATAATACTTATAACTTAAGGTATCTTTTTGTAGAATTGTGGATCCACATGCACATTCGAGAGGACGTAAATTATCTATAGGAATGAGAGGTAGTACTAATGGAGATCATTTAGGACCTGTGGCCGAAGGTGAAGAGGAAGATCATGATTCAGATTCCGAGACTGACACCATGTCTTCAACACCCAGGGTAAGATAGTTTTAAATTCACATATAATATATTAATATTTAATATATTTATATTATGATTTAAAGTATTTTTACACTTAATTAAATTTATTTTTAGGAAAAACGAGATCATTTGATTAATCCGTATTGGATAGAAGATGCGGATTTGAAAAAAGGAGAAGTTGATTTCTTAAGTCAATCAGAATTATCATTCTGGAAAGATCTTATTGACAAATATCTATATCCTATTGACGAAAACAAGGAGGAAAAGGTAAAATTTAATATAAAAATAGAGTTAGATATTTAAACATATCAAATACTCTATTTTTGTAGGAAACTGACTGACATTAAATTAAATTATTTATTTATTTCTTGATAATCTTACACCGATAGAAATTTTTGAAATATAGTTAGAGCACAAAGTTATTAATAAATATGGCCAAAATTAGATTACTCTATTAGATATAATAGTATATGTATTAGACAACAGAGTACTCATTTATTGAAAAAGAAAAAAGAAAAAAGTCTGAATAAATTAAATTGATCATACTAAAGATTATGAAGTGAAATTATTACATATTGCAGTCCACAACAGTTAATTTAGAAAAAAAAAACATTTAGATGGGGTTTTATGTAACGAACGGATTTTAAATTTCCATAATCTGGACTCAAAAACATCGATTATAATTTAATAAACAGTTGTATTTTAATCTATAATGAAAAAACGAACATTCGATTTAGAACCAACTTCTAAAAGATAAATAGGATGTCAGTTTTCCAATATTTTTCAATTACTCATTATTAATATTACTTTAATTTTCCTTATAGATTTATTATATGTACCTACCTACTCTATTAACCTTTTTTTACAGGAGCTTATTATATTTGAGTACTTAATATAACTGTAAACTTATTATTACTAATTTCCCTAAATTTTAGGCACGTATATCCAGAGATCTTAAAGAATTGAGAGACTCGTCAGTATTTTCATTCTTTATGGTTAATGCTCTTTTTGTGCTCATTGTTTTCTTGCTGCAACTCAACAAGGACAACCTTCATATAAAATGGCCGCTTGGAGTAAAAACTAATATTACTTATGATGAGGTTTCGCAAGAGGTAACGTGAGAATAAACTGTGTTCAAAAATCGGCCTTCAATGATGACTCTGAACGACATGGTACCTCACGCGAAAGTTAAAAAAATATATATCATAAAGGTCATATTCTAAGTCACCATTGAAAGTTGATAAATTTAATGCTTTTTTTTCTATCAATTTTACAGGCTCGAATTGCACGTGATTTACTTGAGCTTCGCAATAAGTCAGTTTTTGCGTTTGTTATGTTCAATGCTTTATTTATATTGATAGTATTTTTATTACAACTCAACAAAGATCAACTCCACGTGATTTGGCCTTTGGGTGTAAAGACAAACATAACGTACGTCGAGGATACAGGCGAGGTATAGCCAAATACTACAAGCTATGTGTGTCACTTCACAAGTCTAACGGTCTCCTTCTAACCGATCTGTCTTGGGATGGCACACCAGCATGAAGATTCTAAATCTTCCACACCGAAGACTAAAACCTTGGTGTTGTTTCTCACATTTCCTAAAACAAGTCCAAGCCTACCAACAAACCAACGCAACCCCTTTTCTTCTTTTATATATAGACCCTATAGATATGGGCTCGTTGGACTCTTGTGCTATATTTACATTTAAAAAGCACATTCTTATATTTAAAAGTATGAAGTATACTTTTAAGTTATATTTTCATTTTTTCCATTCGGAAAAATTACATTTACTATTTCAAAGTACAAATAATATTCCTTTAAATTATTCATTCAATAAACATAATTTAAAAAATAAATTTAAAGACGTTAAGCGCATGAGCGACCAAAAAGCATGATGTCTCCTATTGTCAGGACAATGTTTTCCCAAAACCCCTAATAAAATAATTGCACCACCCTAAGCCCTAAGGAGTAGAATCTATCTGTCTTTTAAGGTGATGGTACTTCTTCTATTAAATTTCTTGTATGTCCGTTAACAGCCACTGGTATCCCTGTACATATTTTCAATCACTGATGATGGGTGATTTGTTTAACATTTTCTATGGATATTTAATTTTTCAAATAATCTATTAGGATAATCGTATTTTCGATTAATTTATTATGTGATAATTTTCAAATTGGCACTTGTCACTCTTCACGCACGAATCAATTAATTGTATTCGCAGCACATTTGTGTTTAACTTTTCATAAAACTTAAATAACTTGAATTCATGCATAAACATGTTCATATTATGTATTTTTTTATTATATTATTATAATTACATGTAATTAGAGTTCATTTACATTACTATCGAATACTTATTGTAAGTAAACATAAAAATATAAAAAGCCAGTTTGTTACTTTTTATGCTTCGCATTGCACGGTATAATAATAAACAGAATACAAAAAGTTATAATATTTTATCAATTTTCAGGTGCTCATATCAAAGGAATACTTGCAATTGGAACCAATCGGTCTAGTCTTTGTATTTTTCTTCGCCTTGATCTTGGTTATACAATTCAGTGCTATGTTGTTCCATAGATTTGGTACACTTTCTCATATATTAGCTTCAACTGAACTTAACTGGTTTGGTTGCACAAAGAAAGTGAGTTACCATGTTATCTCGTATATTGTTTACTTTTTTTAGGCCTTTGACACAAATTCTAAGTATATATTTTTTGCAGTCTGAAGACTTATCACAAGATGCGTTACTAGATAAAAACGCAATAGCAATAGTAAAAGACTTACAGAAATTAAATGGACTGGATGACGATTATGATAACGATTCTGGTTCGGGACCACAAAATGTGGGCAGACGAAAAACAATTCACAACTTAGAAAAGGCCAGGCAAAAGAAGAGGAATATAGGAACGCTAGATGTGGCTTTCAAGAAACGATTCTTCAACATGAATGCCACCGATGGACCAGGTAATATTCATTCATACAAATATTTATCCAATATGGCGCTGCTTTAGCTTCATAAAAATAGTTTTAACAATTATATCATAGAAAACCAATCAAAAGGACTTAGTACTAATTCTTTAGTGCTTATTTAACGAAAAAGTTTGCTTAAAATGTCCTAAAGATTTACATCACGGTGGTAAACAATGCGGGTAGCAACTGCTTATTTTTCATAATCTTAGCCATTGATATTTCATTCCAACAAGGTACACCAGTACTGAACCGAAAGATGACGTTACGTAGAGAGACACTTAAAGCTTTAGAAACGAGAAGAAATTCCGTTATGGCAGAACGTCGGAAATCACAGATGCAAACACTTGGCGCTAACAATGAATATGGAGTTACAGGAATGGTAATCAATATTTTCCTTTGCCAACATTATTACCAGTGACCACTTGTTTTACATATAATTATCTACACATAATTAACATTTTTTAGAAAAAAAAAATCATTAGTAGATTTACTTTTAATAATGATCATTTCACTAATTAGAACGTATTTGTAAGTTCTTTAATCTTAAAAATATAGTCGAATCTAGATAAGCGAGAGTTCAAGGGATCGCTCACCGCGATCTCTTTCTCACTTATGGAGTTTTCTCGCTAACCCGAGTTTCTGGCTTATAGCTAGCTAGAAGTACAGGAGAGACTTTTCTCATTTATGGAGGTTTGAAAAATACAGCATTGGATGGGTGTTATGTACATAAAATACACAATATATATATATATATATATATATATATATATATATATATATATATATAAATGTATCATATTATTGTGTATTTATATGTTAGACAATATTCCAAATAATACATTAAAAACAAACAGATAAAAATTAAAATAGTATACCTACATAATACACACAATTCAATATTTTATATATGTCCAATATATTGCATATTTATTTTAAGTTATTTCCCTTTTATATTTCAGCTTAACAACAACCATGGAGTCCAGCCACGACATCGTACTTCTACGGCTAATATTTCAGTGAAAGACGTATTTGCTGAACCTAACGGAGGAATGATTAATCGAGGATATGAAGCTACTTTAGGCGATCAAGACGACAGCAACTCTATAAGACTTCAACCAAGACAAAATCAAGTTTCCTTTCAAGGAAGATTTTAGGAAAAAAAATTATGGACGTTCAAAATTCGGATAAGTTTCCTGTTTGCTTTATGCGAAAAATCAGTTATAATATTTTCCATTTTTTAATATAACTGATATAGTGATTGCAATGTTAATATTGAAATGAAGCAAGGAAAACTTTTGATATCAACGATTTATTTATTGAAACTCGAAAAGTAAAGAACAACGCCATGTTGCAAACCAGAGTTGCCAACAATACGAATTAATAAGTCTAGTTTTAAGCAATGTAGATACTCATTTAGTAATATACTTAGTAATTATTATTTTTTAAATAAATTTCTATTCCTTTTTTATAATTATCGAACTTCTTGTGATATTTTTAAATTTTTGTCAAATGACTGATAAAGAACATTGTGTTCTCTTCTTATTGAAATATAATATCTTTTTTAAATGTGAAATATACACTGCCACTTTTGTATTTGTTTTGTAAGTCATATACATATAATTACGATACAAAGATTTTTTGCATCATTTGATTTATAATAACCATTTCCTTACTTTGTAATTTTAACAAAATGACTATATCAAGAATCTAAAGAATGTATTTTCTATACATATAAAAATGAGTTTAACAATGATATATTAATCTTTATATTTGACAAATCATTGGGATTTAATGGAAGCCAAATCAAGTTTTTAGATTTTATCTGTCTGTTTAATCTGAACATCTCTTGAGAATGGATCTCTCTATTATAATCTCAGCTGGATGGACTTCTATGAACGTACATACCATTTTTTATCTTGATAATATATTTCTAGTTTGACTATATGGGATGAAATTTTAATGTTACTCTTAAAATACTTTAGTTTAAAATAAAAATTGAATTAAATAATGGCAATGCCAATTTATTAAAAAGTACTTAAAGTAAGAGTAAAGGCTATTGCCTATTTTATTAATTTTCTAAGAACGATACAAACTCGGTAAGCTTGAAAAGCTGGTCTTCGCTGGATGTATGTAGAGGAGAAGGTTGAACAGGCGGGGATGGATTAATTGTGATACCATCAGTATGAATTTCCCATTTGCGTTCCCTACATATTTGGAGTACTGCCTCACGACTTAAACCAGTCATTAGTACTACTGTGTCTAGAGATATTGAACTGTATGATCTTCCAATAAGATTGAAAGCCCTTTCACGAACTTTTTCTGTAAATAAAAATAACAAAAGTAAAATTACAAAATATTAATTAATCCGAATAGTATTATAAGTAAACTACATAATATGCACCCCATCGAAGCCATACCCTGCCTTCGCTCAGGTGCATCGTACTATATTACAATCTCTCGTATCTAATGCGAGAATTTTCAATAGCATACATAATCCTTGGATTTTAAATATTATTACCTTTTGTGAATATACACACACACACAGTTATATTTTAAGTTTCTAGTGTGTAAGTGTGAATAAGTGTTCTGGTCGTACCTACGACGTGAATAATAAATATTAAAGATATTTTATTTGATCTAATCAAAAGGGATTGGTCACAAACATTTGACTAACAACACACAAACTTAACACTTAAATTGAGGAGCAATACTTAGTTTTTAAAATAAAATTTTGAAAATAGAACAAGTCTTTGTGATACTTAAATATGATAATGAGTATTATACTTTTTATCAACATACTTACCATAATGTATTATAATGTATATATGTGATATATAAGAAGTTTGATTCAATTTTGGGCAAAGAGATTTGACAAATACATTAGAACCACAGCATACAAACTTAAAACTAAAATTTTGGAGAGCAAACTTAGTTTTTGTAATAAAAAATTAGCACAAGACTTTGTGTTGCTAAACATAAGAATGAGAATAATTTCAGATTTGGTCTTCATAAATTTATATTAAACATATAATCAAGAGATAAGTTTGAAAATTTTGAAAATATGTACACAAGTCGCAAAAAGAAAAATTTAATTTTCTTTCTTTTACATTGTTGCTAATTATTTTTTTCTCCAGAATATGAACTTTATGTAGCTTAGCAATACTTTGAATAGTGCAATGATACTGGTTAATTTTAGGCAACTTTTAACCAAGAGTTTTGCCCTTATCTAGATTTAGCCTACCAAAAGGATACAATGTACTTGAAAAATCACACTATACACAATTTATATACTTAAGTATTGTTACCTAATATCTAAATCTAAAATTTGGCTATATAAATTATAGTGTGCTTTTAAAATAACCAACCTTCAAGAGCTCTTATAATATTTGCAACTGGTTCAGTCCATGTGTAAGCAGCCAAGGCGTGGTAGGTGCCAGCAAGATCTTTTTTCCAAAGCTTTTGGCCTACTGCCCATATAGCCAATATTTCCGGATTACTTGTTGTAATATTTTGTGGTATTCTTTTCCATAAGAATTTAGCATTACATCTGAAATATTTTACAAATATATTGATATTTTACAGTTACTTTCACACTAAACAAGATTATTTTTACAGCAAAATAAACAGTTTGTAAGAGTTTGAAAAAGAGACAATAAAACAAGTATTTAATTTAAATAAATAATATGTTAATTGTAAAAAAAAATTATTACAACTTGGTCCTTAAAACATTTTAAATTTTTTATAATATTTAAAATTTAACTTATATTTTAGAATTCAGAAAGACACATAGTAGCTCAAGCAAAGGCCCCGAACCTGGAACTGGTATGGTATGAGGGTAAAATTATTATCAAAAACAATGGTCTTTAATTACTCAAGATCGTTATATATCGTCTTAATAAATGGTTATGAAATAAAGTTTAATGATTTAGTCTATCAAATTGTATACATAAACAAAATACTTTTTCTGATGCGGAATCTATTCACCTAGTTAATACTATCAATAATTTATTGAAAAATAGAGCTATTTGAGATGCTTTTCGTATGTTGCAATTCACATAAATTGAAATAGAAAAATTCATTATATGATGTTTACCATACCACATACGTTATTACTATTTAAAATGACTAACAAATACTTACAAATCATTTTGATACAGATATATCGCTAGTAATTGTGAATAAGTAGATGCAGAAGCTACTCCATTTGTTGCCTAAAACAAATTTTTAAAAGTTGAAAATGTGGCGTTTAATAAATACATATATGACCCGGCTCGTTTTTAGTTTTATTGTATGTATAATACCTCCAGTTCTTGTTTTTCTAATTCTGTACATAATTTATCGAAGTTTGTAATCATAGTGATGTTATTTAATTACGTTATATACACAATGACTATTTTAACTATTAAGTTTAATATATTTTCACAACAACAAATTCCACCATCGAAAATTGACAAGCGACAGTGACATTGACAAATAACTTTTCAGTATATCTCACAGACTAGATATGTATGTTGCCATTTTTATTTTCGATGGACTTTAAGGAGAAGGTACTAAACTTTTCTATATATTTTTTGTATGTTACCCGATTCGAGATGTCGAATATTATGTTCTTTAAAGGTATGATATTTACGAGTTCGTCCAAATTCCAATTCACTTAAAAGAATTTATAAATAACTGTTTTTTAATGCAAAAATTTTTGGTGTTAATGTCGTAATGACGTACTGCCATGCCTATTATTCTTTTATAATAATTGAAACATTTTGGCGAACTTTCAATATCGCTTGTTTTTTGTACTTGCTTGATACATATATTATGATCAAAGAATTTATGTTATAATTCAGATTTAAGATCATTTATTTCTCAAAAGAATATTACAATTAACTTATATGAGAAATCACATACATACATATCACTTTATTGGGTACATCGAAAATTCACAGGCAAGACAAGTAGAGGGTAAGATTAAAAAATGTACATACACAGGTTAACAGAATGAGCACAACTGGAAGAGATATTGCTCTGGATTTAATTTATACCTACTAAATTTTACGATTTATTATATTTTAATATTTTTTTCTTTATGTTCGATTTTACGTAATAATAACATGCGAAATAATATTATTATACATGCATGTATAATTATAATATTATAATTATTAAGTTTTATTAGTAAGAAACCATAATTATGTCTTTCATAAATTTTATATTAAATGCGATATTTTTGAATAAACTTTAATTAACGTTCGCTTTCTTGGAGACATAATCATGTATCTTATTTATAGCCTGGGTACAGGGTATAGGAGACATTCGATATAGTGTGTTAATACCTAACGTAAAAAGATTTTTTTATTTTTTTTTATATGTATGAAAATGAAAAGTCAAAATATTTATCATTTTTTCTACGTCTAAAAAGCGAGTAATAAAAAGTAACTGGAGTTAACTGTAATTTATTAATTTTTAACACACTTTTTTTCTCGTTTTTAATTGATTTTAATTTGATTTGAGTTTTGACTTTACCTAATACTAATATCTTATAGTTACTAAGATAACAATATTACTGAAAAATGCACTACCTAGTAATACTTATTGTTGATGGAAAAAGAAAGGTTAAACATGAATTATCCAACTACATTATTGTATACTAAAATTAAAAGAGGTAAAGTTTGTAAGTCTATACAAACTAAAGTCTGCAAAACTATAAGAAGGCTAGGGGAGGGGGTATCTCTAAAACTACTAAGTCAATTCTGATTTTTTTAAACTAATAGGTAGCTATATTACCGCCGAATGTGAAAGGCTGGTTTTTTAACCCCTAACGCAAAAAGAGAGAGAGAGAAAGATTTTTCATTTGAAAGCCAGCTAAGTTTGATTAATATCGGTCCAGCAGTGTAAGAGTATCAGCTCTTTTCCAAAATAATGTAAGGCATTTTGGCGTATGATTACTCGATAAGTGCTTCACTCGTGCCAATCGTTAAGTGACAATTAATTTGTGTAGGGGGTTTTTTAAATTTTTATATTCTGATACAAACGTGTTTACTATCAGCTGTCATAACAAATTTAATTGAAGTGAGAGAAAAAATAAGTATAAAAATGATTTATCAGTGGACGCTGTCTAAACATTTTTAAAGCAATATTTATGGCAACAAGACCTAGGGACGACTTCTTAAAATTCCATATAATTGATATCCACCATTCAAAAAACTAAAAAAGTAATATTATTTAAATACTAGATCTACATAGTATCTAGGTATTACATTATTATAATAACTTGTTGCTAAATAATCAATAATATTAGTCCTTATAAAATATTTAACGTTTATAATTTCAGTTTATTTTTACAGTTTAATTAAACAAAGGATTATGCGATTGATAATATAACCATACTTACATTTTGCATAAAACGGAAAATCTATTTAAATCTTAAAGAGGTAACTTTATTCAGGCTATTTCATGCTTAATGACTTTTTAACGTGAGTTAGGTAATTTAGTTTTTAATTGGTAGGTTTTTCGGTAGTAATTATCTACATCCTTCAATAGTAACTAATTGAGAAAAAATATATGGTCTATGGAACTTTTAATTTATAATTATGTCATATAATATATACTCGAATTTATTTACAATAAAGAAAATTACAAATATACTTAATTATATATACAAAACAAATGTACACTTAGTTATTACTGTACAAGTCATGTCCGCGTGGAATAGTGGCAAGAATGCTAGCCGCATTCCCCCGTTGAATGGCAATGCCGATTCTTTGGGCGAAAAATGCGCCAGCCTTCCTGTCACCAATAGAGGCGACAAGACTAGGTGTTATGTCTTTTAAGAAGATCTTAGCACTTAGACTCCATGGGCCAAGGGTTTCTACAGCAATATAATATATGAAAATTATGTAATAAGTAGGCCCTTCGTAATATAAAATTTATAAATGTTATCTTAATAAAGACGTGTAAATATTTTAATTTAATAAACTAAGAATTCCAATATAGTAGTTAGTAAAGCGTGTGTTTTCACCTGTTGTGTAGCATTGATATTGCATTTTAATTTCGAATTAAATTATATTGTTAAGGTAACTACTTAACTAGTTAAGTTATTTACGCCCATGACTATATACAAAATAAGTCTTTGTGCTGTGAATAAGTATCTATGTCTATTATTATAGCACGAGCTGTGGCCTGATTTTTATAATTGAATTTCACGGCTATTGATCGAGGGCTTGGGCGGGCTATAGCTAACTTGTCGACTTACTTGCGTCACAATGTAACCGGAGTTGATGGACTGACTGATGCGCTGAGTCACTCTCCAATATTGTCGTTCATAATGCTAATTTTCTCGTTATGCGTGTACCGATTTGCATCTTAAAGTGTTTTATGGTACCGTAATCATATTTGTTTATAATGAACGAATTAAATTTCAATTTAGAGCATTGGTTAGATACATATTAATCTGAATAAAAAAATTGGGAACTTGCTAGACTCATAATAAAAAAAAACATTATTAAAATAAAGTGACATGGCTGAATATGCAACAATTTCAATTAAATGTATTTATGTCATTTTAGTCATTTATTTATCTACTGCTAATTTGTAAGTAATAATTATCGCAAGAAAAATTCTAGATAAATAAAGCATTTATTTTACATAACATTACCAGCAAAGCTTACAAGTAGGTAGTGTTAGCTTAAGCCAGCCTCGCGTATTACCCATCGTAGGTAGGTATATAACAATCTCTTTATAGCTCATAGCAAAAATACTTCAGAAGTTTTATAGATAGAACTTGACGTTGAAACGATAGGATCATTCAATTACTTTTAAGACTCAATGTGCAAGAGTATGGGATATGTGCGATATGATATTCTGAAAAAAGTTAATGTAAGACTTATAATTAATACATGGCAACATTATAAAATGTATTGAGTTAATATATTTTAGAAAATGAGTTTTATTTACAGGAATGATCAACAATTTTTCCATGTACGATGTTTAGATGTTGCATAGGTACCTACTGTATCTACGTACTTTATTCAAAAATGTTAATTAGTAGCCGCATAGTGCTTAATGAATTATTATTATTATGGCGACATTAAGCAATTTTTTGGCACTTGTGTTACACAAAAGAATCTGAGCATACCATTAAGTCGCGGTTTGAGCAAATGAGAACAAAAACAATAGGATAACTACGCATTGAGAAATAGTATTGCAATTGACCTATCTAATGATAGGTAATTATTTTGCGCAAGGTGTTACGGTGAAGTCGTCACTTACTTACTTTCACTAGTAGTTTGACTGTCCAATGAGTGTTGTCACGCTCTGGCAGTAACCAATGGGCTTGCCTACCGCCCCGCCTTGAGGGATAGGCGTACACCGCGGCCCAGACCAAATAACCACAACAACGAGTGTTGAACAACAACGACAGTAACAACAGACGACTTTGTGAGATTTTCTAATAATATTGACTCCGAAAAAAGCCACTTAAACTGCTTTGTTAATTTGAAGCGTTGAAAGTCGTAAGTATTTACATGTAACAATATAACATATACCTATAATATTGGTTTTACAGTTTTACTTAAACGTATTGTATTTTATTTAGGTACATATATTAGCACAAGTTAAACTGCAAACATTTATAGATATAAATTAGTTGAGTCTTGTCTTTGTAATTCCTTGGGATTTATTATTTCGTGTGCATGCCAGGTATACGTTGACAGTTAGTAGCTACTATAATTTTTATACCTACGTACCTAATCGTACGTATTAATAATTGTAATATTTCTGTTTCATTGCAGCGGTTATAAGCTCGTATGAACGTAAAACTTTAAGTAATATTACGTATTAAGCGTGTGTTGCAAGCTTCAACATGTGCCCAATGGCTCGAGTGACCCGCGGCGAAGGGTCGCGGTGGTCGACGGCGATCGCTTGCCTCCGCTCCGCCGACAGCGATGTGCAAAATCGCTAATTCCATTCAATAGCTTCGCTTTGTGTTGCCACATCCACGCACGGGCTCAATCGCTCTACAAATCACTTGAAACTACTCTGTCATATACATGATGTTCCTGCGAACTTCTATTAAAATACACGATTGGAGGAAACATTAAATTGAATAGTTGGTATGTACATTGGTAGTGTTTTGCAAAATTATATATATTTTACTTGAAAGTTAAGATATTTATATTGCTTACAACTAAATTTAAATGTAAATACATGTACCTAGTACCTACACAGTACCTTAAAGTTTGATTCAGTGGTGGCGAATATGCTTAAGAATATTGTCCCCGTTAGGTACATAAAGGTTCGATTCTGGTAAGCAGTAAATATTTTAGTATCAAACATATATTATTTATTTGTTAAAGTCGAGAAG